ATTTTGTAACATAACCAGGAAAGATCCTTCCGAGACTGATATAGCGCTGAAATTTGACGGCTTGTCAGTCCACCATTTTAAGAGTCATTAACTTTATCTACTAGAGTTATAGAGCACTCATTAGGAGCTTCAAAACGATGTATCACATGACTTCTAATCCATTCAAAAAATGATCCAAGATGACGCCTATAGCTATTTAGAAATTTTCAACTACCACTTTCAGAAAAATATAGTACCTATTCACGTCTGATAGAGATCTTGGAATTTATCTCACACATGTAACCTAATATGTCATCCATGCTTCTTCAAATCAGCTTACGTGGTTGTTAGATTCGTTTGCGGAAGATAAAGTAATCTTTTAAAAAACTCTCGTTCGCCCTTAGCAAACTTAATCAGTACTTGCTACAAAATATGCATATTTTCGAGAAATTTTAAATTATGGATGGTAATTTAAATAAATATTAGATAATGAATAAATCGCATCATTCATTGTCGCATGGTGTTAGCTCCGCGAGATTTTGTCGAACGAAAATGACTGCAAAGGTAAGGGACCGTGCCACGCCCCTTTCTCCCACTTGAGAATCTGGTTGGACCTTAAAATTTGCGTATTCAACATGTATTGTGTACAATTTTTGGGGATTTTTAGAATTTGCCCCCGAAAATTTGCTGTCCACAAGTTTTTAGGAAAGATATAATTTCACAAAGGGCGGAGACGTTATGTAGGGTTGTGTGGAGTTCAAAGTCATACATACAAATTTAATTATTAAGAATATCCATCAACACGAAAACCTATGAAGTAATGCGAATCATCGCACAGTATATGAAAACGAAAATTCAATAAAAACCTATTATATAGTAAAATATTTCAGAGCTTTCATGATTGCGGTCATTTTCGGTCCCATTTCTTTCATCTACACCCAAAAGCTAGGATCTGAAATCATTTTTTCCTCAAAAACGGCTGGTGAAGTTAAGCTATGGAATAACCCAAATGGGTCAATCAAGTTGAAACCTTTATTTTATATGGATTAGGTTACATATGATACCTTTGACTTATATGTGAACAACGAAAAACAAAAATATATTGCTTCTTTATACAATCAAAATATGTCCTTAGGAAAAGTGCGAAATTCGAAGAGGATGATAGAGGGGACATAGGATAAAACCAAAGTATCATTATCAGATACAGGGCACAGGACGCTTGAATTTTGGAGGAGTCTGGATTTGACATCGCTGGCTTGGCTGGCTGGGTTGGTGATCTACTTTGATCAAAATCGGCTTCACTGATTTGTCCTCCTCGGTATTTCTTGAGTGGCTGGTCCAGACGTGTTGCCACACTGTCCTTTTGCAGCATATCCCAAAGTATATCATCTGTGATACAGTAAGGGAACTGCCTAGCTCTTTTATGTATATATATATATATATTCTTGATGCACCTCTCTAATTTAAGAATGCCACTTATGCGTGGAAATACAACAGTAAGATTGTATCTTAATACCGGGTAGATTCATGCTTCAATTATTTCCAATTTAACTTCTATAGAAACATTCGCATGCATATGGGTATCAGCATTGACAAATAGGTGGCGTTTTTATTCTACTTGCACACAAGTTTTTGAGTTTTTCAAAAGACTGTTTGCTTTCCTCTTCTCCAAGACTCGACCTATACGGTACTGATGGGTTGCTAAAAATCACGAAACAGTGATAGTGTCTATGGTTATTGATGGTTACAGAAAAGGAAAGCAAACATATTCAGTTCAGCCTCTGCATACGAGTATTTATGCATAAATGCATATATAGAATGTCAAGCCCTGATAGCCCTGTCAACACTTACTATTTTGACTACTTGATGGTGTCAGCCGTTTCAATGGTGGTGACATCTATATCGGTACATAATGCATATGTCGAGTAGTTATAACCAGAAGACGTAGGGGTCTCTGTCATTTCAACGTATGGGCATGAACTAAGGATGATGTTATGATGTCAGTTTTGACAAACCACCTGTAGGTGGCGTTTTTCACATATTTGCACACAACATTCAAGAAAGGATTTTGAGTTTCGTGCAATATTTTAACTCTCGTTTGAGACAATGGCAATTCGACATTCGGACACACCCAAAAGGCGGGGGTAGTATGTAAAAAAACCCAAAAAAACGACAGAATGTCATCTTGCAGACTAAGTAGTTTTTAGTGTGCAAATAGTTCATCCCACGTTTGCTCCCAATGCTCACTGTGAGCGTCATCAAAAGCGTCATCTACGGAGGATTGCCCCAACGATACGATACGCTCAAGTATGCATTATAAATAAATAAATAAATAGCGTTTATTGCCCAACAGTTAAAGAAACCATTTACAGGACAATCCTAAGTTAAATCAAAATAATAAGAACAGAAAACATCTAAAGAAAAAAAGACAAACAAGAAAAATAAGCGAAAAAAACATATTTCACTCAGGTGAGTAACATATCATAAATTATCCAAGCAATTTCTAGCTACTTCCAGAATGCTGTTCAAACTGTCAGCATGTTGATTGCAGAAAGCCAAATAGTGTTGATATCTGAGGAGATATGAAAGAAAGTTGACGGAGTAGCAAGATCGCATCTGGATGATCATGTGTATTGGTCTGCATGTGTAGAAAATCAGTGATTTTGTTATGTGAGAAAATTATTACTGAATATGCTGCCAATGAACTACTGTTAGCTGTGCCCGACGGGTCACTTATATGTTGTCCTTTCAATGTCATAAATTACGATTTTTCCCGTTTCTTTTTTTCCGTTTTCAAAAACATTGAGAAGGATTACAGGAAATCATACATATAAATGCAATATGTGGCAGTATGCAAGTATAAAATATAAGATTCCACATAGTTTTTTTTTTTTTTTTTTTTGCTTTAGGACTAAGCCATGCAGCCAGAAACTAGGTTGGTAATTGTTTATATCTAATTATGGACACACACACGACGTCACAACATCCATGGCGAAGGCGAGATTCGAACTCGCGGCCCGGCCGGCCGGCTGATCAGTAGCACGACACTCTGACCCACGCGGCCAACCGAGGTCCCAACCACATAAAGTTAATTACTTCACCAACCAGGGATTTTCTTTTCTTATCTCTCCCATTTTTTGAATTCAGCAAATTTGCATATTTAGTTTCCAGAATAAATAATAAAAAGTGGATGTGCAACTAATTTTCTAGATTTGAGTACGTCTCAAGTAAGTGTATTTGAGACAAGAAACCAATGGAATTATCATTAAGACAGATCTAATAATCTGCTAATGCACAGAAATCCTCACCGTCCACCTTTGCACTGCCGTTTCCTGCCAGCTAAAGTATACAGCTTACAGCTTAGATCTCCAATAATGCCATTTCTGAAGCAGATGTTACATCATATCAGAGCCATACATTGATAGCTGAAGCATCATGACGTTTATTCAACAGGTACAGCTACAAAACGAGTTCACAACAACTGTACAACGGCTAGTGCTAAGTTGACATCTTGTAGAAAAATCTCAGTTGTCACAAAAAAAAAAACCTATGAAATGTCAAAAAAACCACAAAATATAACTTTTCATGATACTTAATACCCGTGCGAGACTATCTGGCATGTCCCAGATCACAAGACAGTCCTGGACTTTGCTGGGTTCAGGGCCGTTCAGACTGTTATAGAAACACACTGTATGATAGTGACAATAAATGTCACTTGAAAGATGGACGAATAGAATATATTATCAATTTGTATTTTAAAACAAGGCCACCGAGGTAACTGAGACGTCAGAAAAGTCATACTTCTACATCTGTAGTGTCATTTGGCGGCCAGTGCCACACGTATCTTGACCAGCGGAAGAATCTCGCTCCTCTTGCGCCTCTCATTGCACGTACATATAGCTGCTAATTAATTTTCCTCTTAGCTACGAATCATGTAATTTTAGGCAAAATTTGTTAGAAATAGTTGATTTGCTGCTGGTTCACACTACACAAGGATTGTTATATTCGCGTCAGAATGTTCTAAGTATCGTGGTAAATAAGTATGCACGTTATCGTAATTGTTACACATGAGTTGCGTTTAGACTATTGCGAAGAATCCGCTAATTGAGCAGTATACTACTTCGTATGCACTTTTCCGCCAATACATTTTCTCTATCGATGAATTGCAACAGAGAGCTCATCTGTGTAGAATTAAAACTTTCAAATTCGCATGAATTCAGTAAATGAAAGCTGGAACATGTTTGCTAGTAATTCAGCAAAATTTCGATTGAGGACCACAGTATGTAAATGTATCCCAGAATACAGACATTGGTTTTGAAATAGAATATGCATAATCTTCATCTCTTAGACAATATCACAAGACATACATTTCTCGGATATTTTTTTAAAAAGTATCTAGTTCCCTGAACGTTATTTTTAAAGGTAATAAGCATGCCAGTGATACATACCTCAACATATAGGGTGTTTATTTGAAAGCCTTCCACCACGGATTTATCGAAAACCCACTGACCGAAAGAAAAAACGCCGAGACAAGTCGAGAGATTTGAGAAGGGAGACAACTTTTCAACCAAAACTACTCCACCCCCTTTCACCCTCTGCTCCTCAGGGTCATCCCCTTAAAAATTTTAAATGACAAGCTTGTTTGGAAAGTCTTTCGAAGTCCTTTATTTTGACGTTTGATTTTTTTAAATCGGTCTATTAGTTTTCAAGGGGATGACCCTGGAGGCAGAGGGTGAAGTAGTTTTTGGTTAAAAAGTTGTCGAACTTGACAAATCTTTTGACGTGTCTCGCCGTTTTTTCTTTTAATCAGTGATTTTCGATAAATCCGTGGTGGGAAGTTTTCAAATGAACACCCTGTATAAAGCAAACATAGAGTTGGTACCCGTCGAGTGAAAGAAATAATTGAAAGTTCACTACAAACCTAAAATCAGAGTACTCGATGTCGTGGTCGAGAGTAGTTCAAAAAAACATGCAAAGTTAATTTCAATGGACTATTCCCGTTAATTCGTCTTCGCAACGTGGGATGGTTTAATGGAAATACAATAGTCTGGTGAAATTGAATTCACAAACTTACTAAGCACATTCTCGTAAAATTCTGCATTAAAGGTGTTGTCTTTATAACACAGTAGTCAAAATACGATTACAGGTAATGTGTTTATTAAGCTTTGTAACACGTGACACACGTATTTCATAAGTTATTTCAATTACACGTAGTATCGAATTAAACTTTTAATTGACAATATGCATTTACAAACATGTAAAATATTATAAAAAGATTATTCTTAGTCCATCCCTGGTGGTAGCGGTTCAGACTGTACTGCAGATAGAGCCGGTGGTGCAGATTCTGTAGGAGTAGGGTTAACAATGACGACATCATCATGCGCCTGAAAATATCCAAAGTTCACTATCATCAGATAATAGTTATAATGCATAAGCATCAAGCGTACAAAGTAGCATATCTAAATCTAATAGCATAATAGCAATGCAACTCTTGACAATATGAAGTGTCACCGCATGGCATCACACGCATCCATCCTTGTTATGCAGTGGTCAGGTTACACTGGGATTCTGTAAACACCGCTCTATCATCGTAAATTGTACAGCACTAAATGTTGCTCTTCCACACAACCCCCAACATATGTTGTTTCATTTTAGTTCGGGCGAATCCTATATATACTAAGTGACATATAAAATGCAACAGCCAGAATTATTTATTGAATTTTGATAAAAACTTGTAAACATATTTGCTATCATGGAAGTATACGCTGATAAAATGTTAAAGGCATTCCAAGCCGTACTTTTTTGTAAAGGCTTTGTCATATCAGGATCCGAACAATATGAACATGTTTACTTAATACTTAGTGATTTTTGTGTTGGTTCTATTGGTTTCATTGTTGTTTCAATGCATTATCATCCCTAGACTTCGCAGACGCGCTAATTTCACTCAACTTTCCGAGTTTGAGAGGGGTGGGATAATCGGGTTATGTGAAGCCGGATTTTCTTTTAGAGAAATCGCTAATCGAGTGAACCGAAACGAAACTACTGTAATGAAATGTCGTCAAACGTAGTTCCAAGAAGGCCGAAGTCGACGGGTTAGAGGTACTGGACGTCCAAGACAGACAACAGAGCGTCAGGATCGTTATTTCATGCAAATAGCACTTAGAGATCGATTTTCCACAACAAGGGCAGTTGCGAACCAGTGGTTTGATGCTGTCGGAAGGGCAAAACAATGAGGGCAGTTTATCGCCAAATAAGGTATTTTGGACTGTTTTCATACCCTCCCCACCTTGTACTACCTCTGACCCCACAGCGTCGTCGGCAACGATTGGTATGGAGCAGGGAAAGACTTGAATGGAATATGGAATGGAACTCGGAAGTGTTCAGCGATAAGTCCAGATTCTGTTTGGGCACACATGATGGTCGTGCAAGAGTAAGGAGGAAACGGTGAGAGACACGTCCAATATTCCATCGAACGGTATATTCATCGCACTGTGAGTGTTATGATATGGGGTGCCATTGCTTACGGCAGCAGGTCACGATTAATGTTCATTCGAGGTAGAATGACTGCCCAGCGCTATATCCACATCTGCTTCCATTTTTGAAAACATTACAAGATCCACTTTTTCAGCAGGACAATGCACGACCTCATGTCGCACGTGTTAGTTTAGACTTTTTAGAAGCCTCCGGAGTAAATCTGCTTCAGTGGCCTCCTCGATCTCCAGACCTTTCTCCCATCAAACATGTATGGGACATGATGGGAAGAAGGTTGCAAGATTCACCGCACCCTCCACAAACATTGGAGGCTCTACGAAACCAAATGCAGACGGCCTGGGATACAATACATCAATCACCTAATCCTATCAATGCCGCGACAACTTAACGAATGTGAAGCGAACAGAAGAGCTTCAACAGAATTTGAATTTGAAGGTACTGCAAAGAAGCTGGCATATTCCAAGGATTTGACATTTGTCATCGATTTTATATTCTGAAGGATTTTAAGGGTACTGGCAAGTGCATCATTTTCCACTACAAGTTCAACACGTCATCATGGACATGAGTCATAGTGTATAGGTATAAGCGCCAGAAGGCAGAAAATGGAACTTAAATGAAATGACTAGGCTAAGTAGTTACACGTTACTGATCCAAGTAATTTGCCTTGCTATTTGGTTGAATCTCTGAATACCATTCAGCCGCTAGTTTAGTATTTAGTATCGATGCTACCCTGTTAGTTGTACGACTTGATACACAAATATTGCTGGCATTCATTATTCATTTCACTACCCACAAATTCCATAAAATATTTTTCATAGATCTCGATTCGATGGTATGAACAGCTACTTTTGTTAAATTGAAAATTAATTGTGATCGAGAGTATTAATAGCAGCTAGCAAAGTCAAAACAAGAAAATTATGACATCATTTTATAACCACATGCAACTTGACAAGACGATATAAACAAACGGACATCGAACTAAAACTGTAGATCACTTGACAGAATACAGCGTTGACAAATTTTCGTTATTTTCTTGACTATGCGCTACATACGGACATTAGGCCAAGACACCCTTAGGTGCACTGAGATGACCCTTACTAACAAATCTTATGCTGATAAATAAAAGACTTGTACGTATTAATAGATGACTTACCCCAGCAACTGATGGTTGGGTCGGATGTTGCTGAAGCCCAAGTATGACGATATCCTGTATTGGTTTTGGTATGTGAACGCGTTGCGCCTCAGTGAAAGACATCAAGTGATCATGTAACGGCTGCCTCAGATCAGGACACTGTTGAAGGACCTCGGTAAGCTGAGGTGGAGGCAGCTGCATCAACACAGCAAAACTCTGAGGTCGGGTACGCTGGCAGCACTTTATGAAGCCTTCCCATACAACTTTTTGACTCCACACTTTTTTCAGGATCAGTCTAAAAAAGGGAGTTATGAGTTAACATACTACGGCTTAACAGAACAGGAAGTAATAACAAAAACCCAGCTAAGGCAGATGAAAGTAGTGATTTCACCGTACAAAGATTAACTTCGACCATCGAGCTGCAGGGCCGCCAGATCGAGCAGCAGGCCCAGCAGATACAAGACTGGCCTGGTCAGTTCTACTGGTAGAACCTCTTCAAGAGCCTCAACCAAAGTATAGATTGGTTGACAGCTCAGCTTGCAGCAATAGTGTCGTAAAGACAGACCTGGAAATCTTTACCCAATTGACGATGACGCTCTTTTCGATGACATTATATCGTGTGGCGGGTTCACTCCAGCGAGACAGAAAATGACAAGTAGAAGTCAGATGGATGTTTCAAATTTAAACACTCCACATAAATTGTCCGTCACAGAGTAGATGAGCTATGAGATATGTACACGTTTTCTAACAATCTCAAATTATTTTAGTTACACTTTGCTTTTAATTTTCACCAGTTCAGATGATTTTTAATGAATAATTCCTTTGATTATAGGGTTGCCAAATGTCCTCCCTTCGGGAGAACGGCCTTCTTTTTTAGTAACGCAGACGAAAGCTAAGCAAAAAATGAACCGAAAAAGATAACAGTCTGAGACCTTTGGGACCATTTTGACCTTAAGGTAAAGCATTTTTCTACAGTTCAAAATGCAGTCGCAGCAGGGAGTATCGTCATGGATGAATATTTTAATGGATCGCTTTCACCGAAAATAGAGTATTATCTGAAGAATCAAAGATAGTTAAAAAGCGTTTTTGTCTATAGCGACATCTGGGCCATGCGAGCGGCTTTTTTCTTAGGCTGGGCAAGTCTTGTCAGAAAGAAGAAACAGACTAGAAGAAAGTTCCAAAAATAGAAAGGAAAAACTTGGTAAGATCAAATAAAAATGAGTGCAACTTTTAGAAGTGACTTAGCACTAGGAGCCGATGCACCACCCGTTTAACTATCTGCAGACACCGCAAATTAGACTTCGCGGTATTCAAGAACTGCGGTTTCCGGTTTTCTTTAGAATCATGTACGACGTCTCAAGTGATCATCACCCTATGAACTGTGCAAATCACTCTTAGTCGGGTTCCCTAACATCAGCATTATAGATTGTGACATTGACGTAGATTCAGCTCAATCATAGTCTAAAGCCATGTAGACATATGCAACAGTACCGCGAACCGAACCACGCGACGAACCGCAGTGCGCGCATTTTGGCGAACAACATTGCAACGAACATCACCACAAACCGAACGAAGTCGTGCAACCACATCGCGCAACAGAATGACGATCCAATTTTGATGTATTTATATTCAATTCGGTACGAATTATCCAAAAAACAAGCGACGACAACGGCCGAGACGATGGTGGCAAACGCAGTTATATACCAATAGATCAGCACACGGTTGCAACAATTTGATAACGGAATTAAAATTTCAACAAATGGACAGTTCAACAATGATGACTCCGACAGGCTTTGAATATCTTCTCACTTTGATTGGACCAAAAATACGACGACAAGATACAAAATGGAGAGCTACCATCACAGTACAAGGAAGACTTGCAGTCACGGTGCGATTTTTAACGACCGGTGATTTATACAGTAGTTTGCAATACATGTTTCGAATTTCAAAGCAATCGATCAGCTACATCAGTCCAGAAGTTTGTGGGTCATTGATCGAAGTTTTAAAGGAAAATAAACAAGTAAGGAAAATAATAATTTTACATTACAAAATAACACACTGGTGCTCGCCGCACCTATATGTGTGTCCAAACATGTGCAACTCCTTTGATGTTGCGGTGAAAAACCGACAGAGCCTGGATCGGGCCGAACGGCGAGCTGTAACGCTAATTAGGTTCGCGACGGCGTTCTTTTCACCGTCTACACTCGCGCAGCGGGGTTCGTCGCGTGGTTCGGTCCGCGGTATTGTTACATATCTATAAATGGCTTAACATAGTGTAACATCCGTCAGAAAAGTTCCGACAAAAGAGCTACATTTAAGCAGCCAAAAAGGTGGTGTCATCCCGATGATATCCCTAGTGATACGAATCTTGTTCATAAAGTAAAAAACGTACTTCACGAAATCCGAAACGAGCAACTTGGAGGAACGCTTGACAGCGCTACTTATCCCTGGAAAGTAGCGAAGTGGCTCATAAATATCAAACGGGAACAACTTCCTCACATCCAAGACCCTGAAGGCATAGTCTACTACTATAGTCTGAGGATAAAGCAAGTTTTTGATTATATCATGGAAAAACAGTTCTCGTTGTGTGCAAGAAATCTAACGAGTGCCACCTATCAATGGTTTGCCAAGCTGATTTCATCCTCAACCCGTACGTTGGAAATTCAGAGACCCTTAGTCCTTTGGCTTATAACTGCTCGACGTCTGCACTATAATAATAATTTTTTATTATCCAGGAGACAATATGAATTGTCAATTCAAATATACATAATAAACAACATACATTTTTTTAAACATCAACTTGGTTTGCACAAAAGAATGTTCTATTTTATTGATGTACAAACACACATATTGTGAACACATCAGATTTTATGTATAGATAGATGTCGCACCACAAACACGATCGACCCGTCAGATTTAGAGTTGGCGGGTCGTTAGCTAATCAGAATTAACTCTTCAAATATGTAGGTTATCTATTTAACAAAAAAGCTCCAGAGTGCCCCGTCAGAGACTACTGTAGACTTTTGTTATTTTTGCAATATAATGACTATATTTAAAGCATGAGGTGGCAACAATGTCAACGTTTTATCTTTGTTTTTGTTTACGTTTGTTAAAATGTTATCTCTTAGTTTTTGTGAAGAAAGCAGTTTCCGAGAGCTGAGTAGTACAGATATTTTCAGTTATTGACCTTTCATTTTCTAGTGTTAAGCATAAGAAAATGCTTCGAGTTGGAAGTCGTCCAAATTATCACCACGTTAGCGACTTTGACAGGGGTAGAATTAGTACCTATCGAGATGTTGGTTTGTCCTATCGCGAAATTGGCCACCGTGTTAATTGTTTAATTGTACTGCAATGGCGATAATGTGTGTGTCGTGTGTGGATAGAAGAAGGTAGAGGAACACGAAAAAGGCCAATTGGTCCACCAAGGCGTACCACAGAGTGTCAAGATAGGCGCTTCAGACAACTAGCCCTTCGACACCGTTTTGCTACTACGCATCAGATCGCTGAACAGTGGTTTGGGAAAGAAGGTACACCTGTTACTATGCGTACACTCCATCGCCGCATCCGAGCCTTTAGACCTTTTTCGTATCGTCCACGGTTAGTGCTTCATCTGACTGCGGACCATTGTCGTCAACGTTTGAACAAGGGCAGAGAACGGCAACATTGGAAGGAAGAATGGCAAAATTTCATCTTCAGCGACGAATCGCGATTCTGTCTAGGTACGCATGATGGTCGTAAAAGGGTAATATTGGATTTGCTGTGTAGAAGCATTTACACAGGACTGTTGGAGTAATGGTTTGGGGGGATATTGTCTACGGTAGCCGATCACTCCTTCTCTTTGTTCAAGGCAATATGACTGCTGCGCGTTATGTTGATGATGTCCTACAAAGCACTTTACTGTCGTATCTAGAGGGCCGTTCACACGTCCTTTTTCAGCAGGACAACGCACATCCCCACATTGCTCGTCATACTACTTACTTTCTTCAAAAAGCAGGCGTTAATGTTTTGCCGTGGCTACCCCGTTCACCAGATTTAAATGCCATCGAACATGTGTGGGATATGTTGCTGAGGAGACTATCCATTTTGCACCATCCGCCACAGACTCTGCCTCAGCTAATCCAAGTTCGAGTTACTTGGAATGAGATGCCACAACCCGACATCGATCATCTCATTTTGTCGATGCCTAGACGTATACAGGAGTGTATTCAGCTGCGGGGTCGCCCAACACATTAATTTTTTCCTTATTATTTGTCAATAAAATTTCGTGAGAATGTTATCGTTTCATTCTTGCTGTAAGACTACCTCATTGCAAAAAAATCAAGTTGAAGAATTTATTTTTTCTGGGTGTAACACAATATCAACAAGCTACAATGATTAGAAAATCCACAAAATTTGCTGTCGCCTGATCTACCAGTAATTTATATTTATTTATCCTAAATTTACATAGTGCTATTTAACTATGCATACACTTTCAAAATTTTACAGCGTATCATTGAATTATCTAAGAAAAAAAGTAAACAGTTTAAAATCAAATAACAACTGTGCCGAAATGACTACCAAAAACGTGCTGAAAAACTGTTTCGAAATTTTGGGATATCCTGTATTAAATTGGATCAATTGTTCACTGAGAAGCAGTTCTTTCCCTGAAAATTTGAAATGCTCTACAATAACACCAGTTCCCAAAATAAAAAATTCTAAAAGATGCAGCGATATGAGACCAGTAAATGTGTTACCAGACATTGAAAAATTATTAGAGTCCATAGTGCATGACCAATTAATGCAGTTTATAGAAGAAAACAAAATTTTAGTGGAGGCGCAAGCAGGCTTTCGGAAAAAATATTCCACAGAAACAGCTTTCCAGTTGGTAACTGAGAATTGGAGAAGAGCCATAGACTCAGAAGAAGTTGTCATAGCAGTATTTTTGGATTTGAAGAGGGCATTTGAAACGATTGATAGAGATATTTTGTTAGGTAAATTGAAGGCATATGGTATAACAGGAAGTGTTTTCGATTGGTTTAGAAATTATTTGTCTAAAAGGATGCAAATTACAAAAGTTAATGACACTATTTCATCAAAAATTGAAAATACGTTGGGTGTTCCACAGGGCAGTATCCTGGGACCACTTCTTTTTATTTTATACATAAATGATTTACCTGCCACAGTCAAAAATGCAAAATTCAAATTTTCGCCGATGACACTATGATTTATATAAGTACTAAAAATATTCAGTCTGGTATCTCTTATATAAATGAAGACTTGAAGCTTGTCTCAAAATGGTTAGCATCTAACAGACTAAAATTAAATGCAAGTAAAACGAAAGCCTTGTTAATCGGAAAAAAACAATGTACAAATGTTCAACTGAATATTGATGGTGAAGATATTGAATTCGTAGAAAATTTTAAATACCTGGGAGTTTTTGTTGACTCTCGATTAATTTTTGATATTCATTATGAAAAAGTTATAAATAAGATTAGTAGTAAAGTGGGATATTTATCGAGAGTTTCTGGATGTCTGAGTTCATATAGCAGAAAAATTATCTATAATACCATCATTCTTCCAAATTTCTTGTACTGTTCGACTATTCTATATTTAGCAAATAATTCCATTTTTGAAACACTGCAAATTTTACAAAATAAGTGCATGAGAATAATTCTAAATAAAGATAAATATACTCCAATTAGGCAAATGCTTAGCAAATTAAAATGGCTCAATGTAAAAAATTTTATCAAATATCTTGTAATAATATTCATTTATAAAGTAAAAAATAATATATTTCCATCAAGTCTAACTAATTTAACATCATCAAATGTCGACCATCATTTACATAATACCAGAAATAAAAATGACTTCCATTTAATGACCAAAAAGTATAACTTATGCTACAAATCTGTATTCCATCAAGGGTTGATTGAATATAATAAATTATACTCGGAGATAAAAGACCAGAAAACTTTGACAAAATTTAAAGTAAAATTGAGAAATCACTTGTTAAATCTACAATTATAGGTTGCCCAGCATTTACATCATACACCATATGGCTTGAATTTACTAGTTCTAAGTTGTTTACAATTGTTCTGTTTATGTAGCCAAATGTGCTAAATAAATCTTTCTACTACTACTAACTTCACTAACAATGCATGATCCGTGTTCACTTAAAACAATTATAAATGTTTTAACTATTAATTTCAGGATATTGTTATACTTTAGTTTTAAGTTAGCTTTGTCATTAAGAACGATTGTATTCTTCAGACAATAAAGCATATTTATTTATTTATATGTAACATAAAACGCGAGGAAAAAATAGCAAAAACGGCAATTTTTTCAATTCTATATCCCTTCTAATTTTCCGTCCCTCGCCAAAGAGGTGAAGATTAGCCTAGTTAATGATGTTTACGCGATACTACGAGGACACCTTGAAAAACGAATTATCTTTGCATATAACAATATTAATTTGTCTGCTGATTTTCATTTACCAAATATATTCAAAATGTTGTACTTTCAACTTTATCACAGAAACTAAGGATGTTGTCAAAACAGATAAACTAGTTTAAGAATGCTTACCTTTGTAGTATATTCATAACAAAGCCAGAGAGTCGAGGATAGCTACCCAGTGCTTGTATGACTGTTCTCATTAGCAATGTGGGAATAGTTGGTTGATCCATCAGTTGTTGAAGTACTACCGCTAGCACTTCCTGGGTGTATACCTGAAAAATAAAAATTATATTTTATGCAGTAGGAAAGTGTCGGCTCCCTTGAGCGCCACGTCCGAGCAATCCATTATTTATTTAGATTGAATATCAGTATGAAACTAAATAATTTGCAAAGCCTGTTATAGTTTTTGAGGCGCTACTATGATTGGCAATAAAACATGGTTAATGCAACTTCTAGTTCTAACTTAGCAGTTGCAGTGCAGCAATGTGGACTTTTCTGTCGGTTTTACATAATTACAACAACAAAATGTCATATAGTTGTGCATTTTAGAAACAGAAACAATTTTGGAAAATAAAACTAAATTCGAGACATTAGATATTAGTTACGGTATTAGAAGAAAACAAGATCTTAAATTGATAGTACCTAAATCAACATTTGTGAAAGATTCAATCACTTAAGTGCCTCCCTGATATTATCAAAGGAATCAACAATTTAAAGACATTCCGCCGTGAACTTTCTAATGTGTAAACCATACTATATCTTGTTTGAGTTCTGCAATACACTTATTTAAGGTCAACATATCTAATTTTCTTATAGTTTTGTTCTAAGTTAGGATTGACATTAAGAATGATTGTATCCTTCAGACATAAATAACTATATACCTGTATCTATCATATACAGGGTACTCACAACTCACTAAGTTTTTTACAACGAAAATATAAATATTTGTATAAAGTTTGAATTTGTACACCTTTCCACGCTTTAAACTTCCAGTAGGGCGCCGGAGGGCCTTAAAATGTTCAAATTGAATTTACTATGTATGTTAAAGATATATTTATGGAAGTTTCTACTTACTTGCTTCTCTTGCAAACACATAGATGTGGCTTTAATGACAGTCTTCAGATCAGCTTTATTGGGGTCAATCAAATGTAGTGAAACTAATAATTCTGTAGGAGTGATGGGACTGTCACCATGAAGACCCAATAACCTATTGAATACTTCCCTTACTACTACAGGGTTCAGCTTGATCAGCCTCGGTAACGCTAAAATAATCTGAAAGAAATAAAATCGAATAAACACATGCTTTTTGACTTGGTGGATATATTGTAGTTATTTGCTAGTAAAAAATATTTAATCAGTTGTGAATTTTCCCATGTAGGTGTCACGGACGATTATCTGGCATTAACATGAAAGGTCACTGAGGGCGAGTAATGTTATTGATATTGTCATTTTGATGTCTTTGCCCCGCCTTAGGCAATGCTAACCAAATAGGTCTGGGATTTTGATTTTATGTAATTTTAGTATAATATATAATACTACCGGCACTCATATTACGTAACTTAAAAAGTAAAATCAGGTAAATTTTACACATTATGTAGGTTTTTTTGAAAAAATATCACCTTGGAACTAGCTCTCATTCACTTCATGTTCACTTGTAGTAGCTGTGGATGTTGTCTAAACGCCATAACACCTGAGCTACATGGTTTGGCCATAGCTTACATAACAGACAGTCCTAAAAATCTTTTTTTACTGTCAAAAAAGGCCGCCGTGTGGGAGCGGAAAATGGCATGTAAATTCTCTTACTACAACGCTGAAAAAGGTTTTAGTATTCCGTGTTCGGCAGTTTTAGCCGGTGTTGCTGCGTACCATGCGCGCGGTCATAGATATTATTTGCAATGGTAAACATTTTACTATTCCGATATGACCAAGAGTAGTTTGTGTCAACCAATAATAATGAGGAGTGTGTCCAAAAATAAGAGACGGAGTATTGATGAAAATTTATTTATAAAAATTTAGGTAAGACCGACCTTTACAACTACAGGCCTATAGCTCTGCTTTCTGTTATAAGTAAGGCGATGGAGAGGTGTATAAATCGCGAGCTTCTGGACTACCTAGAACATCACAACTTCATTAGTGACAGGCAGTATGGTTTCCAGCATCAACGATCTACAGGGGACCTCCTAGCTTACGTCACGCAATTGTGGAGTAAACTAATCCAGTCGTATGGTGAGACCCATGTCGTTGCTCTTGACATCACAAAAGCGTTCGATCAGCTGTGGCACGCTGCCCTCTTAAGCAAACTTTTATCCTATGGCCTCCCAGAAAAGCTTTGCAGATCGGTGGCCGACTTTATCTCTGGCCGCAAGATATCCGTTGTAATTGACGGGTCCTCCTCTTCATCCCACCACGTCAATGCGGGTGTTCCCCAGGGAGCGGTCTCGGCTCCGACACTGTTTCTCTTACATATCAGCAATCTCCTTTCCTGCACGATCAACCCAATCCACAGCTTCGCTGATGACAGCACCCTACATGCAGGAATTCAGAGTAACAAGCCGATCTCTGCCGCTGAGCTGGAAAAAAGAAGGCTAGCGACTACATCCTCTCTGACAAGAGACCTGGAGGCTATCACTGCTTGGGAACTCAACAATCTTGTACAGTTCAATGCTTCCAAAACACAGTACTGTACTTTGACAAACAAAAAGCGTCCTAGCGCTCATCCGGTTTCGATGGATGGCCGAGTTCTGCCAAAGAGCCATTCATTTCGGCTGGTCGGAGTTCAGATCACCGAAGACCTTATCTGGCACGCACACATCTCGTCAATAGCTGCAGCGGCTGGGAAAAATCTAGGCTATTTGTTTAGGGCTAAGAATTACTTTTCTCCGCATGATCTTCTCACTCTATTTGTATAGATAAGGCCTAGCCTCGAGTATTGCTCACACGTTTGGGGTACTGCCGCCCCGACTACATTATCCATGCTCGATGCTGTCCAGAGGAGAGCGGTCCGACTGATCGATGAATCTTCTCTAACAGACAGTCTCGGAACTCTTTCGCACCGGCGTGCCGTCGGCGATCTAGCTCTTTTCTACCGCTACACCAACGGGCTTCGCTCCTCGGAGCTCGCTTCCATGATGCCGCCGTGCGATGTGCCTGCCAGACAGACCTGCCTGACTTTGGCCTTCCATCCTAACCGCGTCGAGCTTCGTACATCCAGAACTGTGCGATACGACCGCTCCTTTGTCCCGAGGGTGTCGAGACAGTGGAACAATCTACAATAGGAAGCTTTTCCCAGTTCTACTAACCTTAGGCAGTTCAAAAATCCTATTAACAAAATTTCTTTGGGATCATCATAGCAGCCGCGGTGTTCCGGCATTTAGGCTTCTGCCTGCGCGGCTGCATCGATACAAAAAAAATTATGTAAGAGCTCTATGTGTATGTGTAATTACGAAAGAGTATCACTATTTACAATAAATGGAAAAATACAAGCAAACACATCGTTCACTTGAATCACAAAGGGAACAAACCACCAGCAAAAGTGACAACCAATGTAATATAATCTGAACCTTCGGACCAACGAATTTGAATAGATTAAAAGGAGCCAATCCTAGATGTTTACACTGCAATGTTTGTCGCCAAAATTGTGTAGTTTTGGCAGATTTGACTAACATTGCCAAGAATATTCAAGTAGCATATTCAGAGCAACAATGTCGGAATACCTGATATTGGAAATAGTGGGACACCTAGTAGCATGAATTCTACTCAATTTCTCTAGTCTTCATTATCCCATCAGATTCTTGGCTAAAAGCAAATACCTATTTAATATGGAAATTCCTCCTATTATACTGTCACTATATTTATCCAATAAAAAGATTTTGATTAATTGTATAATTATAGTTTTTTGGCCATATTGAGCTTCCTCAATGGAATCTCGTGGCACTAAATGAAATGGTAAAACTACTTATAATGTGATATTACATTTCCTAAGATCCTTTAGATTCAAAATTAAGTTAGATAAAGTTGAATATTATCCCTTTCAGATTCCATCAAAAATTTGGATTGCCTCCAATAGTTTGCAATTTTCATGGTTGTTGGGTATACAATTCTGTTAACAAACCTTAGATTGGGGTTGACTGTTCAATGAAGCAAGAAATGAAATAAATCGAAATTACCTGAATACCGTCCAGGTAAAAGCCCAATGTTCAGGTACATGCTGTGCAACGCTGATAACTATAATATATAATAAATGTCAATAAAAATATTTGCTCTTACTCAGTCTAAACTGCTTTTTGTAATACACAAAGACCTCCACCGTTTTCGGCAACTGCCTGGAACACTAGGATTGTATGGAACCCACGGATTTTTTTTATATATGGTTTATCAGTCGATAGTTCCGATATTTTGAATATCTAAAAAAGGTAGTTACACATTTTATAGGAAACTATTCGCTCCTTACTTGGAAAGTATGCCGATCGCCAAAGGGTGATTCATATAATTATATTTTTTCTTTATTTTCTTGTTTTTATTAATTTTTTTTTCAAATTTGCTGTAATTTTCATCTTATAATGTTACGCCTGTTTTGAGTGTAAATTTAGAGGCGTAAGTGTATCGCTAAAATTCTATACAATTTGGAATTTTCTCTTTTAGAATTTGGACATTCTAAGATGAGATGCTGTCAGGTTCCTATATTTCCGCAACTGCAATGTGGATCAGAGCCGTAATCAATTCTTGATTTATGGTGAGGAATCAAGACATGGCCACTTCTTCTACTCACGGTTCTAATGTAAGGACGATTGGTAATTCCTTGAAACCAGGGTCTGCTTCGAAGCGTCTCTTGTATTCGTTTCGGGTTACTTACTGCTGGGCTTCTTTTTTAATGGTTATTCCATTTATTCGTTAGTCGTTGCCTGATTATAAAATGTACGTCCGTAAAAGATGTTTTCGTGAACGGAACAATCGCCTCAAGCTGAAGCTCTTTTTGGAAAATTATCTACAACCACCTCGTTTTCTTTTATACCTTGGTGGCTTTTGATCCAGATTATGTTTAGAAATTTGTTGATTCTATTCAGCTCCTGAATGCGGTTGATAATATCCACTACTAGATGATTAAGGTACAGCTCTCCTATTTTGTTACAGCACTACAGTCGATAAAAATTAGATTGTTATTTTCCTGGAATTCAAAACAGTATTCAACAGCTTGACTGATCGCGGCCAATTCTGCGGTGTAACATTCACGTAGTAACTTAAAATCTTGGTGATAGGAATTGTTGCTGTGGTAAAATGAACATCCCGTTAAATTTTCTTTTAGCCGCTGATCAGTGAAGACATATTCCCATCCGCTCTATCGTACTTGAATATCATGAAGGAATTTGTAAAGGGTTGATAAATCTAGTTCCGTATACTTGGAGAGCTTACGTTGGATATTCAGGTATGTAACATAGATTGATTTCACTCGAGTGTACCTTCTTCATGGTAGGATGAAGCCACTGATAACTTTCTACCATCAGAGGAAGTCTTTTTGTGTTGTGAATACTTCGCTGCTAATCCGTGAATAAACAATTTCTGGATATCACTGATGAATCCCTTGTTGACCAACTTAACCAGAGCTTTGTCGCTCAACATTTGTCGTCTCAACTGAAGTAAAGGTTCGGTACATTCTACCTCCTTGATGGGAGTGCTGTTCAATTACCTAATACACAGCCTACCGCACTTATTATTGATGTGTTCTATTTTATGAAAAAAGTTTAGCACACTGCTGGATCAGGTCCCCGTTTCCGATGAAAAAATGCCTTCAGAATGTTAAAAGCATATATTTGATAGAAGTTTTATACGAGGATGTCTTTTAAGTTTTGCATGTAGAAAAATAGGCCGCGCGGATCGAACGTCAGTACGTACTGAATCTTAACCTCACTCTTTATTAAACTTAAATGCAAAGTTTCACAACAATACGTGCAGTGTTCTCACTATAGTGAATTTTTAAGAGTCGCCAAGTTATTAGAAAAATGGAACTCAACCGAGAACATTTTCGCGCCATAATTTACTACAACTTTCAGAGACAATTATCGCAACAAGAATGAATTGATGAGTTACTGTCTGTTTTCCTCAACAAAGCGCCACATCAGTCGACAATTTCCCGTTGGTATGGAGAATTCAAACATGGACGGGTGAGTCTTAGCGACGATCCCAGGGTGGGTGCACCAAAAACGGCAGTCACCCAGGAAAACGTCGATGCTGTGCGCAAACTCATCATTGAAGATAGACATGTGAGATATCGCGAGATTGACGGGTCCTTCAAGATCTCAAAGACCTCAATTCAAAAAATTTTACATGATGAATTAGGAGTAAGAAAATTAGTTTCTCGTTGGATACCCCACCTATTGACTGAAGAGCAGAAAGCAGCCAGGGTTAATTGATGTCAAAAGCATTGTTAGTGGTGATGAATCGTGGATTTACTATTATGAACCAGAAAATAAACGACAGTCGGCTGTTTGGGTGTTCCAAGGTGAAGAAAAGCCAACAAAAGTCATCTCGAAGTGTTTCGAAAAAGGCGGTCGCGACATTTGTGCCAAAAGCGGGTCATATTGCAACAATTCCTCTTAATGAGCAAAGAACTGTTACTGCGGATTGGTATACCACCATTTGTTTGCCAAAAGTCATCATCGATCCTCGAAAAATCAACCCCGAAAGAAGAATCATCCTCCACCAAAACAATGCAAGCTCGCATACAGCCCAAAAAACAAGGCAGTATTTAACGGAAGAAAACGTGGAATTATTGGACCATCCTCGATATAGTCCCGATCTAAGTCCTAACGATTTCTTTACTTTCCCGAAAATTAAAAACAGACTGCGTGGTCAAAGGTTCCAGTCACCAGAAGAAGCAGTTGACGCATTCAAAAATGCCGTTTTGGATCTGCCAGCAAACGAGTGGAATAAGTGCTTCGAAAATTGGTTCGAGCGCATGCAGATGTATATTGATCTTCGTGGAGAATACTTCGAAAAACAATAAAGTCATTTAAAACTTTATTTCCAGATGCAAAACTTAAAAGACATCCCTCGTATGATATACTCGTTTTCTGCACAGCCAAAGTGAAGGTATTTGGACGACTAAGGCGAGATGTGGTAAACGTACATACACAAGATTTTAAGTAGGCAATGGAAGATCCATTATTCTCAAACCATACTTGTGCAATGGTATTAGCTGTTTCTAGATGTTCCATAGATTGAGATAAATGTTTGGTTTTTGTTCTGGGTGCTAATGGCATAGTCATCTGCAATCTGATATGGGTGTCCACTGGGAAAGTTCACATTTCAAATTTGAATTACGCGCCAGCCGTATACGCGGGGAAGTGAGAAAGGTCTTGATCGACGCGTTCGGCTTCGGCGTGCGGGTTGAATAGTCACAATGGAACCTTGGACCGGAGCGCAACGTGCTTTTGCTATCGAGGCTTTTTTAAGAGTGGTTATTCATACGCAGCTGTACTTCGGAAATTTTGTACACGATACAACATTCGCCGACCAAGAGGTGCCCCAAGTAAAGGAACTATTGAAAAAGTTGATTAAGAGGTTCCGTGAAACAGGCTCTACTCTTAGTCAACCCATTCCCACACCTCCTGTAGCAACCGAAGAAAATGTTCGTTAAGTAAGTGATTCGGTCATTGCAAATCCTCGGCCTTCTGTACGGAAGCATTCCGCTGCTTTGGGAATCCATAGTGCAACACTGCATGGCATAATGAAGAAAAAAAGAGTTTTCATCCTTATAAAATCCAATCAGTCCATGCTTTAAAGGAAAGAGATTACGTATTACGGAAATCTTGTTCTGAACGGATGTTGAATGTTTTTCCTACGCAGACTCGAGAACGTTGTTTTCAGTGCCGAGGCCCATTTTCACTTAGATGGTTATGTGAACAAGCAAAATTGCAGATACTGAGCACCAACTAACCCAAAAGAGAAACATCAACAACCAGCTACATAGTCCAAAGGTGACTGTTTGGTGCGCCATATCCTCTAGCGGTATTATTAGGCCGTATTTCTTTGAAGATGAAAACGGTCATGCATTGACAGTCAATTCCGAGCAATACAAGGACATAATTGACACCTTTTTGTTCCTATTGTAAGAACAGAACGTCGATTTAACAGAAACACATGGTTTCAACAGGATGGGGCCACTACCCATACTTCCAGAGACGGAACGATGGACACGGTGAAAGCACTTTTTCCTCGAAAAGTAATATAGAAGTTTGGAGACATCCACTGGCCTCCTGGGTCACCCTACCTCACGCCATGCAATTATTTTTTGTGGGGTTATCTACAGTCAAAAGTGTATTCCAATAATCCAAGAAGACTGGAGGAGCTTAAGGACAACATTCGATGAGAAATAAACAACATCACTCCGGAACTCTGTAACAGAGTGTTTCAGAATTTGCGCACGCGATTAGAAGAGTGTGTCCGAAGGGATAGCATATATTTTGACGGAATGATATTTAAGAAATAAAACCCTCCGAATTTACGAATATGTTGATAGTAATAAATATTCTCATTTCATTAAGTTTGTATTTTTTTTTCTTAAATCAAAAAGCGAACTTTTCCAATGGATTCTAACGTATCTTGGAATAAAAGCTCTTTCAAAGTCATAGGAATAAATAATTATATACAAGATGGGACTTTGTGCGAGTTCTTTAGATATTGATTGTGGTCCAGTAGTCTGGTCAGAGGCTATAAAACTGTTTCTATTGCTATACAGTAATAATATATGGTTGGCAAGTTCTTTTGGAAAACCATTATTAACAATTTTACTGTATAATATTTTCAAGTCTACATTATCATATGCTCCCACAACGTCTAAAAGTATTACTGAAATAGGCTCATTAATCAAAAATCCAATTTGGATATCAGTTGTCAACTGTATTAGCAATCCATTTCGAACTCCGTATTGCGACCTTGAGAGCTACAATTTTCTAACATAGCACAGGTATTAATAATCAAATGTCACTGATTTTATACATATGCAGACCAATACACACAAGCAACCAGATGCGATCTTGATACTCAACCATATTTGTTTGTTCAGAAGTATACTCTATAAAATAAACTATCTCGGCAGCTTGCAATCCACAAATCACGCTGGAGAAATGTGAGATGAAGCATCTTGGGAAATATGATCGGTGAGCCATTTCTCTATAGGTGGCGCTCACAGCTAGTAGGCGCGGAATGAGCTAGCAACTAATTAGTACACAAGTTGGCATATCGATTTTTAATGACATTATGACCATTTTTCACGTAATGCCCCTGCCGCACTGTCAATATGAACTAGAGACCCATCATATGTCAAAATCCACCAAGACATTTAAGCTGTATCCCGTGACATATAAATTTCAATGCTAAAAATTTCGACTAAAATCCATCATTTTGATTTTATGAGATTTTAATACACCCAGTGTCACTCGCACTGACAGTGCCATATAAGGGTAAACCAGAAGATGTTTCTTAAATCTGCTTATCAACTATTATCTGTTCACTTAGTTCAAGACGGAGACTTTATAATGATGATCAAAACAATGATAGTAAATATAGTTGAAATTATTAGATAAATTTAATATTACCTCTTGTTTAGTAAGTCCGGTTAGTACTGGAATCAAGAATCTAACATCGGATATTCTGGTGGTATACAAATCTCTGACTCTTTCCACCAAATGTACAGAGGGAGGAGTTTTATCTGTCAAAATATGTATGACTCTGGTTACGAGAGTTTCGGAGCCTTTTGGACATTGTTCAACGAGTTTCAGCAATTCAGGTGAGTCCATTCCCATTGTTCTCACCGGATTTTCTATTAACCTGAGTATGATCCTTTTGATATCCGCTGAGGTCTCAACATAAACCTTAAACAAACAAAATTATATATAATTAAAATATCACCACTAAGTACTGTTAATAAAATTTGTTGGTAAAACGCTTAGAGCGCAAAAGAATTATTTTTTATGACATTTAATAATCAAAAATATACTCATACCTTAGCAAGATCATGAACGAGAGTCTGATTAGCTGGCAACAATGATATATATGGTAACAAGCAGGCTCTTATAAAGTCATCTCCCCATGTTTCACTCTTGAGCCGGCCCTGGTTTACACCACATAAGCTTTCTGGTGGTTTAGGCAGCTTCAGGAATTCCAGATTCATACGAGCGAATTCCTCTATCACGGGCCGTAGGTCTGACCGGCTACCAAAAACATAGCATAAACAAGGTGTTTCAAAAATAAGGTAAACTGATGAATTTTTTATGAAAAAGAGCAGTGTCGTAGCCAAAATTCACATTACTGAATATAGTTTATACATAAAAATTCAATTATTCACAGTCCTCTACACAATGAAAAGTTGGTGACCTAAGTCAATATATGGTTTTTCGTGGTGGTTACGATGAGAGACACTACTGGGCTGATTGCGAAGAAAGGGTTTAATATCAGCTGAAAATGAATGTGGAAAATTATTCACCTATGTAATTCCAATACGTGCCCTATGGCGTTGTCACGTACTGCTGCTACTTCATAAGTTGTGTATGACAAAAGGGCATTAAGGAACAACAGCTGTTTTGGAGGCTTCCGGACTGTAAGATCCTTTAATAAGCCTAATGCCCAACCTGGAATAAATTACACATAGTTGTAACAAATAATCAATGTCAAAATAATGTTTAAACCGTATTCGACGCTACAATTTTATGTTCATCATATCAATTAGTCGCAGACGACATTTTGCTCTTATAAATGTGCACGCACATTGAGGAGACGCGGCACGAAGCGAACCGCGGCGACACCTGTCATTTGCACGTGTCAAACGTGACACATCACTTGCCTTCGCGTCGCTCTAGTGTGTGGCCTGTCATTTGATTATGTGTAAAGGAACCCAGTGGAAGAATTTCGCTTCCCTTCTCTTCGCTTTTCTTCCCCTCAATAAGCGTCAATATTAAAGATTTGACGAGTGCAAATAACAAATGTCGCCCCATTTCCTTTCGTGACACTCCGCCTCAATGGGGGTGCAACTTTAGAGCTCGACAGTACGACATAGATCTGGACTGGAAAACAGAAGCAGTCAAACTACGTGATGAATGCTACAGGTGATATGGGATGGACAGATATCTGAAAGTTGCGATATGTATATATGTCTTTTCACCTAATTTGGCAGTTACTACACATCATGGTGAGTAGCATTTCGTTAAATATTCATACCAACGGTATTACTCAGCATATTCTCATCGTTGTGCAAATACATGCGTACTTATGTATGTATATGTACAAGATAGCAAGTACAAACCGACTACTGGTTGCTTGGTCTATCTCTATCATCCTGTACCTTGCTCAGTATAATCTGCCTCACTACTGATATTAGTTGAATGTCAGCCCACTTGCTTACAGATCTGGCAAAGTTATCAGCAGTGAGCCTCTATTCTAAATGCCTCTGGCAGTCAACCCATCAAATACACTCGAGAAAATAAGCAAAAATACCCTCTTTAGGTAGCTGCCAAAACAACCACGTTGTTCTGTGAGAAACTATGAAGAAATATCCATAACGAATTATTGTAATTTAGTTTATCTTCCATTCCCGACTCGATATCTCTCACGTCCTCTTGGTCCTCCACGACCACCTCTACCGCTTCCTGGTCGAAAATAGAAAATGTATGTACGTTGACCAATAATTTGAAAAAATACGATCATAGCTCTTTTTTCAAAGACATGGAATGGTTGAGAGTGAAATAACTGTGTGAGCTATACTTGGTTACTTACACCCACATACTTTTTCTATCATCCATTCCCCTGTTTTGTAAAATAAGCAATATTCATTCTAGATATACTCGATTCACGGAAACACTCACAATGCCCCTTCACATGACATTCTTTCATAAATGTTTTACCTACACTGCAGTTTTAAAATGATATACCTCGAGCCACAAAATTACTATCATATGGCGAATTTAAAGACATATGAAGAAATTTATTGTGTGAACAGAGATACATAAATAGTTGTTAAAATTTATCTGTCGGCTCACACAAATATTCCTATATAACATTCTTTTGTTTGTATAACTATTATAACGTATACTTTTTAAACCTGAAATATTGAATATAAATCAGTCGTCTGGTCCATGTACTATGACCATTTGCAATCCATCTCTGCAGCCATTTGGCAAAATGCGTGTCTGTTTCCCAGATGCCTTTTTTACAGGGGAAAGCTTTTATATCCACTCTGGCACTCATAGAGGTGTAGTCTAACTTCCTTAATGGAGGGTTTTATAACCACTCTGGCACTCAAAGAGGTCTATTCTAACCTCCTTAATGGAGCGTTTTAGAGCAACTGCTTCTTTGTATATGCAGCTTCTATAGAGCACTAATGTGAGATGGGTTGTGAACGTTCCTTCCTGATGAAAGTCTACTTTTTTGAGAACATTCTACAAAGTTCTATTAACAAAATGACTATAACAGATAGTACAAATAAGTAAAACGATTTATAAAATAACCTCACAACGAGAAGTACAATAAGTCGAGCTCAAATTTCCTAAGCCGCTCAAATCATAGGGTTAAGGTTAAGCGTGATTTAGTGCTGTATAGGATATGGTGCATACAAAAACAGAAACTTGAGCCTGCTTAAACTTTAAGCAGAGCTTATCAATATACAGTGGATATGGATATTAATACACAACTGTGTGACATCCACCAGCAAGAAGATCATTTCTAATGTCAAAATCTATATTCATGCACAGCTCCCATCCTGGGTCTTGTAAAATACTCATAAGTTGAAGCTCCCACCTGATTCTTATAAAATATGTTAAAATGTATAATTATGTTTTTGCTTCGGTATTGACTTAGTAATAACGATTTGAATTGAAATTTACACCTGTTTGAGTGTACATTTTTTAATAATTGTTAGTAACATAATAACTCACCTGATCTTCTTTCATCCCTGCAAACAGCTCTTACTTCGTCTAACGCATCATCTGTTATCAATGGCGCTTCAAGCATCAACCTTGACAATATCAATACATCAGTAGTGGATACATTTATGAAGCTGCACAGCAGCATATTATAGCTATCCTCTGGTTTGCTCTCTTTTCTAAGAGTTGGCATCCTCGAAAAACCCTACAAATAATTACCATGCAGTTATTTTTTGAGCCGAACTGGGACATCTATAAATATTATTTAGATAATTGTTACTCATGGCATAAAACTTCGTTCCGCGAATTCATTACCATTCTCCAAATTACATAATAAAGATTTGAACATGATACAACATTCAGTTCAAAATACCTGCATTACGCTATATTCTTCAAAAAGCCAGGCGAGCGCGATATCTACATTGGATCTAAGGTCCGAGAGCAAGTGCGACAAGATGGTCTCCTTGACAGCAGAGTTAAAAGATGTCGCCATTGTCGTAATGATTTTCTGATGGAGCAACTTATTGGTGGATTTATGGGGTGTCAGCATCCTTTTCACGGAATTGATCAATAAGAGATCTTTAGTGCGTTTATCCAAAGGCTTGGTAATGTCAGCTAGCTTCAAGGTCTTGATGCGTTGAACTTTGATCTTTTCTTTTTTCGATGGAGGCTAAACAAAACAATTCGATAAATCAATAACCACATTGACAACGTTTATAATGCAGTGAAAAATGAATTAGGATTACATGACACAAGAGTCCTTTCATGTGTCAAGTGTCCACATGCAGGGCTTCAAGCTGACTTTTGACATCTACTTTTTGTTCTTATCACCATCCATACAAGCCACTTACAAATTCCATAACATGAACAGAAAACCACTTACCCTGATTGCGAACACTGGGCTTTAAAAAGACAATCAAGTACTAAAATATGAAGAAAGCTAAAATACATTATGTTCTTTAATATTTAAATGATAACATTTCATAAATGCGAGCAACATGAAATTTGAGTTTTTTCATTGCCGAAAAATGCACTTATAGACTGATTCTTTACTTCGCCAAAAAATAATATAACTGCGCACTATTTTTTCAAACAATTTATCATCATTAGTTAGAGGCTGTATAATAAACATTTTCTCACGTCTACGAACATACCTCTTCTAAACAATTTTATACCCGACTTGATATTCTGTTCAAGAGGTGAGGATCGTTTGATATAACAAAACAGATCTGCTTGTAGCTACCTTTTCTCTATCATCCTTTGCATCAGCTTCTCTTTCTCTCTTCCTACTTGATATTTCTGGAGGTGCGGGCGGACTTTTTTCCTTCTCTTCAGCAGCAGCTGCTGGTTGTGTTACCTGAAAGTGTTAATCATTATAATATATATGCCCGGTTTTTCAAACTCTGGTTCACTTTTGAGTCTTTTAACTATAATTTCTAAGTATTAATCATCCCTACATTCGTTTTTCAGTTCTGGTTAACCAACCCGCGACTGTATATCTAGCAACATGACGCTCGACATATGTATCTCATGTCGTCCGTGACAACTCTTGTAAGTTTAAAGTTGAAAAAACAACCTATAAAAATACATGTAGCGACTGTTTCAAACTCTAACAGGACTAATATTAGACGCTTGAGAGATTTTACAACCAAAGATGACCGGACCGTAGGTCACATGTTCACATGCATTATAGCAAAACCTATGTTATCATCTCAACTTATATTTGGAAACAAGTACCTTAGCTCCAGGTCCCACGCCGGCCTCCGTGAACTGCGCCGCCATAACATTGGCTACATGCACCTTTCCAATGTTGCCACTCGTGACAAAATCTGCATAGTCACGAACAAAATCGGGAGGTAACGTCGGCGGTAGCTTCGGAATATTGGTTACTATTAAATATACTGCCTTCTCCAATGTGAGGTTCTCCATTATAAATTGCTCGTTGATCTGTATGAAACAAGTATTTAAATAAAAACTAGTTCGTTATAAAAAACTAACTTATCGCAATAGCACAAAATGTTCAATCCAAATGTTGATCTACAAGTTGACTCAAAAGCCTCATAATCTTGTGGTGGCTAACGTCAAAAAATCATTTTTCAAAAAAAAATTCCTTTCATTGAGTAAAATATCATTTCGACTTATCAGAAAGGTTGAAAAGTATAAGATTTCAAATCCCTCAATTTCTATTTCGTTTTTATAAGCTTTGTCCTTGCACGTGTTTGAGCAAAAAATGCTTTATCTCACCTCTTGAGGTGTTAGTTGCGATTCAACCGGTACATCTTCAGCGTCCATAGGTTCATGTTCTAAGCGCCTTTTCATAGCACTCTGATGAATCAGAGACTCAGATGACAACATTCTCTTGTTATATTTACGTCTTTCGTCTGCCTTTGGTATCATCTTGTTGATTTCTTGCTGAGAACATCCTAGAACAAACATTACACGCAATTGAGCAGTCTGATCTCTTTCTATTACGAGGGTTGATCCGTATACTGCACCTGTGACCCCTTGCAATAAAGCGCCATTCAATTTGTGTTTATTTTTTCTAACATAACATCAACGCATTTCAATAGGCTCCTGTAAAAATTTTAGGTGATTTCTGAAGAACACCCATCCACCGCAGAAATTACCTGTTGCTTGAAAATTCATTTTCTCGTAAATGTTGTTTTAATTTTGGAAACTATATGAAATAAATCACTGGGGGGTCAGAACTAAGGAATGCGATGGATAATCAATTCAAAACCTGGTTGATAGAGAGGAGCCATGGACATGCAGTATAGGTGATATGACTTGCAGCATGCCACTATGCTACTTCTTAAGCTTTCCCGCCAGTTTTTTTAAGATCATCTCCCAATCTTGAAATTATATAAAATATGTGCCTGTATTCCAAACGTCCGTCTTGTTCTTCACTTTTTTGATGTTTTGATCAGTCGTTAATGTTGCTATATTGGTTTTCCCAACATATTATTTCTTACTTAAAATCTCGACACCGGCGTTTGACCACATAAGAGCTTCACACCCTACAATAGCCACCACAATGTTTCGATAACTTTAAGTGGGCGACATACCCTCGTTTTCCAGATATTTCAACATGAACCTAAATGCACATAACGTCAATACAGTTTGACTTATAAACTTAATATTTTGTAAACATAGCCTATTAGAATAACTTATTTTATGGTTAACAACATTCATCAAATAAGCATCTGCAAAGAGGTATCCGGCAAAGCACAGAGATCAAGCCTCATACCTCGATGTAAACCAATGAGAAGTGGCTAATTGTAACCGAGTTTTTAGACATTATGACACCTGTTGGCATATTTGCACTGTTGCCGAATTTAAAAAAAGCGAGTTTCGTTTTGGCTGGTGATTGACGGCATGGGGATTTAGATGTGACTAAGATAGATTTCAACTTAATTGCCATCTTTATGATGTAGTATTTGTATCTCAACATAGGTCACATTATGAAAATGGATTTGACTTCAGCATCCTACAATATCCACAGCTGAGCTGAGCTAGTGGTGTAAACTGTCGCTGGGTACGTAAAACCCACGAAAAATCATGTATATTTTTCAGTTGAAGTCTTTGGCACAAGTATTTATAATTACCATGATATATTTATTTTCAGAGGATGACAAAGGGAGAGGTGTGGTAAGACATATTCAAGTTGAGCAAACCCAAACATGTAAGTCGATATTGTTGGTGTAGATAGCAGTAAGATTTTTTAAATTCTTTAATCACAGCGACGTTATATTTTGTAATTGTTCTTAGCAGGAAGCGGCTGAGTCAACACATTTTAGAAGTTAATGATTTTTTTTTTCAGGTCGTGTTAATGTCGTCATACTGATGAGAATAAAGTATGCATTACCTTGGTGGTAGTGACTCGAAAAGATGTGAAGGGAGAACAATAACTTACCCAACTCCTGTAGAATTGGATTAATCCTCCCAACAAACTCATACGCTCCAGGATATTTCATCAAACTGGTCAATTCGGTCTTCAATTTTTTCTTTACAGAGCTGACTTGGGTAGTAGTGAGAGTAGGTGGTAGATTGAAGTAAAGTGATTCTATAGCATCTACAACGCGCTCCATGAACATGGCGCGACTTTTTGCGATGTTTGTCAATACACCTACACATGCCAACAGATTGGCGCTGCTAATGTGGGGAGAGTTGTGGAACTTAACGAGAATCTCGAAAAGGTTGCTGAAACACAATGTATGAGGTAATAAACATGTGGATAATATTAACAATAATGCTTTCTGGATTTTTGAGCAACAAGTACTGTTTGAACGACAGCCAAAAGCAGAGCAAAATAATTTCTATCAGGCGTACTGAGATGATACAAATGCGAAGGACGCGCCAAAAGTTCTCGGCCATGTAGGTTTAGTATAAACTTGTTCGATTGCTGGTTCGTTTATACTCGCAGTTACTGTATTGTCTCAGTGGTCCCATAAGTAATTTGTCCGTTCGTTTGTGCTGTTGTTTGCTTTTCTGTTAGTAAAAGCAAAAAACTATGGCAGTCGAAATTTGAAGAATAATATTAATTCACCAAATACTAAATTGTTTAAAAATAGGCAAATAAATATGAAAAATCCTGTGTGTTGATTATACAATATCTTACTAACTGTCAAAATTCATATGTGCATAACAAATGTAATTCTAAAAAGTATGTACATAATTTTAAATTTTGCAGTTTTAACTTTCTATATATATTTTCTATATAATTATATACAGTCATTCGCTGCATAATACAAACCCAGGATATAATCTTGACTTTACCTTTACAACAGTTTTTTGTGCTACATCTAGATCGGAAATATATGTCTTGCAGGTGGCCCCCAGGCTGTGATGCTGTATATTATATGGGTTTTAGTTAAAGCATGGTACAGTATACAGATATAACATTCTGTAAGAATGTTTGCAAGTATTTTCAGTTTATAGGCAACATTTCTAATTTTTTTTTTGTAACAGATGCAATATAGTTATCCCACCTTAAATTCGAGTCTATAAATACTATTTTAAACTGTATCGATTTTTGTTTTTTGGCCATGATAATTAACAGAAATTTGTTCGAATCTAGGTAAAATTTTTAAATAAGATGTAAATGCAATATATTTTGTTTTTTTTTTTTTTTGAAGTTAACTGTTAAAATTTTACTATCAAACCAGTTCATGATCTTCATAAAATTCTTTTAAGCGATTTGCTTCAGAGTATTCCAGTCATTAGCTTTATATAATATTAGGGTGTCGTCGGCAAAACATACAACCTTTTCAGTACTATTAATTTTGAAGCACACCACACTTGATGTACATTTTTTACTGAAAGTGTTAGAGATTTTGACAGTATGTGTCCGACCTGGAAGGTAATTTTGTATTAGTATTTGTGATGTTGACCTAAATTCCAATCTTTCCATAACTTTGAGAAGCTCGACATGATTCACCGTATCAAAGGCATTGTTTTGGTTAACAAGGATACCAATAGTAGGTATTTTTCTGTCGACAGAATAAATTTCATCCATTGCTCCAGAATACAATTCTTGACGAAAGAAGAGCGATCGGTGCAGGAAATCAAGTCCAAACAAGGAGACACTGGCGATTCTTCGTCTTCTTTCTCGACAGTGGAAGAATGGGCAAACAAATTTCGCTTGAGATACGAGTCCCGTGAGGATTATGATCGTCCTGGTCGGTTAGCTGACGAAGTTACTGAGGAACTTTTCACTCTTGTAGAGAGTATAGTTCTCAGTGATCATCAATTAAAATTGAAGGAATATTCTACAATGTCGCAGCTGTCAGATGGATTTTTCACGATCATTTGTTACACAGCGTTTGATGCGCTCAGTCATTTTTGTCAGTTTTACTTGATTAGCTCATCTATCTTTTATATTTGAATTTTACTAAAGTTATGCTGTTTCAAGGTTGAATTATATTTAGCTATGGGTTAATGCCCAGCACAACTTTGCCTTTTTGGGGTTTTCCCTGTTTGTAAATTATTTTCTTACAACAAACCACTACTAGTACTACTACTACTACTACTACTACCATAACAAGAGATAACAGCTTTATCAAATCTATGGAATGGCAAAGACCAGATGAAAGAGCTCCAAATAAAGGGAACGTATCACCATCGGGAAAAAAATGTGGCCACAGTTTTTTTAGACTGTTAGCAGATATTAGTATTAGATTTTAAAGACCACATTACCACTATGACTGCTGCCTACTACGATATTCCTCTGATCACTTTCAGAGACACAAATAAAAAAAAAATCAAGGATTGCTGAGCAAAGGCGTGCACTGATTGCATAATAATGCACCTGTGCATACTGGTGGTGTCGTTCAAGTTGTTATCAGCGTTTGAGCTACTAGAGCACCCGTCTAACAGCGCTTACGTGGCTCTGCCTGACTTATTTATTTTCCCTTTTGAAAAAAGCGTTGCGATGTTTTCGTATCGACGAAGAGTTGAAGGCAGCAGTTATAAGTTGACTCCCAACAATTCGGCATCCCTACAAACAGTGTATCGAAGTCAAAGGTCACTATGCTGGAAAAAAATATAAAACATTTTATTATCCTACGTAGTTTTTTATTCAGGCCGAGAATTTTTGACGCACCCTACGTACGACAGCAGAGAGTGCCAAACGAAAGTTGAACGCAAGGTAACGCAGATGAGGTAATTAGTGGTTAATAATTCGGTTTTGCTGTAATGGGTTAGTGATATCTGGTAATTAAGGATGTTAACAGCACAGAACGCGTAACACTGAAAAAGTGGGAGTTCCACGTTAAACGATGGCAAAACCGTTGATATTTGTCAGAAAGAATGCCGAGAATGTGTCTGGAAATCAGGAATGAACCGGAGATTTCGTTTGTTCATCATTTGGAATCTACTGGATATTTCTAATATTGAAATAGTATTTCATGAACGGAGATTCATAAAATATCCTAAATAAGGGTAATTCAGCAGATTTACTAGGAATATGTTTAAGGATAATTAAATCTAATGCAAATTATTATACAAAATATATATTTATTTTCAATAAGTAATAACATGCAGTAAACATATTGTTTGACAATGATATAAAAGTTGTATTACATGAAAATATAGATAGATTTATCCCAAATTCATGTAATCGAACACTCTTTGCAAAACACAGGTGTATCATTGAATTGCTTCTTGTTAATCTGGAACAATACAGAAAACACTAATGTAATTTATGCAGTCCTTGTAATTAAGCTACTCACTCTTAATTAGTTTGCCCAGCTCTATGCCTTGAATTTGTTGGCTTAGATGGGCAGAATTTTGCTATATTACATGCTTTATAAAATTTATGTCTGTACTCTGTGCAGGTATTACCATGCATCATTTAAAGATATTGACGCCAATACAAAAAAGCTTTCATGCTTTATATAATGGTGCCGACTACAAAGATTATCCAGAAATAACTATTCCATGTAATTTAGAGGAATCTACCAACTATTAATTTAAATTCACAGCCTACCTGTAGCATTTTACACAATAGTCACAATACATTTCACGTATTTCATCACTGCTACTGATGGTGTTGATTTATATTGTACACTCATTTTGAAGGCAATATCTGCAGAAGCATCAGCGTTGTGAACCTGGATGTTATCCAAAACAAACGCCATATTGGAGTTTTTTACATTAAGGTAAAGATTCGATGCCGGTAATGCAGTTTCCTTGATTTTATCTTAAGCAGATAACCTTGGCTTTGTCAGTTCGCACTTCACCCCCCTGCCTAACTACCCGGAGGTACCGTTAATTGAACCTCATTCATTTGTTATATGCAACACTCCCCATTCATATTTAATCATCATACACCATTTCATACTGCTTTTCCTAGCGAAAATACATATTAATTATTGCTGAACGCCAGATGACCTAGGACGTATTCCAGAGATAACATATCAACATTTCTTTAACGCAATCGTCATGCTTCGGTATTTGGGCAGTGTTTCGAATCTGTATGAGGAAAAAGATGCTGGGTACAGCTTGCATTTTCATTTCTAGGCGAAAAAATTGTGGAAACTCACAAATAAGCAATGTATTATATTTTTTCATGGTTTCTACTTTATGGGGATAATTCAGAATATTTTGTAGAATATTACTATTAGTGTTACTAGTTACTATCTATTCAAAATAATATTTCACCTACAATATAACATTATGATAGTTATAACAACCAACTAACCTGGCCTCTTCTTCCAGCCTCCTCCTTCTAGCAACCTTCAACGTCAGAGGTACATCATCTAAAGAGAAATCATTAGATCTTTTATTCTCAGTTTCATCTGGATATGTTTGTAGAAGAACCACACATTCTAAGAATTTCACAGAACTTGTCCTGGAAGATATAAAATACAGTGTTATATTCAAATTGATATATGACTCAACCCATTATATCTTTATTGTACTATACAATATAATACAGTACAAATGGCAAAGTCCAGGGTCCTTATCTAACAATCTAATTTATATGAAAGATTCTATACATGTACATCGTCAGGTACTACAAAAATCAGAAAACACCCAAAACGAAGTTAGTACTTGACATTAACATGTTTGATAATGCTTGATACATAGGGTCGGAATGGGGATTCCAATGGCGTGAAAATTTTCAAATATAAAATTAGATCATAAGAAAATAAAACAGTTTTATGTATAACAGGTATACAGGGTGACTTCGAAGTTGAGTCATTTATTTTAACAGTGAGTAGATCTGATCAAAAGAAATGTTTTTTTCCTTTACCATTTTTCTGGTAAAATTAAAGTAACAAAGTTATAGCCCTTTGGAAGTTTGAGTACCGCCCTGTCTCAATAATAATATTATGTACTCGTGTTTGGCGACAACGGATATAATTCGCCTTATCGGTTCATCGCATCGGAAACAAAAAAGCGAAAGAATTTGGAACGATGTTTTTACAATTCAGTTGTATACAGTCAGTGTCAGTCGGTAGTGGATAGTGGTGTCTGTTGCGTGGCTCAAACGAAATAAAAAATGGCACATGTTTATGCGGATCGGTTTCCCAATCGAGTGCAACCAACTTCGTGCCTTTGTTAATGTAGTACAACGGGTTCGTGAATCATTTGACTTAAGACCTCACATATGGACGGCATGCCGGTGCTCCAAGACCTCACGATCAAATACAGGGCCGCACTGAAATACTTGTCGGGATGATACTTTATAAAACAAGGTAAAATTTTTTTCTATTTTTTTTTATTTTTACACACATATTTTGGTTTATCTTCCTTCTACAATCATTATCTGAAAATTAATGACTCAACTTCAAAGTCACCCTGTATATAATAAGTGTGACAACTTAGTACAAATAGTAGAAAAAATGAGTTATCTTTATCGCAATAAGCTGCCGTTATTAATGTGATTTGATGTAATTTAGAACAAAATTATGGTGATTCGAAAAACGTAAAAAGTGTCATAAATGCTGACGTTGATTTACAAGAAAGTAGTTATTCAAGTCAAGTTTATAACGCCTACTATTTACAATAGTTTCTCCTATTTTAAAACTCAATGCATCAAATTATTTTGACCCTGATATGAGAACGCAATTTTTTATAAAGGGTTTTTCATTAAGTGTGTCTGAAATTTAAAATTGAATAAAACGAATTATGTGCGGCATATAATGGAAACTTTAATTGCATATTAAAGTACATTCAATACCATTACGTTGTAAAAATTACATCATTCAAATGGCCTCCGGGGCTTCGTTTACAGAACTCGATCCGAGAGGTCCAATTTTGTAAAACTCTGCCGCGTAAGTCAGGCTGGATCTTACCAATGGTTTGAATGATGTGGTTCTCCAGTTGGTGAATTGTTGTTAGTTTGTTGCCATAAACCAGCGATTTAAGGTAACCCCAGAGAAAAAAGTCTAAGGGCGTTAAGTCGCACGACATTGGCGGCCATTCCACGCCTCTTCTGGAAATAACGTATCCTGGAAAATTTTGTTGCAACAACTGCAATGTAATGGTCGATGTGTGACTCGTTGCGCCGTCTTGTTTTAACCACATGTCGTTCAGGTCCGTATCATCCAACTGAGGCCATAAAAAGTCAGTTATCATGGCCGGACACCGGACGCCGTTGACAGTCGGCGTCTCGCCATTCTCGTTTCAGAAGATGTACGGTCCAATGACGCCGACTGACCAAAACCCACACAAAACAGTAATTTTTTCCAGATGCAATGGAGACTCTTGATGCTGTTGTGGATTACTGTCTCACCAACTGCGACAAGTTTGTTTATTCACGAAGCCGTTTAACCAAAAATGTGCATCATCACTGACATTTATTTTTTTGCCATATTCTGAATCCGCTCTTAACTATTGTAGAGGCCAGTCAGCGAAAGTACGATGCGCTTGGTGGTATTGAGGCTTCAGTTCTTTTCATAACATTCTCCAAGTCGAGGTCGCAGAAAGGCCAATTGCTTGTGCACGACGTGGAATCGAAAGGTTTGGATCTTCAGCTACACTTTCGGCAACAGCAACAATATTCTCGCTTGACGGCGCATTTCTGGGTCTTACAGGAACTACTCGATCAGCAACCGACGCGTCTTGCTCGAATTTGGCGATAATTCCTTAAATTGTTCGCTCCGTTGGACGACTATTTCGGCCGTAAATATTTCGTAGCTCGCAAAAAGTTTGACGAATAGAACACGAATTTTTTTAATAGATTTTAACAATAATTGCTACGCGTTCTTGCTCAGTGTAGCGATCCATGATAAAATGGTGACTATGACAGAACACAAACATCGAAGAACGATAACCGTGCCACCTGAAACGTCAAATTCCGGACATGGCTATTGAAAACCCCCTTATATAGACCATGTAAAGGGCCCTAAAGGCTAAAAAACCATGTTCCAGAACACATACACTGAAGCAACTTTGTGGACTGCTAATTTAGTATGATTGTACGACACATATGCAAAACAATCCTGACCCTAACTCGATTTTCAAAAATCACAGGCGTTTGCTCGATTTATGATCAAAGTGGGGATAGGGGCCTTCCGAACCGCATTGGCGGAAACCTCTTGGCGAGTCGTTAGAATATGATAACTATGAATCATTGTAAAAAATCATGGACCTAACTGCACATGACCTCCTCACTCTCTAAGGCCCAGATAAGACGTGGCCTCGAGTATTGCTCACACGTTTCTGGTGCTTACACCTCATCTACATCATCCCATGCTTGATGCTGTTCAGAGGAGGGATGTCCATCTGACCTATGACTCTCCTCCAACAAACAGTCACAGAACCCTCTCGTACTGGCGCACCATTGGCGATCTAGCTCTCTTCTATGGCTACACCAATGGCTTTGCTCCTAAGAGTTCTCCTCCATGATTCTGCCGCGCAATGTGCCTGCCAGACAGACCCGCCTGACTTTGGCCTCCCATCCTAACCACGTCAAACTTTGTACATCCAGAAATGGATAATATGACCATTCCTTTCTCATTAGGGTGTCGAGATTGTGGAACAATCTACAAGAGGAGGCTTTTCCCAGTACTACTGACATTAGGCAGTTCAAAAATCGCTGCCTTGACATTTAGACTTCTGCCTGCATGGCAGCTTTGGTCTGAAAAAAAATCATATATTTCCCTATACATTTGCCTTCAGAACTTAGTATAATAGAGAAATGTTTTCATTTTGTGTACTGTGAGAGGGACAACTCTGCCAGATGGACAGTAACTGCCAGTAGGGCAGGGAAAGAATGTCTATAGACTAATTGTATGGGCCTGTTTGACTGAATTAAACTGTTCAATTTCTCTGTTGTAGGTATGTACATGTTCATAACTTACTTTTTTCCAGAGGATATAAATTGTGCTGAACTTTATTTTTTTCTTGTTTTTCTTGGCAAACGGGGGTACTCTGGCACAATGCATAAAAGAAACTGTATTATGTGAAAACTGCATAGATTTACATAAATTTGAAGCTAAATTATGTAATTGTTTGTTGTGAAGACAAATTTTGTGCACAGCTACCTTTATAGCAGTTATAATCATGCTAAATCAATCAGCTCTTCAACCACATACTTTGTGTAAAGAAACCATGTTCAAGCAATTGGTTTTCCTAATAAATTTCTCTCTACATATTGGGTACTGGCTATAATCTACATATTTATAATCTAAAGTTGGTGATGCTAAAGCTATTATATTTCAAATTGTATATACCTTATGCCATCATTATCACTGTCTATCATATTAGCAATTTCTAGCTTTATAGTGCTGAGTTGTTTCCAGGCTTGCTCCATATCCTCAGTACAAGTGGGTGCTTTACATAACCATGATAGGGTCCTGCGATAAATGCCAATTGCAGCTTGTATCACACGTTTTTGTACTGGTATAGATTCGTCACAAAGCAGCATATGTAGAGGCATCATGACTCTTGGTATGAAGACTTCATGTACACGACTAGAATGTAAGCATATGTTGAAATACCCTATTGAAACTGAATTGGTAAAACTCACCATAGCTCTTCTATAAATCCAACCAAAGCTTTCTTTATAGAGGCATTTTTATCTGTTGTAAAATTTAGCACATCCTGGAGAAATTTAACTAACAAGTGGGGAGACTTTCTCAGCAATATTTCCTGAATTTTGTGGAAATTTGCAATTCGTTCATCCTGATTTGTATAAAGGGCGCACTGATTGAGATATTCTGTTACCTGAAACAGAAGGCATATTAAAAACCAAACGTTATTATGTTTTAAAAATCACCATTTCTTCATCGGACAAGTCCTTGGGTATATTATCCGAAAAATCCATTATGTAACTGAAGAAATATCATCAAATAAAAGCGGAAAAGGATGTTCTATACTCCACAACACATCACCAGATCACCACAGCTAAACATAAATAAAATGGGGTTAGGGTTAGCCGGGTTAGCGATTAGCGTGACTGCGTGACACTGGTAATGAAAGATGTCAGCGAAGTATTTAGTTCTATGATTTTGCTGCTCTATGGACTCCAATGCAAAATGCGACGTTGCCAGTAGACGCGTGTTGCGCTCTTTCGAGCAGGACTGGTTTCGTGGGTGTTCTTTGTACTAGCAGAATATATATTTTTCATGATAAATGCTACCTCGTATCCATAGGGTCTTTTAAAATAACTACAATGGTCGCAGAAAACGTGGTTAGAAATTAGTAGGCTAACATCAAGTGTTATTACATGACTCTGTAGTAATTTTAGGCGTCAAGAAGTTGGAGACAGACTGCAAGAGGCTGTGGCCCAGGTGCAGATTTGATGTCTCCGTTGGAAAATTATATTGAACTTTGGGAATACCTAGATTAGCACAATCTGATCATCTAAAACTATGATTTATTCTTTATTTCTTTACATTGACTGCAGTTTTTATATGATTTTCAAATCGTGTAATCTATCTTTGGCATTTTTTTTTGTTAGAGAGATTCGCTTTTCTGCCAGTTATAACCTCAGGGGGCAAAAGGCCTACTTCATACCCTGATGAGTAGAAGAAGTCAAAACATGTCAATTTAGGCGTTCTAATAATGTTTCACAGTATTCCAGGGTGGATATTGCCAAAGCATTCGATAAGGTCTGGCATCAGGGTTTAATTTACTAGCTAATTGAATTTCAATGTCCATTTTGGTTAGTGAAACTGCTGAAGTCCTTTCTTGAGGGCATACAATTCAGAATTAAAATAGAAACATTACCTTCCTCTTTAAGAAGTATCCAAGCAGGTGTTCCACAAGGCTCTGTTCTGGCTCCGACACTATACATTATATACACTGCAGATATTCCTCACATACCTCACACAGACATACTACTGTATACTGATGACACAGTACTGATAACTAGGTCTGTCTCCAATCAAGAAATTGGAGACCGACTGTAAGAGGATGTAGAGCAGCGTCAGAATTGGTGTCCCCGTTGGAGAATTAGATTGAACGCTGGGAAAACCCAGGTAATTTTAGTCACTAAAAGACGACAATCATTACCAGCCGAAATAATTATTTGTAACCAAATAATTCCATGGGCATATCAAGCAAAATATTTAGGACTAACAATCGACGCATGTCTAACTTGGAAATCTCATGTAGAATCGATTAGAACAAAGGCTTATAATTACATTTCGTAATTTATACCTCATGCTCAAGGGTACTACAAAACTTAGCTTAACTAATAAATTAGTATTATACAAATCGATTATACGTCCAACTTTAACCTCAGGCAAGTGGAGCTTGGTGCTTTGCTGCCAAGGCCCACATTACAAAATTGCAAGTGATACAAAACAAGATTCTACGAACAATACTGCATACTCCTTGGTATGTATCTAACGCGACCATTCATCATGACCTGGATATACCTTTCTTGTTTCAATGCATTAAACAAATTGCAAGCAAAAGTTACGAACGTGCAACTTCACATTCAAATCCTTTCATAAGAGATGCGGTAACGTACGATCCTACATCCATTCACAAACACAAAAGACCTAGATTAGCACTTCTTTAACAATCTGAACATCTAAAACTATGATTTATTCTTTATTTCTTTACATTGACTACTTTTTTCATATAATATTCATAACCGTATAATCTATCTTTAGCATTTTTGTTAAAGAGATTCGCTTTTCTGCCAGTTAGAACCTCAATAATTTTAGAACAAACGGCCCCCGGGCCTACCCTGATGAGCAGAAGAAGTCAAGTCAAGTATTCCAGAGTATTTCAGCTTTCAATCTACATTCCACTTCTGTGTAGGGTATTACATTGCCAAGAGATTTACAAACGCACCCCTGTAGTTGACACCATGTGATTCGCCGGCTTTCTATTCTCTTTAATTTTGTATGGTTGTTGTCAAAACTGTCAGAAGTCATATATTGTTTTGACATGTGATAGTAGGTGGAGGTCGATTACCGACTGAATTTTGTACTGTAAAGATATTTTAGGTTCTTCCTACCGAAAATGGTTCTTACAGAAAGCGTAAATCTTCCTACGGAAGAAGAGTTGACCGTACAAGAAGTGAATCTGTCAGGCCCAGCTTTAAAGGCGGGCGCATTCCACTTAGGCAAAGCATGCGAGTTTGAAAACAATGTGTGGTTGTTACCTAATCAATCTATTCATATTGTTCAAAAATCGTTTTTTAGGAGTTTGTATTATGCAGAGATGAATTGAAGGACCCTAGAAAATGCTTAGCCGAGGGCAAAGCTATCACGAATTGTGCTCTGAATTTCTTTAGGCAGATAAAAAAAACTTGTGCTGATGAATTTATGCAGTATGTGCATTGTCTTGATAAATCTAGCCCAGACCAAAAATTTGAACCGTAAGTACTGGATGTCGTAGCTCGATCCGAGTTTGATGGAATTTTATTACTGCAAGAAAAATTTAAAAATGTTGACACATACTTCATGGTGTCCAAAGAAGTGATGAAGATATGGATGATCTTGAAATTTGTAGTTTTTATAATTTCTTTTACCTGATAAATGATTAATGATTTTCTTTTGACTAAAGAAATGCTGCCACAAAAACATAATGACTTGTATTCATCAAGGTAGGCCAGGGACCTTTTGCTTAAACATTACTGAAGTTCTAACTGCTGGAAAAGCAACAAAAACTACAAAAAATTCCACAGATAGAAAATTATATGAAAAAAGCAGTCATAAAGAAATTAAGAATAAATCATAGTTTAAGATGATCAGATTGTTAAAGACATGCTAATCTAGGTTTTCTGTGTTTATTAAAGGATTTGAATGTGAAGTTGCATATTCGTAACCTTTGCTTGCAATTTGCTTAATGAATTGAGACAAGAAAGGAATATACAGGTTGTGTTGAATGGTCTCATTAGATACATACTAGGGAGCAAAGCACCAATTCTGCATGAGATTTCCAAGTTAAACTTTGCTTGATATATGCCCATGGAATTCTTTGGTTACAAATAATCATTATATATACAGTAGTAGTATGTTTGTGTGAGGTATGTGAGGAATATCTGCAGTGTATAAGATATATAGTGTCCCTTAAGAAAATACTTCAGCAGTTTCACTAACTGGACACTGAAATTCAATTAGTTTATAGGTTCAACCATGACCTTACTGAATGCCTTGGTAATATCCAGCAGCACAACACCTGAGTTTTGATTATTAACAAATACCCTAGTAATCATTTCTCTCAACCTTACTGCCTGAAGCTCTGTACTGTGCTCTTTTCAGAACCCAAATTGTTGGTCAGCTGGTACCTGTGTTTCCAAAAGAAAATCTTGTAATAGCTTTGATATCACTTTTTCAACAATTTTGCTTACTATAGACAGGATACTAATAGGTCTGAAGTCTTGAGGAGACCTAGCATTATTTTTCTTAGGAATAAGTATTATATGAATCACTTTCTGCTGCTCTGGAAAGTATTGCAGCCTGAGAATTGCATTGACAATACTTAAAGAGCCAGTCTGTAAAAGTTTTAAGGCTTTCACTGTAATGTAATTGTCTCCAGGAGCTTTTTTTAATTTAGTGGATCTTTCAGTAATCGTCCACAGTTTTTGGAACAATTCTTATTCTGCTATCGATATTGACAGCATGTTGGAATGCGACACTAGAATTTTTAAATAGGTTGAGAGCATCAGCCCATTTCAGAGGATCATGCAGCATAACAGGGGTAACATGTTTAAATTGATTTAGATTAAAAGACGTCGATGGCTGGTTCAAACTAGGAGAAGGATGAGAATTTGAAGGGTTGATAGAAATAGAAGAGGTATTGTTAGATAGAGGAGTTGTAGGATTTGGTATGCTACTATTTTGAAGCGTTCTGGTATTAGAAGTCCGTCCATTGTTAGAAATATCATCTGAAGAAAATTCTATGACTGACTCTACAGGCTCTCTGTGATGATACGAAATTTTGTGCTAAATTTAGTACCTAATTTTGTGAGAAAATTATTTACTGAATTTAGTTCCCAATTTGTTTACAAATTACAATCCTGTTTGACTCATAAAGAAATTTTTGTACTGAATTTCGTACAAGATCATGCGCAGTTGGTAGAAAAAAAAAACTATAAATGTCAACTTCTAACTGCCATTTATCACGTCAAAGTAATTCTAACCACACTTTCCTTTGCGGTGGCTACTTTATTCCTTTATTTTTAAACGATTAGAAAATTGTAGAAAACGGAGCGCTTCCGTAATTCGCATATATTATATGCGACTGGGGCAGCAGCGATCTGCATTGTAGCTGCCCACATCATGAGAAAACGAAGTAAACGAAACCTGTTTACCATATTTCACGAGTATCCAACACGCTTTGACGTCTACTGGGGTGAACAGCAAGTGACATTTTTGTGTTAGTCTGCAATGTTGACAATAATGAATCGGATATAAATCTAGTAAAACTTGTTTGTGGAGTTTTGTTTTTTGTATGCTAATGGACTTTTCTAAATAAAAGAGCTGTTAGCAAGTACAAAATGAATCTGTACAAAAAAACAAAACAAAATATGGTTCTGGCGTTAACGGGTCCGTCAGAATTATGTGTCCTGTGCCGATATGGGGAATTTTGAGATATTACTTGATAATCAGATGTTATTCTACCGTGATGGATCCTCCTGAAGTAGGGTATAAAATAATTTGGTGCCAAAAATGGATTAAGGAGAGGGACCAGGGCATGTGTGTGTTCCATATACTGAATAAAGAACTTTTAGTGCAGGATCCACTGCTTTTTTGATCATGACATCTTTTAAGTTTTCAATCGATAAGTTGAACAGCATACGCAGGGAAGTTTCGCGAAACTGATGAACACAACTGACAACATCAACTAATAAGTGTTTAAGGTTATAGCAGCCATTGTACTGCTCCAAATGCGCAGTAAATGTCTGCGCACTGTTATTATATTATTTAGAACAGTTTCTACAAAATTTGTTCATACAAAATTATGTACTAAATGCTGTCCGACATTATCGTGTTTTGTACGAAATAGCAAAAAAAAATTTTTATTTTTGGTTATTTTTATGATTTGCGTCATTAGTTCTTCATATTTCTTATTTAATTCCTCAATTTGAGCGTCTCTGGGAAGGAGCATTTCGTCCATCTCATGTTTGGGTCCGACTGGTTCTTGTAGACCGCTGGTCTCGCTGTTGTTGGGCATAGGGAGCAGTAGGACTACGCCCACTCTCGTTCTCATACATGGTGGTTATCCTCGGTTTCTTTTCTTTTTTCTTCTTTTGAAAATTGGACTTTAACTTTGACAGCAGATTGTCAAAACTTACAAAAACATCATGTTACTTTAAGGCTAAATGTTATTTTGTGCTTGAAATTGTCATAGGAAGTGTGCAGAGGTCCAACAAAAAGTGTGCAGAGATGTTCATTAAGCCATGTACAGATATGTAACAACATCGCGAACCGAACCAGTCGACGAACCGCAGCGCGCGCATTTTGACAAACAACATTGCAACGAACATCACCACAAACCGAACGACGTCGTGCAACCACATCGCGCAACAAAATGGCGATCCAATTTTGATGTTTGTCGTTCAGAGAAAGACGAATACTAGCGGAAATGGATATAGAAGTAGCACCAGCTGCCTATATTTATATTCAATTCACTACGAATACTCCAAAAACAAGCGACGACGACTTCCGAGACGATGGTGGCAAACGCAGTTATATTCCAATAGATCAGCACACAGTTGCAACAATTTGATAGTAGAATTGAAATTTTAACAAGTAACTGGACAGTACAACTAGGATGCCTCCGACGGAATTTGAATATCTTATCTCGTTGATTGGTCCAAAAATAAAATATGGAGAGCTGCCATCACAGTACAAGAAAGACTTGCGGTCACGGTGAGATTTTTAGCGACCGGTGATTTATCCAGTAGTTTGCAATACATGTTTCGAATTTCAAAGCAATCGATGAGCTATATCATTCCAGAAGTCTGTGGGGCATTGATCGAAGTCTTAAATGAAAATATACAAGTAAGAAAAAAAATATTTTACATCTAAGTACATTACAAAATAACACACCAGCACGGCGCAGTTCGGTTTGCGGTGCTGTTACATATCTGTACATGGCTTTAGAGGACCAAAATTCATAGAGGTACAACAACCCAGCTTTGTTTGGCGTTTAAAAGCTTAGCTGTGCCATAATTGTCCAATAAGAAAATAAGCATTTCCATGCATAGCAGCTGTCTTTTGATTCTAGAATGGCCTTCTCTTTGAGACCCAGTGTGTGGTTAAAGCCTTTTTCGTGAGTATCCGTTGTGTTTTGACTTCTTCTGAGGTGTACAGCTGATCAACAATTGACATATTTGTGTTCAAGTCTCCAGTGTAATGATAAATTAGGTGAGAATCGGGTAAAAAGGACTGTTTCAGAACTATTTATGCCAAACATTCAAAAACTGTTTATCTTGTTTAATTCATACTTGACTTGCAAAAAAAAGACTTGATCATTAGTATTCATTTCTCTTGAAGCATTTTTGCTAAATAAAAGCATTGTTAGTATTGTATGTTACTTGTTGATATGGGGTATTTTGAAATGTTGCTAGATAATCAGCTGTTATTTGTTGCCACGTTTGACTCATGAAAAAAACCTAAGTGCACTGATAGTGCCTTTGAGGTTATGGTTATTTTGACCTATGGAGTACAAAGTTATCTGATTTTTAGTACACATCTCAAAAATACAGATTATTTTATTGATATCATAATAGGACCATTACAGTGTCTACTTCACAATTAAACTGATGTCTAATAAGTAGCTCAAAACACTGACTGCTTTCATCAAAATATGAACATAACCGTTAAACATGGCTCTAGTAGGCTGACCCTGCACTTGCTACGCAATGCCTTTATTAGTTCATAAAGGATTATTTTCAGCACACCTCTGAGAAAAAAGTTGGTTGCGAACGTGTATTACAGAGAAAATAAACTGGTCTAAAGAATTAGTCGATAGACACTCTTTCCTTTTCCCAGCGGTAGTAGCGTCCATCTAGCAAGGTCGCCTCTCCACGATACCTGACCGCACGACGCACACAGCGACACTTATCAAGACCGACACGCCTGCCTGTGACCCATAGAGCAGAAGCAAGGACGCGCATCAAAAGCATTTCTCCATCATCCTGAGTTTAAGGGCAAATGTACAGAGAAATAAGTCTGTCTCAGGCGGTCAATGTGCTTGGAGAAACCGCCAGTCCGTGGCTGGAAAGACGTGGAATTACCAAGGCTGGGAGAGTATAAATAAACCCTATGACTTCTCGCTCCTGGGTCCTTTAGATAAGGGTTTGTGCTACGCGAGCTGAGATTTACTGCTTAATCTGTAAGCTAGAGACAATATGGCAAGAATGTGAAAACGTCTAACCCATCACGAAACTTGTCAAGTGGGTGCCCTAAATCTAAACTAGTATGGACTTTCTAGTCTTGCACATTTTATACAGCACCTAAAGTAGCAGATTTTAAATAGCAGGAAGGAACTGTTTACGTGAAGTGGAGGTATCCACATTAGCCTGGAAGTATTGATCTTAGTAGCTCCTAAATCACATCTATATCAGTCAGAACAGCTTACATTGTATATCGCCAAATCCATTAAATTGTGAAGCGGTGTACACGTTCATAACACGCTTATTTGCGGTCCATCCTTTGAAACGCAAAGGTATGAGAAAAATGTTACAATGGGGGCCACAGACATCAGACACGTCGTTCTACCCATATGATCGGTTAGAGTATACATTATAACTCGAGAATATTATGAAATAACGAGAAAAGTGGTACTTAGTCCATTAGATTGTAGGAAACAAATCGCGTGAAGATCTCTGCAACTTTTGTTTTGGCACAGTTCGGCAGTTCTCAGTGTCCTAGAGCTGGCATTCTTTATTCGATCGCGATGCGCTTTAAAGCATCGTATAGATGAAGGTTGGGGCTACATTTGTTTCAAACCTCAATGTAATTAGACAATATTGGTAGTGCTAAAGTAAGTAAATTAAGTTGCGCGGTTTATATTCAGAAAATATTTGAATTAGTTTGCAGCTCTGTCAATAGTTGTCAGATAGACAATCATACGCATGCATGTCAGACAGCCTTATTGTTTGGTACAAAACGAGTGATCAGCTCGCGGCACTAATCACGAGTTAATAAAAATAGTTTTGTAACTCTTGGTAATTTAGGGCACACGTTTTATTTCCAGATGTAGAAAGACACAAACGGTATTTGACAAGTGTGTGAAGGATAATTTGGGAATAGAACGTCCCCCTTACGACTACTATGCCCGCGTGCATGTCCACCAAACTGCAAGACCTCGTCCTCCAGTGGAAGGCCCCACTGTCTATGAAGATGCTACTCCAGGGCTTCCTCCAGATGCACCCAAGCCGGAAGCAAAGTATGGCTCGAGGTATCTCTTCTTGTGGTAACAAAATATGTAATATAGAAAGCTAGTTGTTATGTTGCGAATAAATTGTGTAAATAATGGGTTTGCTCTTTGATATCCTTGAAATCTCAGACTATTATTAGAAATTATTTCACAGGACCATTTCCGTTAATTTTATATCACCTGATAGCATCGACTACTCCCGTTCGATGTTCGCCAAGGAGATGTACACCATTTAATTCACTGGTCTATTTCCGTTAATCCGTCCGGCAGTATCAACAACTCCTGTTCGACTAATCTATTTGCAAAGTTATTTTCACTGGACTATTTTTAATTTCACCAAAGTATATTCCATAATCCTTCCGATGAGATGAACTACTCTCGTTCGAGCTCTATGTCAAATAAAATTGCAACTGATTCCAGCTTGCTCTCTGACTTGCCCATTAACTCTACTAACAACATTATTACAATATTCTTTTTCAAACTAAACGGTTGACGCAGAAACTAAATAAAACAATATATAGTAAAAATAGAATTTCTTTATATCAAAATATGAACTCAAAGCATAAATGTATACGAGTATTACATTATACTTTAGCACCTAGATTCATGTTCATCTTTATTACTGCTATGAACATTAAACAACACTATAACTTTTAAAATACCTCAGATTCTTATTAAATTATTAGTTGCGTTCGTTTTACCCACTATCTCAGATATACTCACACTATTTAAATTTGCTCACTTTATTGTACTATCTTTTTACTAAGTCAGTTTAAATGAGATGAGAATTCTCAGATTTCAACAGACGAACCTCAGGTTAGTGAGATTTGTCCTCATTCGCAGCTTTTGGGTTAACCCTTAACCGGAAAGGTGCCGTCTGTGAGACTGCGGCGTTTCTATACCTGAGCGTATCTTTTTTTATTGCACCTCTAACAGACGTAAAAACCCATCTAATCCATAAGCTATTAGTGACCATCGCCCACCCCCATTCACACGAGTCTAGCCAAAACGTGCCTTAAAATATGGACCAATTTTAGTTTGTTGCAGTCTGTCAGACGGCACGTTTCCGTTCCCGTTTGCTATTTGTGTTGCATAGGTGCGTTTGCGAGTATGGCGGGACCTTCTAAACGTGTACGATACGATGATCCGGAGTTCGAAGAAACCGTTCTAAAATGGTTTGAGGATGAAGGAAGTGACTTTAGTGATATAGACAGTGCCTCAGAAGACGAATACATGGAATCAGATCATACAAGTGATAGTGAGTTATCAGAAGACGGAGCCGAAGGAAATGAAGAGGATTTACCAGCTCAGAATTATTTCTATGGAAAAAATCGTCATAGGTGGAATATTTCGGAAGTTGTACCATCATCACGTACAAGGAAGCACAATATAGTCATTAAAGTACCAACTCTAAGAGGAAAAGCTCATGAATATGGAGAAGAAGCAGCTCCGTTGAGGGTTTGGCAGCTTTTGTTCACTGACGACATGTTGGTACATATCGTTAAGTGGACCAATCACAAGCTCAAAGAAATGCGAAAGAGATACAAAAATCAAACCAGCAACCTAAACGACACTGATTTAGTCGAAATAAAGGCACTATTGGGTCTCTTAGTATATACATTGGTGTTCAACAGCAACCACGAGAACATTGAAACACTTTTTGCCACCGATGGCTCTGGAAGAGATATATTCAGAGCTGTCATGAACATAAAACGATTTGGTATTATCCTGTCAGCCTTAAGGTTTGATAACCCAGATGACAGGGATGAAAGAAAGAAGCTAGATCCAGTAGCACCAATATCTTTCATTTTTAATAGTTTTATAAAGAACTGTCAAGGTGTGTACGGAGTTGGCCAGTCTGTCACTGTCGATGAAATGCTCGTGAGTTTCAGAGGAATTTATTTAATCGATTTAAAATGTATATGCCTGCGAAACCTTGCAAATATGGCATAAAAATTATGGCATTGACGGATGCAAGGAATAGCTACCTCTATAACGCATATATATACTGCGGTAAAGATTCCGATAGTTTCGAACTTCCTGAGGAACACAAGCGGTATTCCAAACCCACACAATCAGTTCTACGTCTCGCGAAGCCTCTGTTTGGAACTAATCGCAACATTACAGCGGACAACTGGTTTACGTCAATAGAATTAATGGATGTCCTATTGAAGAACAAACTGACCTATGTGGGTACAATGAAGAAAAATAAAAGAGAAATTCCTCCGGCATTTTTACCCAACAAATCAAGAGAAGTCGGATCAACAATGTACGGATTTCGAGAAGATTCCACTATTGTGTCTCATGTAAGCAAAAAAAATAAAGCCACAATACTCATATCTTCTATGCACCACAGAAAATATTGTGATCCGGAAACACAGAAACCGGAAATAATAGCCTATTACAATGCTAATAAAGGTGGAGTTGATTCTCTTGATGAAAAATGTTCGAAGAGTACCTCAAGTCGCCGTTCGCGTAGGTGGCCACTGGTTATTTTCTACCGACTATTGGATATATCGGTAGTGAACTCGTATATTTTACACCAGTGCTATAAGAAAAATGAATTGCAGAAGGAAAAATCGGTATTTGCTAAGATGTTGGCCGCTAACCTGGTCCGTGAGCATATGGAAAAGCGACTAGGGATTTGCGACTTACGATAAATCGCATCCTTGGCAAATGTGAACATCCAGCAACAGAAGCTGAAAATTTGGTTTTGGAAAAAAGGAAAGCCTGCTTTTTATGTCACCGAACGACCCATCGGATGACCAAATTTTTGTGTGTACAATGTAGGAAGCCTGTATGTCTTCAATGCTCCAAACCCAAATGTATTAGCTGCATAAATATAGGCAATGTTTGAGACTTGCAGTGAATTTTGATTGTGTTCTTTTTGTATTTATTGACTATAATATATTTTCCTTGTTCATTACTTAACTAGAAAATAGAAAAATATTGAGACTTTTCCATAGTTTTAATTTAGTTTCTGAATGTTGCAACAACAGCGTTATTTTTGTATGGTTTTAGCATAGTTAATAAAAATGTTTCTTTTATGTTCTTGTATCATTTTGAAATGAGCATTTTACGTATTAAACACATAAAATAAACATCCAGTATCAGTTTCAGCGAAGTTATTGCTTGCTTTTCGCCTTACTCTAATTTTTTGAACATCTTGAAGTTCGCAGTCTGAGAGACGGCATGTTTCCTTTTGTGTTCCAAAAATTCACGTTTCCTGTTAAGGGTTAAGCTTATTTTATTGATGTGCGAAATTCTTCGAATTCAAATAATTGTGGTCACAGACTATAGCAGTGGATAGAAAACATTCAATCACAATGCCCTTCAGTATATTTAAAAATAATTAGGAATGGGTTATATTCAGGCTGTTCTGATGAAGGTTAGATCAGCTGTTCTTTCTGAACTCTTGCAAGTGATCTAGACATTCACTGATTTGGTCTCATCTGATTGAACTTCACTTGCAAAACGAACGCAACTATGGTCTGCTTAAGAGATATGAAGATATGTAATTCCGCTTCATTGGAATAATTCTAATATCACGCAATTAAGAAATGTACTAAAGCATTGATCCCAAATATAAAATAGAAATACTGTTTTGTATTAGTTTTAGACTAAACTATTTTGCCTATATAGTTTATACTTGTCACAGCCTTCATATTCATTACGTGATACAAAACATAGTAGAGAGCTTTTAGTGCTCTCATTTTGGCGCTTATGATTTTTATTATTCTAAGTTTGCGTAGTAGCGAGACGATCTTCCGTTCTTCGTTATGGAAATAAGTTACTTACGGAGAATAAGGAAGATCTTATTTCGCAAGGTAACATTTTCCTTTTCCCAGAACTCGTAAAGCTGGGAAAGTTTTACTAAAATAATTTCAAGTTATGAAGACATATTGGTTAAAATATAATAGAAATGTTTGTCTGGTTTTATAATTCTGCGATTTTAAACCTATTGGTTTCTTTACCAGTTTGGAGTAATCATATACACAAATAGTACCAAAAATTTCGCATGAAAAAGTTTTAAGAAGTTCTGGGGTTAGCCTCTCGTCAAAATAAAAAACCAGCTACCTCTGACATGATTGTCAGTAAGCTGAACTGAAAAATTAGCCAGTCTCATCATAATTTCCTATCGCTGTCGAAAATCGTAACAGATGGCTTAACGATCCCTTATTTTTATTGCACTAAAACTCTCTAGTCATGGATGAAGTGAAACTTTCTCCAATGTTATTAGTACATCCCTCATCTCGGGTCGTTGCCTAGGCAATTTCATAACACACAGTTTTCCTATATTTAAAATTTCCGTGAAACATTCATCATAACCTGTAACTCTACTGTCTTTCAGCTCGATAGCATCGCCTTCATATGTGGTTACATGGTCTTTAAGAGTCTTTCTGTTACCGAACATAGGCGGTAGTGCGGTTACTATCTCAAAAAGCACAATTCCAAAACTGTAGGTGTCCACCTTAGTAGAGAATTTCTTTCCACGCAAAAACTCATCAGGAAGATACGGTCGCGTCCCTTGAATTCTGCTCACTTTTATATACGTATATTGGACCTCTGGACCTGAAAGTAATAATAAGAACAGTAATTATACATAGTATGCAGACTAATATCTTAAATATCGGCCATTAAGTCCGAGAAGGATGAAAGGTCAGTGAGCATTACAGCAGAGAAGTTGGAGTATTTTTTCGATTAAGCCGGACACTAAAATGTTATCTACAACCTGACGGCAAATTGTATTTTAGCATTACGTTTTTCGGGTGTTAATTCTAGGGACCTGGCGAAGTTTCGGCATCAGCTTCAGCGACATTGGGCCAAAAATACACCTCAGGCAAAAAAGGCTTAAGTTTGGCCGAATCTCTACTCACAGGATTTTTGCGAAAATATCATGTATCAAGGAAATAAAAATCTACATAATCTTTGTCAATTTAGGAACACTAACATATAAGAATATAGACCCTTAGTTCATTATTTTTGGTGATGCAACCAGTAGTATCGGTGTACATCATTCTGTGAGACGTCCAATCCTGCAAGACAAAGATTCGAAGATTAGAAGCCAGTTGAGAATATGCAGTGATGGTATTTCGTATGCTTCTGTTTGTACTTTAAGGCGGTCGGTCACGCTTTTGAATGTTATTTTTCTGTGGCTGCTGATTTTTGTGATGGTCTGTAGTGGTATGTGCTTTAATAATACTATTATTAGGTTTTTCCACTTTTTTTTTTACTCCAACTACCACGAAGGCCTAAGGCCTAAACACCCATGGGGTACCGTGGGGCTATAGGGGGATACAGGGGAAAGGGGGAACGCCACACGGACTCTGGCGAGGGAACACGTGTGCATGCAGCATGCACACATTCTGGCCCCGCCCACGAGATCCGCCGGGTGGTACCTCCGCGTTCGACAGTCAGAGACCGTCTACCACCTACGGACAATCACAACATCCATATCCAAGAGAAAAATTTCTCCTGGGACGGAATTCGAACCCGCACAGCGCACGGCGACTGATCAGGAGACCGAAGAGTCTACTACTGCGGCCACCGCTGCTGCCTTGGTTCAAATATTACCATACTTTCCCTTAAACATCAATGCGATCGTGTTAAAATTTCGTGCCCAGGTTAAGTTAAAATATTGTTTTAAAAAAAATGTTTTTTTCAGACAATATATCTTATAACTTTTCTACCAAACTTTTTTGACACGTCTTGGATGACTCATGACATGTAGACAATGATATCCTGTCGATATGTGAAAAAAAATTGAGATTCTTAAAAAAGTAAAAGATAATGTGGAAGTACAATGAACAAAACTATTCGACCACGCCCCCTAATCGCTCCACCCACTTACCGGAGCCAAGGTGTCAAGCATTTCGCCGTATCCTGCCTAGTTATCAGATTGTTGAAAACAAACAACTTTCAGAAACCCGCTCATTTTTCGGAATTTGGATATGTTACAGTTACACTGACAACTTGTGACCTTGAAATAGACAGATGCGGAAATTTCGACTTCGTAATAACAAATATAAATATTTTATAGTTGGAACTGCTTATATATGAAGTATGAAGCATTTTGTTACAAAAAACAAGTACTCTTATTTCACGTGAACATTTTATAATACCTGGCTATGATAGTGATAATTATATGTACATATAAAATGCGGTGGTGTAGTAGATATCGTACGTGTAACAGAAATGACACATGCCAACATAACTTTTTAGCGGCGATTCGATCCCACTTGGGGCTAACATTTATTTTTCTAAGTTGGTTTGACTAGGTGCAACACCGTTTCTTTTTTGCTGTGACTAATCTCGTAAAGTCGTGTGATTTTGGGTATCCTTCCACGCTGCAAAAAAGAGGCATTGAAAATGTTCAATAATAAACTGAAGATCTTGACAAACCATCTAGAATAATCACAATGAGCGCCTCCCACTGCTCCCACCCATTTAGAGACTACCGACGTCGAGGTGCGTCAGCAGGCGAGCAGCCGGAGTTGTTGTCAAGTTACGAGAAAATAATTAAGATTCTGCAACTGGAAGTGAAATGATATTCTAAAATATTCGAAAAAAATAGTACGACCTTAATTTCAACTAAATTTTGTCATTTGATTTAGAAAATTGTAAAACTACAATTTGCTACACATAGCAATCATATTTATACACTGGAGCACCGCCATAATTTTCGTTTATGTATATGCTTTGAATGTAACTTTAATATATAACTTACAGGGATGGATTTGTTATTAAAACATTTAGAATAAGCTCCATACTTATTATTTTTGCTTGTTTTATCATCCCAGTAAGTAATATTAAGGTTCAATTGAACTGAGCGAGTCAAAGCGAAGGTTGTTAGTGGCGCTATAGTGATGCTGTCCAGTTCAGTTGTTCATTGTTTTGACCTGTCTCTATACAAGAAATGTTATCCAAATTACCTCAAACTGATTCAACTAAATTTTAATGTGGTGTGAGCAGAGCGAAACCCCGTCAAAGCGAATTTCCCGATAAACGTCCAAATTATGCGTTGGTCGTCGCAAAAAATGCTCATAAACATATGTATTCATCCAAATTTTTCCAATAATCGATAAACGAATTTTTACTTAGCTATTATAACAAATTCTGCATGGGTGTGCTTATAATTCCAATCTTATAGTATTTGCAAAGATGGCTTTCTATGTTATCTAACGTTTTTTTTTTTATATATCGAAACAGCCGCGCAGGCAGAAGCCTAAATGCCGGAACACCGCGGCTGCTATGATGATCCCAAAGAAATTTTGTTAATACGATTTTTGAACTGCCTAAGGTTAGTAGAACTGGGAAAAGCTTCCTCCCGTAGATTGTTCCACAATCTAGACACCCTCGGGACAAAGGAGCGGTCGTATCGGCCAGTTCTGGATGTACGAAGTTTGACACGGTTAGGATGGGACGCCGAAGTCAGGCGGGTCTGCCTGGCAGGCACATCGCGCGGCGGCATCATGGAAGTGAGCTCTGAGGAGCAAACCCCGTTGGTGTAGCGATAGAAAAGAGCTAGATCGCCGACGGCCCGCCGGTGCGAAAGAGTCCCGAGACTGTCTGTTAGAGAAAAGTCGTTGATCAGTCGGACCGCCCTCCTCTGGACAGCATCGAGCATGGACAATGTAGTCGGGGCGGCAGCACCCCAAATGTGTGAGCAATACTCGAGGCTAGGCCTTATCTGGGCCTTGTATAGAGTGAGAATGTCATGCGGAGAAAAGTACTTCTTAGCCCTAAACAAATAGCCTAGCTTTTTCCCAGCAGCTGCAGCTATTGAAGAGATGTGTTCGTGCCAGATCAGGTCCTCGGTGATCTGGACTCCGACCAGCCGAAATGAATGGCTCTTTGGTAGAACTCGACCGTCCATCGAAACTGTATGGGCGCTAGGACGCTTTTTGTTCGTCAAAGTACAGTACTGTGTTTTGGAAGCATTGAACTGTACAAGATTGTTGCGTCCCCAAGCAGTGATAGCCTCCAGGTCTCTTGTCAGAGAAGAAGTCGTCGCTAGTCTTCTTTTTTCCAGCTCAGCGGCAGAGATCGGCTTGTCACTCTGAATTCCTGCATGTAGAGTGCTGTCATCAGCGAAGCTGTGGATTGAGTTGATCGTGCAAGAAAGGAGGTCGTTGATATGTAAGAGAAACAATGTTGGAGCCAAGACCGATCCCTGGGGAACACCCGCGTTGACGTTGTGGGATGAAGAGGAGAATCCGTCAATTACGACGGATATCTTGCGGCCAGAGATAAAGTCAGCCACCCATCTGCAAAGCTTTTCTGGGAGGCCATAGGATGGAAGTTTGCTTAAGAGGGCAGCGTGCCACAGCTGATCGAACGCTTTTGTGATGTCAAGAGCAACGACATGAGCCTCACCATGAGACTGGATGAGTTTACTCCACAGTTGCGTGACGTAAGCTAGGAGGTCCCCTGTGGATCGTTGGTGCCGGAAACCGTACTGCCTGTCGCTAATCAAGCTGTGACGTTCGAGGTAGTCCAGAAGCTCGCGATTTATTCACCTCTCCATCACTTTACTTATAACAGAAAGCAGAGCTATAGGCCTGTAGTTGTAAGGGTCGGTTTTAGATCCTTTTTTTGGGATGGGCTGTACATGAGCAAATTTACAGTTTTCTGGGAAGGTGCCGGATTCATAAGATATCTGGAAGAGACGCGAAAGAACTGGAGCAAGCTCCGCTGCACATCTCTTCAGTACAATGGCAGGAATCAAGTCCGGACCAGAAGCTTTGTTGATGTCGAGCGACAAGAGCACTCGTCTTACGGTCTTATGCCTGAATGTTACCTTCCGCATAGTGTGGGGAACCCTTTGAATTGACGGCACATGGGCGTTGGTGGGGACGTCCATGGTGGAGTTGGCAGCATAGATCTTGGCTAGCACTTCCGCCTTGGCCTTTGAGTCGAATACAATAGTTCCATCCTGACACGTAGTGGTGGAAGGCTACTGTGTGAGAAGTTCTTTTCAATCTGCTTGGCCAGCGTCCAGAAAGACCGACTGCCATTGCGCTGCGACATTACCCTGTGCCTAACTTTTATATCATGCTGGTTTTTGGCATTGCGAACCGCTTCGTTATATTTGTTTCTGGACTCGACGTCGGCTTGTCTGTTCTCTACAGTGGGGTTTTGTAAGTAGGTTCTGTGGGCCTTGATCTTCTGTTGGCGAGCAGTGTCACACGATTTGTTGAACCAGCCGTTGGACCCTGGTTTAGGAACTTTCACTGTGTGAGGGATGTATTCCTCCATTCCGACGTGGATAATTTCGGTTATTGAAGAACAGACAGTCGACGCATCCGCGTCAGTGAAACAGACATCTCTCCAAGGAAAGCTAGAGAAGAAATCTCTGAGCCCCTCCCAGTCGGCATGTCCGTAATGCCAAGTTTTGCGGCCTGTGCGAGTTTCTGCTGCCACAGCGGCTTCTGACCGAAACCTAACCTCCACAACATCGTGATCTGAGTTACCCAGGGGGGACAGGACAGCAGTGCTGTAAGGGGCAGGATGCGTGGTCAGAAAGAGATCCAGCAGGCTACTGGCGTGTGACGAGACGCGGGGGAAAAAAGTAGGGCTCGTGACCAGCTGGGTCAGCCCTTGAGAAAGAGCGAACGCTTCGACTGCGCGACCTGCTGCATCGGTCTTATTTGAGCCCAACCAAAGCTCATTATGGGCATTGAAATCACCGAGAAGAACTACCTCTGAAGCGGGGTGATTGATGTTCAGGAAGTCGATCTGGACGGCGAGGTATTCGAGTAGGTCATCCCAGTTATGGTTCGAGGGAGAGCGATAAAGGCAGCAAATAAATTTGGGTGATGTTTTGGAGCTGAGGCGAAGCCACAGAATGTCCTTCCGGTCTGATTCCAAAGAAAGATCCCTGGAGCAGGAAAGACTGCTGCGGACAAAAGCCACAACTCCCCCGTTCTTTCTCAGATTGGAGTGCACCTCGTAGTTTGGGAAGTTGAGATGGTTAATCGGTGCAGTCTCTGAGATTTTTGTCTCCGCCAAGAAAAGCACGGCGGGACGATTGGATTGCAGGTAGTGATGAACAGCATCGATGTTGCTGTTGATCCCGCAGATGTTCGAAAAACAAATTTTATCTTCGATGTTGTTCCCTCGAGCCCACCCTCCACCCGGACATTCCGTATGTTTAAAAGACTTTCTCGGTCATAAAAATGGGACCTGTTTGTGTTTTTGGTGTCTATATTCTTGATGTTCAAAAGCAACCAAACATTGATTATTTTTTGAAGACGAATGGATAACCATTTCATATTCCTGCAATAGTCGCAAAGGCGTGAGGCTTTCACTTTTCCCGAGTTTGCCCCAAACAGCGAAGTGCTTGCTGCCGGAGATATTCCCCAAAAAACGCGTGATCGCCCGTCAAGGGTACATAAGCAGTTCACACAAAAATAGCATCTTTCGCAAGGCCCAAATCCATTCGACCAGGTAGGTAGTAAGTAGTAACAACCTTTATCTAGAAGGAGGTCTAATTTACAACAAGCTACAATCATTGGTCGCTCACAGTAGCTCACAATAAAAAATCATATTCAACTAAATCCAATTATATTAAATTTAGCTATGCTAATTCTCATATGCAAGACAAGTGCTTTCTTGAAATGACTGCAGTTTCTGCATCTTTTGATTTGGCCGAGAAAGATATTCTCAAACTTGTCCAGAGTTATGAACAGAAGTACCATCTTGTTGAAGCCAACAGCTGTTGATCTGTGCCAAAGATAAATTATCCAAGAAATCTAGACCATGTTGCAGCATTTGAAGGTACCGGTCTGGTCGTAAAACATTGTGGTAAATAAATAGACCTAATATTTTGGTTTCTAGAATTCCACACCACATATTAAACTCAAACCGTTATTGATGTGGATACCTGATGGATACTTTTTTAGCCACCAGATTTTCTTGAGCTCAGTAATGAGCGTTGTTGCGATTAAAGGTACCATTATTGAGACCATACTCTCGTCGGACCATATTATTTTTGAAGGAAAATTAAAATCTTCACACATTCGTGTGTACCACTCACAAAAATGCTGGTGCCGTTCTAAGTCCTTGGCAAATCCAGAATTTATTGGGGTGATACGCAAAATAAATTGGGCTGTGGATTTGACTACTCCTACATTTTTCTCAATTTACCTAGTTGATATCTTAGAGTTTTCAGCAATTGCTTATAAAGCACCATTCTGAGGTTCCTCTAAAGATTAATTTTTCTTGATGTAACGAACCATATTCATTCAAATTTTGAGCCAATTCTAAGAAAATGGACTTAATTGGCTGCCTTCTTTCGAGAAATTTATCAAGATACATTTCTACAGTATTTTTAGTATTTTTGTAGCACAAAATGTACCACGTCAGTATGTAGAACTTTTCTTCATTGCTAAAATGACCGCCTGGCTTCTTTGACCATGATAACGTAATAAGTCTTTTAGAGTAGCTTTTAAGTAGAATGAGGAAAACAATGAATTGACCCTACTATTATACCATCGGTAGAAGCACCGTCGAGTCGCCTTCTGTCTATTCAAACTTCATCAAAACAAGCATGACCATTCGATCGCGGAACTGTATCCTAGTATGCACTAAGCTGCTAAGCTGCTATAGTAGATATTAGTTTGTTCAGTATATTCTTTTGTTTCGAATATTGATCTATTAGATTATAATATATATAAAAGTTGGCATTTTGAACTTCGACTCTTCATTTTCTAACACAAAAATGCTTCCAGACCTAGGTCCCATGGACCATAATGGTGTGAATTATTGATTAGGCAGATATTCAAATCCACCATTGCTTTTGTGCGGGATTTTTTATGTATGTCATTACAAATTTTGATTTTTATGTTTCCTAGAACCCAGGTGGAATACGTTATTCATACTAGAACCTACTATATATGTTTCCATGCTGAAATAAGGGTGTTTTATGTATTTTGCATTTGATACAAATATCTACCAGAAATATATGTTGCTCGCGAATATTTTTGAAATAAATGGTTCCCGAAACATAACCATGATACATTACAAGTTATATTTAAATTTTTAGTCAATTTGGTAACACCATTTGTTTTGTGCTTTGTTGTGGCTTTGTCCAACTTACCTGCTCTGGCCAACCCAAAATCTCCAATTCTTGGCTGATCATTTGGATCCAAAAGGATATTTGCAGATTTTATGTCTCCATGGACTAACGGTTTTCCATTTATCATATTGGTGTGCAGAAACTGTAGGCCCCTTGCTGATCCAACGGCAATGTTCAATCTAGTAGGCCAACTGAGTACTCTAGAGGGATCATTTGTTCTTAGCCTTTGATCCAAGGAGCCGCCTGCCATATACTGATATATCAGACAAGGGTGAGGCCCTCCTAATAAAAAATAACAACCATTGAAGCCGTCCAGTCCGATTAGCATTTAAGTCGGCAAATGCATAGTGAATGTAATGTTAAGGCTAAATGAATAATATTGCTAAAGTCAAACAATCACCATATACCTATATTTATCGTCGGTGGGTTATCCAAGTGTGCTGCTAAAAATTGCCAGCTAGAGGTGTAACGGCGTGAGCATGAGTTTTGAATAGTTAGGGATAGGATGCTGATGGTATACCGACTTGTATCTGCAGATGGTCATGTAATTCCACTTAAAACCAAGGAGAAGGTATACCACGAGAAAACAAAGAAAATAAAATTAGAGAACGATAGACTGGTCAAACCAATTTAGGGCGATATCGTTGTTCCTACAATTGTAGGACGCCTTTAAGGCCTCCTTAATTTTCATAGTTTTACCTGACCTTCAGAAAGGCGCTCTATTTTGAGCTTATGTTACAAATACGAATCGTTCATGTTTTCGATTTTTATAATTACGCTTTATCAGCCTGAAATTTCCTACAATTCAAAAATGATCTAGGAGAGCTGTGACGCTGACATGGTACAATAGAAATCTAGAAATACCCGAGCCTTTCTGACGGAGAGAAAGGGCTATGAAAATCTAGGAGGCCATAAAGGCATCCTACTATTGTATCCTTGATTATGAAAGTGTTTTTTCTCCTTCAGAACAGTGTTGCCAGAGCGAAGTTTAAAATATTCGTCACACGTATCGCAAAATTCCGCTACATGCCGCTACGGTCTAAAAATTTAAGGGGGGGGGCTTAAAATAAACAACAAATATATTTTTTACATATTTACTTTTTTTTGAACACTGTCTAAAAACCCTACAAAAAAATACAAACAATAACATAATATAATTGCAATTTTTCGTAAAAACATAAAAAGTATACCTCTAAAAAACAAAACTGTCTTTGGTTTAGAATTAGGAACTAATAAAAAATAGAAACTATCACCAATGTCTTAATCTTAATAGAAAAAAAAACAAAAAATAAGGACAAAGAAGAAGCGGAAACGTGGAAATGCCTACGTTTGCTTATTTTATTCACAGTCAGAATCAGAAATTACTTCTTCTTCAGCTTGTTCTTCCTTATTTACATTATATAAATTCTTTTTATATTTGTTTAAAATTAAAACTATAGGATAAACAGCACTATTTTTTTGATTCCAAGTCTAATTTAATTGTAAGTAGTGCAGACAAAGTTGATGGTATCCTATTTTATTTCTTTTTTTGGTTTTGTAATCAAGCATATAAGAAAAAGCTCGCTCAACATCAGCGTTTCCATGAGGCAATGTTAAAATGATTAGAGCCAGTCTACCTATATTGCGAAATAAATATTCGTCATTAAAATTTTTGAGGTCGTTTACAAACGACCAAAATTCAATGACAGTACTTTTTGTTTTTAAAATTTCCTCTTTCTCACTATCACTAAAATAAATACATATTTTCTTTAGTTCCAAAATTGCCTTTTCGGTTTCAATATGAAGGGCAAATTTTTTTAAAACGGCGTCCTGAAAGGTATCACTTATAATAAGACGATTGTTCATCACATCAACCGGTGAGAGAAACTTTACCTCTGAAAAGAAGTTGTCTTTGATAGGAAATCTTTTAAGGGACTCTTCTACCGATTTTTGGTAAAATGTGACACATTTTAATTTAAATTGTTCGATTGCCGTGTTATTGCAGTGTTTTATTGCATCCATTGTATGCGGACCAACATTCACTTGTTCAATTTGTAATAAGCAGTGGGGATCATTAGGATTTAGATTATATAATTTCTCATTTTTAAAATATTCTGGTCGCATAAAGTTTGTACATAGATGACGTACAAATCGCTCACTCTCTATTGATATGATATTGAGCATAACTTTCTCTGATTGAAAGAGAGCATTAAATTGGTTAAAAATGGGCAACACGAATTTAAAAAACATTAAATACGCCTTAACAAATGGATTCTGTAACTCAATAAGTATTACATTTGCTACAGGATTTTTGTCTTCAATGGAAGCTAATCTAAATAGGCTAAGCAAGATGTCCCACTGATCCAAAACTCTATCAACACATTTGGATAAAGCAAGCCACCTTGTTTTACTAGGGCTTAAAATTTTTAATTTTGACTTTTTGAAATATTCCTGTAATTCTTCAAGAACACACTGCCTTTTTGGGCTTCTTGAGAAGTAAGAATATAAGTTTTCTAAAAGAGCTTCAACGTTGCTTGGAATCTTTTCAGCTGCCGCCACCGCCACTAAATGAGCAGAGTGGCAAATGCAGCCATTGACAATTATATTAGGATTATCTTTTAAAAGATAAGTTTTGAAAGATTCGTTATTGCCCATCATAACACTAGCGTTGTCGGAACAGTATCCAACAATATTGGTAATTTTTACTTGATTTGATATAACGCATTTTTTAAAAAGAGAATATAAACCTTTGGCGGTACCTTCATCTGCGTTTATTTTAATTATATCTAATAAATGGGCTTTCATTGAATTTTTATGAATATACCTTACAAGAATGCAGAGTAGTCTTGTATTGCTCACGTCAGTACTCTCATCCAATAAAATAGAAAATGGTTTATTTTCCAATTCTGAAATTATTTCGTCTTTAATTACAGGAGCCAGCAAATTTTTAATTATACTTATGCATTTGGATCTTTTTAATTTAAGTGAGCTAGAGTGATCTGGGTCTTTAAAACATAATTGACTAACTCCTGTTATATGATCAACAGTTCTAAAACTTATATAATGACTTACAACTAAAAGACTATATCTTAAGCAAGCAAATATTTGCCGTTTTTCCAACTCACGTGCTTCCCGAGACTGAAAAGTGCTATCTAACGTTCTTACATTCGAAATTGCTTGTACATTCGTATCATGCCTTTTTGATTTCGAATGATTCACTAAATCTGATTTTTTAGCACCCATTATTTGATTACAAGCTTTACATTTTGCTTTCAACTTGTCATTTTCAATAGGTCCCAACCAGCCTTTAAATAACGGATCTTCTAGCCATGATGAAGTAAACATTTGTTTTCGTATCTTTTTCTTAACAGGTTGCTCTGGCTCTTGGTTATACTGAGATTCACAAGTCGAATTATCAGGCTCAGACCTGATTCCACTAGATTCCGCTCTTCTATTTTGTCTGTATTCAGGTTCGGGATGCTCCGAGTCCGACACAGATGCAGTCGAAGTGGATGGTACGGCCACGTTTGGTTTCACCATTTGTTTTTTAGAAGGATTTTTATCAAAAACATCGTTAATGGTCTGCTGTCGCCTTTCCATTATTCCTATTTTCCAGAAGAAAAAGCGTTAAAAACAAATTTCGCGACTAAGATTTATTTCTGGATCAAACTATAATATGTTAGATATTTAAGCAGTTTTGTTACTTACCAGTAGATTTAATATTAAAATCTGCAGCAAATGATATATCAATAAAATGATCAACACAAAAATAAGAACACTAATATAAACGAAACTAAACAGTATATACCCAGAGCTGAAAAATACAATACAAAACGAGAAACCTAATATTATGTCTGCCTGCTGAGACCTGTTAGAAACGATTAGTATTGAAAGCAGTACGTACGCCATCTGTTATTGAAAAAAAAAGGCAAGTGGAATAATTCTCTTCTCTGTTCCTAGATGGCTCAAGCGGCACCAAATGCACCAATTTTATTATTAATGTGATAATAAATTAGACTCTAGCCATTGCCTATTTAGGATTTAGAACATTATTAACGTTAAAACAGTGAAATAAATATGATAGTTTTGTATGTAATAAATTCCGTTACATTTTGGGCTAATTTGCTCTACCGCCGCTACGCCGCTCTTCTCAAAATAATCCGCTACAACTAGCGGAATTCCGCTACATATGGCAACACTGCTTCAGAAAGGCTGGGAAATTTCTAGATTTCTACTGTTCCATGTCAGCGTCAGCGCACTCCTATTGTGAGGCTATGTTTCCTTTTTGAAATGTAGGAAATTTCTGGTTGATAATACGGATGACATAAATCAAAAGCATGAACAATTTGATGGAAACAGATATTTGTAACATAACCTCAAAATATAGTGCTGACACGGAACAGTACAAAACTATTAAAATCAAGAATGAACGACTAACGATACGGCCCCAAGCTTAGTCTAAGGCCACAAGGAACAAAATGACGTCTGACCACGTGATGATATTTGGCGAGACATGAATGCGGTGTTGTCAGATGAATAATTCTTTTGGAGTGAATTTTTTGTTTTTCATTAGTAGCGAAAGATTAATCACTTCTTGTCCAATTTTACTTAGGATATTCATCACTCATTTGTAGACTACAAAATATCTTTTTTATCCAAATCTATTCTATGTTACAAAATATTTTTGTGAGTGTATCAATGACATTTAAATGATATTTTAGGTTTATGAGAGGATCCCATGCTGTATAATATTATTAGAAACTTGATTAGATGTTAGATCTGATATTTATTCAAAAAATGGCGTCAAATCAGAATCGATTATGTTTGGCACAACTCCGAGCTAGCTACAAACATCATCATCGATTTGATTTTTTATTTATATTGGGATTTTAAAACAAATTGCATTTTTTGCACATATGAATAGTTTTTAATTTTGATTCAAAAAATGCATAATACGTCATACGTAACCGAATTTGAAATACCCTGTATAAGGAAAATATTATTTTCACCCCAGCAGAAAGAGTCGGCCACTCCCTCTCCGTGGGCACCCGTGAAAAAAAGCTGTAGCACAAAATTTCCACAATTCGTTATTTTGTTTTTTTTTTCATTACCTTTGGGGCCGTTCAAGTATTACGTAACCAGATTTATTACAATTATTTACCCCACCCCCATCCCCCATGTCAGCAAAAGTAAGCAAAGCTCTTACCCCCATGCTTACGTAAACATGTGTCAATTAATGTATGTATTTACTTATATTTTACTGATACGGTATTTAGCATAGAGTAAAGGACAAAAATATTATATCTTACTAACATAACAAACTTATTTTAAATTTTTGATACATATATCAAATTCAAATTAACAGTCTTCAGTCCATGAAACCCGAGTCCATGATCCTAAGTTTTCGATGACATTGGATTGCTTCAATTGCTGCTCAGTGTTGTGAGTTTGCTCGCTTTCATCGGATTTTGTAATGTCTACGTCGTTCTCATCGAGCCATTCAACATCATGGTGCTCTAAATTTTGAATAATGCACATCAGTTCACTAGCACGACGAGCAGCGACTCTTACAGGTCCAACTTTCCTATCAGTGTGCGTGTTTACTTTTTTATGGATATTTTCGATGTGACGATTTAGTGACTTGACGGAAGCATGATAAAGACCACACGTTTTGCATGTTCGACTTGATAGCCTCAATTTTATCGTCGGACAAAAATAATCGTAGAGCATTAGAAATCTTTGAGTGCAGCACTTAAGCGTAGAGCTAAATTGACTGGAAGATTAAGAAATTGCCCTCCTTCATCCAAAACCAAGTCATCAACTGTTTGTTTTACTTTTACTGGTGGAAGAAACCTATTGTGTAGTAATCTAAATAGGCCACTTCTTGGACGACAGCATTCTGTATTTCGACATTTTACAATTTGAAGCAAGTATTGGCTCTCACGCACCATTTAATGTCTAGAAAATCAGGAAGATCTTGTTCACCTGCCCCAACATATTTTGCATTAACATTATAGCCATCAATTTCCATTGAACTCCATACTTCAGCTAATACATTTCCTGCAAATTCGAAATTAGATCTTTCTAAATGTTCATCAATTGTAACGCCACGTCCATCCAATTGAGACCCAAAATGGTCATGAGGCAATATTAAACCAGCCAGTTCCCGACTAAGAGGAGCCATTCTGCGCTCTACTCTGTTATACGCACTTCTTCCAGGAGCATTGGTAGCTAAAAACAATGCATCGAGATCATGTCACTTAAAGTGTTGTATAGCAAACCCTATGACTTTTTGATAACGTGGATTTTCATCTGGTCCTCCATCGACCGTCATGATTACCACTGGTTTTACTAGTCCATGCTCAGTTTTAGCTAATGGTCGACACTCTTCAAGTTCGAGAAGCGTCTCGAAATCCTGAGCATGAGTATGATGAACTATGCTTTCCATTTCGAATAGCGATATATGTTGGTCCAGAATATCCAACGGCTTGCGGTTGTCGTAGCATATTGGAAGTGATTTTGATACCAGCATAAACAGATGGTATTAATTTATGACGTTCAGCGATTACCCAATCGTGACCAGGCAATTTGATTCCATATTTCATGTGCATTAGAAGAGGTGCTTGCTTATTTGCCGCAGTTACGCCAATAGGGACTAGAGCTTTATCATCTTGAGATATGAAAAATACTTGATCTGGTTCACGTATGGATGCTATGATCTCTAAATAATGGATTGATGTTTCAGCGAACTTGCTATCTAAGGCCCGTATCGTCAGTCGTCCCTACAATTGTAGGGCGCGTTTATGGCCTCCTTGATTGTCATCCTCCTTTCTCTCCTTCAAAAATTTCTAGATTACACTTGTCCCGTGTCAGCGTCAGCGCTCTCCTATTGTGAAGATATGTTTCCTTTTTAAATTGTAGGAAATTTCAGGCTGATAAAACATGATATAACTCAAAAGCAAGCACAATTTGATGCAAATAGATGTTTGTGACATAACCTCAAAATAGAGTTCAGATACGGAGAAGCAGAAAACTATGACAATCAAGGAGGCCATAAAGGCGCCCTACAATTGTAGGGACGACTGACGATACGGGCCTAAGTGGCTCTTGTAGTGATCAGTTTGAGCCCGAATGAGCTTAACAGGGACTGTCGATACATGTCTTCGTCCCTCTGCAGAATTAGATTTTCTGGAAATCAAACGAAGATATGTCCCACTGCGACTAATGTCAAATCCTATTTTACGTAATTCTTGTGTGAGTTCATCAAGAGTTTTTACGCTGCGAATTGATTCCGTTCGTCTTCTATCATCTGCTGCACTCCCAAATAAAGCTATATCCGCGATTGTTTTCAATAGTGAATGTTGATTGCTTTCAAGATTAGGACGTCCCACTGAATCCCTCAGAGATAGTCTTTTTTTTCTGGATTTTCATGACAAATATCTTCTAATTTTCTTTTCATACCATCTTCTGGGCAACTGCGTTTTGAACCTTCCTGTTTAAAGACTGCTTTGCTGTTTTTATTTCCTCGCGCAACTTAATGATCTGTTTATCAACTTCAGCACGGCTTGGCATAGTATTTCTGGCAGAATTCAAAGCATTCAGATTTTTTTCGAGTAGAGCAATCTTATTTTTCATAGCTTCCCGAGAAGGTTTTGCTCTCTGTTTATCTGTATTTTCATTAATTTCGCATTGCTGTTGTGATTCATTACCGGGTTTTATTTTATCTTCTTCCTCTTTTTTAATATTTGAAGCTGACTGTATAATTTGTGTTTTTTTCTGCAGGTTTACAGGTTGCCTACAAATAAAAACTTTCTATGGCTTCTGCTAAAGAGTCTCTTATTAAGCTACATAAATACAAAGTATGGCAATATATATGGTAAATAAAAAACCCTATGGCTTTAAATCTATTATGTTTAAACGAGCAATTCGTTCCGGTCACAAAATACAGGGTGTTAGTTTCTGTATATATGTATAAAACTAACATCCTGTACTTTGTGACCAATTCACGAAATCAATCATATGAAATAAATCTATAATATAATGAATATTACCTCTATACTTTGAGATAGGCCATAATATTTTCTAATCAGTAAAGAGAAACTTTTTGGCGATTTCTAATATTTCTAGTGCTCATAGGTACCTAAAATGATTTCGTCACTCACCTTAGAAAAAAAATTTAGTAGAGTGGATTTATTCTTAGTCGCTAGCCGCTTGCAATTCTTCTTCGGTTCTCTTAGATACAATAATAGCTAGTTACTTGTCGGATTTTGCTTGTAATTTGTAATTTCGCCACACTTCGTTAACTAACTTTTGTACATTTTATACTTTCGTACTTGTATGATATTTTTTAAATCTTTCAAACAATTTTTGGTATAACTTGGATTTGTCTATGTGAAACGACATCTGATTTAAACATTAAACGTTGGCTAATGAAATCAATGGTAACACAAATGTTAACTTGCTTTAATATGCTTACAATACGTCTACTCGCTATAGTATCCAAACGAAACAATACACTGATAGAGGAAATTTAGACAAGTGAACACCGCGCGGTAATTCCCCTACTCGGTTCTAAACGTATGCATTATGGAATCCCCGAAAATGCGTTTCGTTTTCAAGCAAAGACAATGTGAGGGTTGCCATTCGTGTAAAAAAGTAAATAACTACCGATGACGTAATCATCATCTAGACTCCTCTACCCCCCATGTCATCCAAAATAAGCAACGCAAAGACTCCCCCGCCCCCCATAGTGCTCACGTAATACTTGAACATCCCCTTTGGGTTGGACTTACATAGCTAGAATATATAGATACTGTTTGTGCATACACTTCGAGGCTGGGCGACAAGTTAACAGGGAACAAAACACTACTATCCGAGTTTTATTAAACGTTATTCACGATGCATAATCACTGCACACGTTTATTCAGAATTCTTTCTATTTACTTCTTCAACTTGTCATTTGATGTGTGGAATCATATTTCTTTGAATTTATGTTTATATTTTTTAAATGAGAATCGAATGGGAATTACTGAGTAAATCTACTTGACATTTTTGGGTGGATGTTATTTTTTCTACAAAGTGTCCCACGTTTTCCTCTCTAGAGGAAAATTCGGGCACACTCGGGCAGTTGTACTATAAATCCTAGATCATTGTGGTTTACAGCAAATGAACATACCCCAACTTTTCCAAAATGGCCTACTTCATTCTGGAAAATTTAACATTCGAATAATTATTGTTCTTGATTTCGAGCTCTGACTATTTACTGGCAAATTATCTGCTGACTAATTTGACAGTCATCAAACAGGGGGTTGTATGTAAAACAAACCTGATTATGAAAAGGGAATTATCATTAACCTTTGTACCCTGTCATAAGCAACTTGATCGCTGAGAGTAATGAGTGCTCCAACAGGGTAGAGGCAAGATCAAGGTAATATCATATAATCTCATGCTGTCATAAAAAAGAATTCATAACTTAAATAACAATTTAAAGAGTTTGTAAGATTCAATTTTGACATAGTATCACCCAACAACTGACTAGTTTCTCCAATTAGTAACTGTAATAACATACCTATACTGTAACCATATAAAGGCAACACATTATCATGTCGATATGAATTGAGACAATGCAACTCTGTAAATGATTGTCTCATCTGCTCCATATCACTATCAGGTTTGGATAACCTTTGTTCTAGGCGTTTTATGGCTACCTGGGTACATTTCCATGTACCTGCAAATAGCAAATTTTTACAGGAATTAGATATTAGGTCATCAAAGAATTGCTCTTCATGAAGAGAGCTTTACAGTAACATTAGAAATTATTAGGTATCAAGAGTGGCAATATGGTATAATAAACCATTTAAATCTTGAGAATGATAAAAGAGGGATTAAAACTCCATAATATAAAGGCTTGTTTTTAAGATAGTTACTGCTATTGCCATTGGCTTTGGCCAAACAGCCCCTCACTTTCAGTAGTAGAATGCATGAAACAAATATTAACCCTAAAATCTAATCCTGTTCTACCCCATTGGAGGTGATTAGTTCTGAAATCACATTCGATTTAAAAGGTAGATGTTACCTTCCACTAAAACATCCTAAGAGATCAAAATGCTATCCCCAACAAGTAGTACTCTGCTAGGTCTGAAAATTAGTAGCCCATTGGTTCGAAACTTCACTTCAACTTTTTTTACTGTTTTCCAATAAACTCGTTTATATATTGTCCACAAGTATTCTCAAATGCACTTGTGAGTTAAAATTTTGACCAGCTGATCTATTGAGACATTGTATTAGTAACAAAACGATTTTGTTGTCTTGATACATTACAGCCAAGGAGAAAGGGAGATGATGCTTAGTAGTGGGGTCAGTTTCCTGTAGAAGTTAAATGGCAGCCAAGTATCAACATGGAATAATTACTTTTAAGAAAAATAATCTTGCTAAGTTAGTTTTGTGCATACCTTCAATTATAAGAAAACAGAATATTCCAGAGGGGGTAAGTAACTAATAGTTGTAATAAGAAGGTATTTAGATACACATCTGTACAAATCAGGACATTCTAAGCTTAAAAAGAATTTATAAACTAGTAGAGCACAATTTTTATACCAATGGAACAATAGCAGATGAATGTTGTTGTACTATAATTAAAATAGCCCTAGATCATACAAACTTGATGAAGGTGATACCTTACCCTTGAATACCTTGCCAAACCCTCCTTTTCCCAAAACAACATTTTCATCCCAGTTATTAGTTGATTTTTGCAGTTCGTCATATGGGATACAAGGTATAACACTGGCTCTCTCCATTACAGCAGATCTGTCTGAAGCTATTGTCATTCTGTGTCTCCCATAAAATAAAGGAGACTTGGGAGCAGATAAATTTTCAACTCTACTTTCATTACATGAGGTTGTCAGATCATTTACTAAGCATTTGTTTAACACCTTATCAGCATTATCATCAAAATTGTTTTGATGTATTTGCGACTCCAGGACATTATTTTCCTTTCGTCCTTTCAAAGCATCAAGTTTGTTCCCATCTTTAATGAGGTAATGATACTGCTTATCAACATACTGTTTTATAGCTACCATGGCTTGGTAACATTTCATATTACTGAGAAGAATAAATAATTCTAGTAATGTGTGGTTCTGATGACTCCACATTGTAAGTAATTCATCAGATGGGGATTTCCCACCACAAGCAACTTTCCTTTTTAATGAATCTAACTCACATATACTGTACTTCATCTGAGCACCTCCCAAATGCTCCCATTTATCATTTTGATCTAGAATATTACATAATTCCTGTCTTTCTTCATACGGTAAAAGATATATGTACATTTTCAAAAAATGAACCTGTAACCCACAAAATAAAAAAATATAAATATAAATACAAATACACCACAAAATGTATACACTGAAGAAGGTCTCACAAAACATGAAGGTCTAGTCACGTGCACAAAACATATATACTGTCACGTCACGTACCTAGCATAGGCCAACACGGTTGATTTATGTCAGTGTCAATCGCCATTTTTTCTGGATGCCACATGGCTGCCAGATTGTGCACGAGTGACACATGCGGCATAATCTGAGATTGTTGAATTATTCTATACTGGGCATTTCTAATAACTAGGATATATGTAAGATTTTATAACACCATGTGTTATTGACATATTTTTGTTGTTTTGACAAATAAATAGCCACTTCTTTGTTGAAACAGCAGCAGCAGTAACACAGGGCATTATAAAATAGATAATAAATATATCCTATAGTTATTTGAAATTTTGAGATCAGTAAAAAATCTATACTTGAGAATGTATTTTTATCTAAATTTTATATAGTATGAACTTATCAATAATATTTTTTGTCCAAATATACTCAGTGACATTAGAAGTGTTGCACCCAGAAAAAATAGTTCCTTATTCAACTTGATTTTTAGGCAAGGTAGTCTTACATCAAGAATGAAATGATAACGTTCTCGCGAAATTTTATTGACAAGTACTAAGAAAAAAAATTAATAATGTGTTAGGCATCGACAAAATGAGATGATCGATGCCTGGTTGTGACACCTCATTCCAAGCAACTCGAACTTCGTGGATTAACTGAGCAGAGTCTGTGTCGGATGGTGCAAAGCTGATAGTCTCCTCCCCATCATACATCTCACACATATGCGATAGGATTTAAATCCGGTGAACGGGGTGGCCACGGCAAGACATTGACGCCTGCTTTTTGAAAGTCCATAGTATGACGAGCGATATGGGGATGTGCGTTGTCTTGTTGAAAAAGACGTGTGGATGACCCTCTAGATACGGCAGTAAAGTGATTTGTAGGACATCATCAACATAATGCGCAACAGTCAATATTGCTTTGAACAATGAGAAGGGGATGCCAGCCGAATTAACAATGAAATCGAAAGCAGCAATTTATAGTATTGAATCGAATCTGGTTAAAATTCGATGACATGTGTAAATAATTTGACGAGTATGAGTACTTTTAAGTCTAATTAAGTTGTGCTATATACAGATTACAGTAATATAAAACTCTCGATCATTAATATACGTTGGGTTTTGGGAACTGGTAAGAAATAATGATGAGTCAATTAAAGTTATATCTAAAAAATACACTGGGAAGGCTTTAACACTCGGTTTATTTTCGCAAGTAAACCGATAATTCCTGAAATTGCATACACGTAGGGTGTAATAGTCCGTAGTACGACGAGCAATGTCTTGCTGGGAAAGGGCGTGTGGACGGCCTTCTAGATACTGCAGTAAAGTGGACATCATCAACATAACGTGCAGCAGTCATATTGCCTTGAACAAGGAGAAGGGGTGATCGGCTACTATAGGCAATAGCCCCCCAAACCAGTCCTGTGTGTGTACATGCCTCTCTACAGCAAATCCAATATCACGCCGTTCTCCACGGAGGCGTCTTACCCTTCTACGACCATCGTGCGTACATAGAATCGCGATTCGTGGCTGAAAATGACATTATACCATCCTGCCTCCCAATGCTGCCGTTCTCTGCTCCAGTTCAAACTTTGACGACAATGCTCCGCAATCAGAGGAAGCACTAACCGTGGACGTATGCAAAAAGTCCAAAGGTTCGAATGCGGCAACCAGCACTGGTCAGCGATCTGACGCATAGTAGCTAAACGGTCTCGTAGGGCTGGTTGACTGAAGCGCCTATCTTGACGCCCTGTGGTACGCCTCGGCGGACCATTTGGTCTTCTTCGTGTTCCGCTACCTTCTATCCACACAAGCATTACCGTCACTGCAGTTCAGTTAACACGGCGGCCAATTCCGCGATAGAACAAACCAACATCTCGATAGGCAATAATTCTACCCCTGTCAAAGTCGCTAGCATGGTGATAATGTGGATGTTTTCGAACTCGAGACATTTTGTTATGCTTAACACTAGTAAATGAAAGGGTAATAACTAAAAATACCCGTACTAATCAGCTCTCAGAAACTGCTTTCTTCACAAAGAGATAACATTTGAACAAAGGTAAACAAAAACAAAGATAAAACGTTGACATTGTTACCACTTCGTGCTTTAAATATAGTCATTATATTGCAAAAAAAAAGTTATTATTGTTGAGTCATTAATTTTCAGATAATGATTGTAGAAGGAAGATAAACCAAAATATGTGTGTAAAAATAAAAAAAAATTAAAAAAAAATGTTACCTTGTTTTATAAAGTATCCTCCCGACAAGTATTTCAGTGCGGACCTGTGCGCCCAAAAGCATGTCACAAAAACTGTTCGAAATGATTTCCGTTTTGCTCGACGCACAGCTGGGCGCGTCTTAGCCATGTCTCTTTACAAGCACGCAATAAAATCACTGGTTGATTTCTGATCACTGTACTCATTTCCTCAATTCGAGCACGTAATTCTTCGCGTGTATTAACCGGTGTTTTATACACTAGAGTTTTTAGCCAACCCCACAAACAAAAGTCTAAAGGATTTAAGTCCGGAGACCTTGGCGGCCAAGGTACAAAACCGCCACGGCCGATCCAACGATTATTAAATTGTCTATTTAAAAATTCACGCACATTTCTTGCATAATGGGGTGGTGCCCCATCTTGTAAAAACCACATGTTTTGTCTAATATTTAAAGGCACATCTTCCAGTAAACCAGGCAAATTGTGTTGCAAGAAATCAAAATAATTTTCACCAGTTAAGCGATTTGGTAATTCAAAAGTACCCACTAAAATTCCATTAACAATTCCCGCCCACAGGTTGATTGGTTCAAATCGCTGTTGAAAATTGGTTTCCCTTATTTCATGGGGATTTTCAATAGCCCAAACGTGAGAATTACGTGAATTAATAATTCCGTTTCTAGTAAAGAGGGCTTCATCACTCACTAAAATTTGATTTAAAAAATTGTCATCATTTTGATGTTTATTTAAAAGCCAATTGCAAAAGTCAACCCTTTGTTCATGATCTTCCGGTTGTAAGGCCTGCACTTTTTGTATGTGAAACGGATAGACTGATTTTCACGTAGAGTTTTCCAAGTTTTATACTGACTAATCGCCAATTGAGTTGAAATTTGTCGGGTGCTTACTGTTGGATCATCACTTACTAATTCTAAAATTTGTTCTTCTAGTTATATTTGATCGTGTGGTCTTGGAGCACCGGCATGATCTCCTCTGTGAGGTCTTAAGTCACCTGATTCACGAGCTCTTTGCACTACATTAACAAAGGCACGAGGGGTTGGTTGCACTCGATTGGGAAACCGATCCGCATAGATCCGTGATGCCGCGGCAGCATTTTGTAAAGACTCCCCGTAAATAAGAACCATGTCCACAAGTTCAGCATTTTCGTAAACATGTGCCATTTTTGATTTGAGCCTCGCAACAGACACGATTATTCACTTACGCGTTACCGACTACCGACTGATACTGACTGTATACAACTGAAGAAAATAATTGTAAAAAGATCGTTCCAAATTCTTTCGCTTTTCTGTTTCCGATGCGATGAACGGATAAGGCGGATTATATCTGTTGTTGCCAAACACGAGAACATAATATCATTATTGAGACAGGGCGGTACTCAAACTTCCAAAGGGCTATAACTTTGTTACTTTAATTTTACCAGAAAAATGGTAAAGGAAAAAAACATTTCTTTTGATCAGATCTACTCACTGTTAAAATAAATGACTCAACTTCGAAGTCACCCTGTATATATTATATATTATTTATTAATTATTTTTTCTGGGTGTAACACTTTTAATGTCACGAGTATATTCTCATTCCTGGTGATGGTCTTCTGCAGCACCTGCATGAAAAAAATGTTAGAATTAGTGCTGAAATCAAATTCTTTTCATAAAGAAATAATAGTTATCGCTAACGACTGCAAGGTTACAAAAGTTACCAGATTTTTCATAAGAATTATAATACTGGAATATCTAATAATATTTCCATAACATTGATAATCAGAATGTAAATGTTTTATAGAAAATATAATTTTATATAATTTAGGAATTCTTATAGCATCATTAAAATATATCATACTTCGTATAAGATTTTATATGATTCAAACATGTTGTCTATATATTATCAGGATATAGTCCAGTTAAATAGCCGAAACTAAGACAAAAGTGATCACATAACCACAAAGTTATTTCCGCTGGCGTAATGGTGTAATAAAGGATTGCGAATATTGTTGTATCAATTTGGTTTTCCGGAAACCAGCCGTTTTTTGTAAAAACAGCGAAAAACCCAAAAAACCTCTTTTTCGCTGAAACGGCTGAGGATATCTGGGATTTTTTACACGTAAATTTTCTAATTTTTGGGCCATCAAAAAAGGTCTTTGCAAATGATTTGCTGAAATGCGTAGTTCTGGCGTAGTTGTATTGTATGCATACCACCAACCACCAACAATACCCTGTGAGTCTGTGCAGGGCTTATTACAGAGTGTACTTTGTACTGTAACAATTTCAGCGTTCGTAATTCTTTGAAGCCAAAAGTGCACTTTTCTTCCAGTGCTTGAAACCTTTGTCACTTGTCATTCTTATGAATCATTAATCAAATCCAAGCGAATAACCAAAATTTCTGTGTTATGTGCCGCGGTTACAATATGGTTCAAGATGACACACGGGTTGATGACGTCAGTTACACGAATCGCTTGAACGCGTTGGTTTTAACCGCGGTTTTGTTCCAAGTTGTTTATTTTAGAAAAACGCGTGTGTAATCTGTGATTATTTTTATTATCACTTAATAATCGGTGCTTTTTCGTCTACAACTGTATATGGAAAGTTTAAATAAGAAACCTTTCATAATATTCATGGGAGAAATGTTTTTTTCAGATTTTTTTTTTTAATGATGAAACCATGGCTTTGTAGCTATGATTCTCTAAATTTTTCCGCATGTCAAAGAAAACATTTATTGATTCAGCAGAAATGATGAAAAAAGAAATTAGCAAAGCCGTATACAGGTGGATATCATCTAGTGAGTTTATATGGCCATATTTTAATATTCTTGTGGTATATGGCTACACAGGATACTTTGTTAAGCATAGGAACTACATTTAAAATGTCCCCAACAACCGTAATGAGTATAACTAATAAGGTGCTCCACTTTATGGTAAAACTGAAATCAGCCTGTATCATTTTTCTCAAAAATGAAGCTGAAGTACAATAACAATATCCAATTCCCGGCAAAATTCTAACTTGTCACATTTCAAATAATAACCAGAAATATAAAACTACTCTTGAGTTGGGTAAATACCACAATTTTGCGGTGATAACTATGACATATAACAGCTGATTCGTGACGTCACGGATCTTATAACCAAACTGATAACTACACTCGCTTGAACGGATTGGTAAATACCAACCCAAAATGGTAAATACTATTTCCATTTGGTTATCCGCTTGAATTTGATTATTGTTTACTTCGTCTGCTTATTAAAAAGTATTCATAATTATTATATCTTACACGATAAAAGGTCTATCTCGTATCCATAGCGTTTCATGTAGTAGATAAATGGTGGCAGAAAATGAAGTTAGAAATTAGTATCCAGTCATCAAGTGTCGTTACAAGACTTTGTAATAATTTAAGCATTCTAAAAATAAAGTTACACAGTATTCCAGAGTAAAATTTCATTTGTCAATCAACATTCCTTTACTGTGTACGGTATTTACAAACGCACCCCAGTGGCGGCAGTAATTTGAGTTTGTCTAAAGGCCTTTTCGTACTCAGCCGTGACGTGACAGTGCTGTGACCGGCACGTGTTCCGCCCGGCGAAACTAAAAAGATTCTTCCTGGAATTTTTCTTCTAAACAAATTCAAACATTTCGTATTTGTGAGTTATTGAACAAATGCGCTATGATATTCCAAAAACATACGTTACTATACACATTTGTGTCTATCATCTTTTGTTGCGAATTACTCACAAATACAAAATGTTTGAATATGTTTAGAAAAAAAAAGGAACCAATCCTTTTTTGCATAAAAATAACAATTATCTTCCGGAATGGTTAGCGATTCATATCGGCAAGGTAAACTAGCGTGTTTTGCTATAAAATGTCCTTTGAACTAACCCTGTATATTGCTCAATAAACTAGTAGTGATTGCAGGAAAACAGGTGTTTTGAGATAAACAATTAGAAATCCTCAAAAAGTACTTGACCAATCTACTCCAATTTTGTGGTTATTCAGAAGTACGAATCCTACAAATTTAAAGAATTTCAAATATCTGCAAGAAACCATCGTCGCATTACCAACAAGTGCCAAAAGCTGCAGTTTGCTTCGGTTTTCGGCTAACAATTTTTTTGCCATTCTTTCTACGTGTGGTCTAATTTTGTAGGTCTCATAAATGCCTAAAAGTTTTATTTGAAGAATTTTTTGATCCTATCAACAATTCCGATTGAATCCCAAAAAACACGGTTTCTCATTCTTTGTTGTCGAATAAAAAGTTTCCCCCCAAAAATTGCTGTACCCATTTGATGTGTCCATGTTTTGAATATCACCTTGAACAACTTGCAGCAATAAAACCAAACTGTAGAATTATTTCGCAAACCAGGGCTTTTTTCGTCTTATATGATTAGACTACTCTAAAAATTTTGGCATTTCGACCTCACGTGAACACAACTGCACTGTCAGAGCAGGGAGAAAAATACTGACCGGTGTGAATTGAAAACACTGTGAGCTCAGTTTAGCGAGAATCACTGGCAGGTCACGGCACTGTCACGTCACGGCTGAGTGTGAATGTGTGAATAGACCTTAAGCGTATTTGTTTCGTGTAACATAACCTAAAAAAATTAATACTTGTGGGTAAATAATAAAATCCTTAAAATCGAAAAGATTTTCTAGTTGCCTCAAATAAATCTAAGCGACTGAGATATTTAATTCTACAGTATGGTCGTATTTACTTGTAACCATTGTGGAGACAGCTTGAAAAAGCCATCTGTGGAGAAACACTATCAGTTCACGTGTAGAACTACAAAGTCTTTAACGTGTGTTGACTGTTTAAAAGATTTTATGTAAGTGTACTAATAAGTAACATTCATGTTCGTTCACGTTATATATCAATATAATCAAAGCTGAAACTATTACAGTGGCGAAGAGTATGCGACGCACACTAGGTGCTTAACAGAAGAGGAGCGATATGCGGCTAAAGGCTCGATGGTAAATGTGGTTCATAAAGGGGAAATTAAGCAAGAATCATGGCTGGAAATGATCAAATCTATACTAGATAAGCAACCCAATGTAAAACCATCACACAGAAACCTGTTAAATAAGATTTCTAATTACAACAATGTTCCAAGGAAAAAAGTCAAATTTATGGTAAGTTTAGTATCTGTTCATGTCCTCATTCACATTGTGCATTATTGAAATGTAACCAAAAAATTAAATACTCTATCAATAGTATCAATGCCTCATTGCTTTTTTTTTAATAATAGAGAGACTGCTTCGTTACAACCCATCATTGAAAATTAAATTTTTGAGGAATTAAGATGAACACAATATCAAAAGTATGTTGTAGTGTTACAGTTCTTTGTTATTTTGTTTTGAATATACTCTTTTAACCATCATTTCTAACTCATTTGCAGTTGTCTATACTTTTGACATTCTCTTCAGTTGAATTAGATTGCATTATTTTATAAAGGTGGTTTTTGTGATTGATAACTTTAAAAATGTGTCAACTTAACTTGTGTTTCATCTTGAACCATATTATAACTGCGGCACATAACACAGAAATTTTGGTTATTCGCTTAGATTTGATTCTAATTTAGTTTTGCTACATGAAATGATACCTTTTATGATGGATTTAATATTTTTTCAGAATTTTATAATGAGCTCATCTGGTGGCAGGGCAAATAGGAAAGAAGTGGAGGAAGTCTGGGATATCATTGAAACATACAAAAATAGTCAAAAGGGTAATGGAAATACTCAAACAACACAAAAGAATGAAGCTTCAATAAAAGAAATGAAAGTAGAAAATGTTAAAAGGAAAGCATTAGATACGGATTCCGACATTCCTAATAAGAAAAATAAGCTTGATGATGGACTAACTATTGAAGAAACAGACACTGTAAAATTTAGTTTTCAAGAAAAAATAGTATCCATTCTCAATGCAAAAGGCTGCATCTCTTTAAAAAAGCTCCAAAAGAAGGTACTAAATGCATACCTAAAGCATTCAGGGGAGAACAAAGTAACACCGAAAATGATCAAAAAGTTCAATAAGAAGCTGAGTAAAGTTCAAAATATAGAACTAACAGATGAGAATGTCACATTATTAGAGAATAAGGAATGTTGAGAAAAATCATATGCATTATGATTTTGTAAGATGTAGGGGAGTTTGGGGCAAAGTGGCTACCTTAACTTCAAAATACCAAAAATACTTTATAGAAAATTAGAATGAGACGCACAACTATGCCAATCACTTTATTCGTGAAAGAACTTTATTATTTTAAATGGTCTGTTGATTCTAAACAAGTGCTAGGAAAAAAAATAGAAAAAATAGGTCGCTATAAATTATCCACTTTACCCCAAGTATGGGGTAAAGTGGATATGTGTATAGGGGTAAAGTGGACACTATCTAAAAAGTAAATAAGACTTCGATGAATAGAATTTTTATTAACACTTTCAGGGTGAAAAACTAAACTACATAGAATAAAGTACCAATCATCCAAAAAATGACACAAACATAGTTTCTTGAAAGTAAAAAAAGTTCATAGCAGAAAAATGAACAAAATTATAATCTAGTGAATTTCGTTATATGAAAAAGGTTTTGGTAACGTCCATAATATTGAAGAAGTACTAAAACTAAACAGAACTATTCAGTCGAGACGTATTATCTTCTGCTTTAAAAGACCCGTATTTTGCCATACCTTAGAAACTGAACTCTAATTTTTCCCAAAATTGCTTCTTTTTCTTCGCTTTAGATATTTGGGTTTTATTTGCTGCTTTTCTAAGTTCTTCATAATTAGGGCTTGAAGTCAGCACCGTAGTTTTTCCTTTTCTCATTTTTCGTTTTGGAGCTGTTGCTTCGCCTGCGTTTGGTAATGCCAATATATCTTTAGGTGAATAGTAAATATTACTTTCACTAAGAATAGGGGCTGTAGGCTCTGCGTTTCTAACAGGAGATGGTGTTCTAGCGCTAGAGGGACCTGGTTGTGGAGAGTTATTCATTTGTTGGTTATTCGGTTGTTGTAGGGGTTGCGGAGTTATTGGGCGGTCTTCATTGAGAGCTCTATCTGTGGCATCTGCCGTTTTAAATGCATCTTCTGGAAATACATCAGGGTTCAAGGGATAAATCCCCGTCGCTTTGAAACCATTGATAGCATTTTGTGTTGTTGCGGCGCGTTGAAAAGCATTTCCAAAAAGCTCTCCGACTTGATACAAAGTTATTACCTTTCCAGGGTTATTAATCAGCCATTTTTTCGGTTCTTGTTGGTAGTATGAATTTAGTGGAAACATGAAGGCTACATCCAAGGGTTGTAGATGGTGAGATGTGTGTGGTGGTATCGCAATAATGTGCACGTGATTTGCCCTTGCTTTCTCAACCAACGTTAGATTCTTTGTGTGGGTGGCGTGCCCGTCTAAGACTAGTAAAACAGGATCAGTCTCGGTAGGTTTGGAATAGTTTAGAAAGTGTTCAAACCAAGCCTCTGAAATTATTTCACTTTGCATCCACCCTGATGGATGATATTCCACGATTGATTCTGGAGGAAGTCCTTGCTAGAGTGGTGAACATTTTCTATCTCTTGGAAAGATCAGGAGGGGAGTGATGTAAAATCCAGTGGCGTTGAAACAAATTCCGGCAGTTGTTACGAGTGCCTCTTTCAGCGAAAGAAAGACTGCCCACTTGTTTTTTTCCTTTCATGGAGAATATTCTTGAGGGCCTATTTGGTAGCGTAGAGATACCCGTCTCGTCGCAGTTGAAAATTCTACTGGCTGGGAATTTGTATTTTTAGAGCATTTCTCCCAATAGAGTAAAAAATGAATTAACGTTGTATTTATTAAATGACGAAGCCCTAGCTGCCGAGGTGTATTCTGGAAGCCTCAAAGAAATATATTGGTTTCTTTTCAGAAATCCATAGATCCAATCTCGCCCTGCAAGTCCTTTAGCTGCGTTAAAGATGTGTGCAATATGGTTTTTTCCGCAAATTGGAAGGCAAAGTGCCTTAACTCCCTCGTGCCAAGACCAAAAAGCCTAAGTATCCCGTATCTAACGTCTTGTATTGCTGCTGCCATACTTTCCTCTGACCAAGAGTGCTGCTGGCTTTTCCGTTTATAGTTACGCACCATTGCGCCAATTCTGTAAAAAATTTTGATTATTCTTCTACTTTACTTACCTCTGAGCTTTACAAAACCCGTAGCTAAATCAAGAATTTCTCTACTTTTATTCCCTACATCAAATTCGTACAATGATTTCATGCTATGGGGTAAAGTGGCTACCGTGACCACTTTACCCCAACATACACCGAACAATTTATAAATAATAAAAAATATTATCTTTATTTTTTATTCCATTGCTCGTACAGACAGGCTACTAAATACGAAATCTTATTAAAACAAATCATGTCATCTTTAATCGATGCCTCTAATTTACTTATCTCTGAATATTATAAACACGTGGCTCTAAATTTTTCACTCACTATATAAAACCGCGTGCGTGCTTGAGAGCAGTTCCAACTCGACTGATTGATTGTACATCCAGAGAGGAAGGGCTGTACATAGGAGCACTCATAGATGTCAGTAGCATGTAGGAAATTTTGATGTAAGCCACTTTGCCCCAAACTCCCCTATAAGTGTACTTTCTGTTAATGTCTCCAAATAAAGGTTTTGAAATAACTTTTTATTTCGGGTGTTACTAAGTTTGCTGTGAAAATACAATACAAAATACAAGCATAACCATAAAAGCATATTCAATAGAACCATGAGGCTCTTATCTTCTCTGTAAGATTATGTCTTTTAGCATTTGCCAAATACGCATTAGTAGTTTGAAAGTGTAGAAAGCATATTCGTGCCATATCTATTCACGTTACGATGTGTGCTATTTTACATCAAATATACTATCACCATTCTCACTGACAGATTCCTGATGCTGGCAGCATAGTCTGTCAAAAGCTTGAATATTGTAAGTCGAAAGGGCACACTTAGCATCATTTGTCAATAAAGAAAAGTCTTCCATTTATATATATATACACATAGTTTTCTGCATTGCATTCCAGCAGAGCTTCAAGGTACAAATTGAAGACCTCAAGGTGCGTAAAACCTGGGGAGGATCAAATCACTAATAAGGCTCTGAAGCTGCGCCGCGTAAGTCCACGACTTATCTCGTGGCAATAATCAATGTCGTGCTAAGGACCCAGTTCTTCCCATCGGTGTGAAAGACTGCGGAGGTTATAATGATTTCAAAGAAGGTGGCTGTCAGCTCCATCTAAGCTTGCTAAAAAGATGATTCTAGGTCGAAACTTGAAAAAACTGAACTGAAAGCTAATCCCAAAGGGCTTTCCATTTTAGCTCCTAAAACTTTTGAAATCCTTGAAGGTAGGAAATTTTGGATAAAAATTAATGATGACTTGACAGAATGGCGCATCAGAGCCGGTGATCCCCAAGGCTCGATTCTCGGACCAATCCTGTATTCACCTTTCACTCATTACGTCCATTGCCATTTGCCCATTGAATTCTATCTATATGCTGATGACACTGCATTGGTGGCCCAGTCAAGTTTGGAGAATCAGGTTCACCAAAGGTTACAAAGTGCGGTGGATAAGGTATAATTATAATATATAACGTGCCGGCGCTCAGTCTGAAGTTCCAGTGAATGAAAGTAAGTGTATAATGGGAACATTCTGTCAAGTATTAGGTTTCGGCAACTCTGTACCCTATGCTATGTAGAACCTCAAAATTAAGTTCGATCGGCAAAGTTCGGCTAAACAAGGAGCAGCAATCACTTATGCATGTGCAGCATATTGTTTCCTCGCCAAAACACATATTCGTAGTCAGCAGAACAGAACCTTTCATACTGCCACTAACGTTCCAAGGTGTCTCGGACGAGGCGCAGATACGCTATAGTCAAGCAGACCCTGGTATCTGGGCAACCAAACCTGTCAGACCTACAATGCTTTAACCAAGTGCAAAGGTCCCATGGACATAGGTCACTCGATTGCGCACCCTCTTATTTGATAGTGTGGAATAGTTTTGAAGATGGAGGAATTGGGAAACAATAGGCTTTCATGGTTAATTGATGCAAAAAAAAACAATGAGTTAAATTCATTTATATTTGTTAAGAAATTGCTTTACAATACATTTTCAGGCAGCAGTGGTGGCTGCAGTAGTAGACTCTTCGGTCTCCTGATCAGTCGCATGCGCTGTGCGGGTTCGAATCCCGTCCCAGGAGAAACTTTTCTCTTAGCTATAGCCCCACGGTACCCAATGGGTGTTTAGGCCTTCGTGGGAGTATAAAAGAAAAAAAAAATTGTTTGATTCATTAAACATCAAGTGTAAGGGCAGCAAAACAAGCACTGACCAATGGAATTCAAAACTAAATTAGAATGTAATGTATAAAATTGGCTACCTCAGGACTTCTGTACACAAATAATGAGATATTTTTAATGCTGAGGCTACCTAGTCCTACTACATTCATATATGGAACCAATTCCAAATATTTTCAGCAAAAAAACTTACTAAAAGTTTTGAATTCTCTTGGATGGGACTCTCTATCCAGACTTGATTTAATACTTTGTGATGTGATGTTTACTATCTAAATATTTTAGAAAATGTATATTTGTAATAATAATAAAGCAATTTTATTAACAATTATATTTGGTTAAACATTTAAACCATATTTGTTCTTAAATAATCATCATCATTAACTTTAACTAAATGCGTATTTAAAAATTCCTCAACAGAATCGGTATTCCACTTTTCAATAGCTACTGTCTCCTGCAAATGGCCATCTTTGTCATATAGCTTGATGATGGGATCTAATCCACGCACATATCTAATTTGTAGATTAGGAAACAGAGATGGTCGGTGGCTCTTAATAAATGCTTGTATTTGAGGATAAGCACCAAACTTGCAAGTGCAAACCTCCAGGACAGCTTTATGGTACATTTTTTCTGTACTACCTGATTCATCTGGGTGGCAGCAATCTCGACAATGACTCCTGGAATGGGAATAATCAATAAACTAAGACTGAAAGAATTTTGATTCCAAAAATGCTCTTATATCAGTACATTTCTGTTCGGAACTGAGTAGTTAAAGTGTCACAGTATACGAGCCCCTTCCAACTTCAGTTGGCCCAACTATTGAAATCTTAGTTTTTTTCTTATTAAACACAAATAATAAAAATGTAGCAGATGTTATAGGTTTAAAATATAAACAATGAATATTTTGATAATATATAGTAGAAAACACCAACTTTATCACTCCCTAATCAAATTTGGCAGCATAAAAATAACACGTTGCAATTTCAGAATATCAACCTATTTTCATTTCAATGCAAAATAAGTCTATAATGCATAGGTGGCTGCGAAAAATAAAAGCCATGGCAATTGTTTTTATTAATCACAGCTGTCACAATACGTTTAAAATAGTTTTGGGTAGTTAAGGTTTTCAAAATGGGTAGAGGAAAGGTTATTGGTGAGAAAATTCGGTTACTGATAATTAAATTTTTTAATTCTGGGAAATCAAACTCAGAAATTGCAACTTTGTTAGACTTATCGCGGTACAGTGTGAGAAATATTGTTAGAAGATATAACGTAACTGGTTCAGTTAATATTAAACCACGATATGTGAAAAAAAGTAATATCACAAATGCGCCGACCGAAGAGCATTAAGAAGAATAATCGTGAAAAACAGGCGTGCCAATTATTTACAATTAAGTTCTCTGTGGAGTGACCCTGTTGGAAGGAGAATTTCGAGGTCCACAACTCATAGAGAAAAAAAGAAACTGGGATTTAGCACTTGCAAGGTAAGTTTACTTATAAAAAAAAAAATTAAGTAAAAACCCTAAAGTTGCACAACTTATTTATAGGTCAAAGAAAAGCCACTATTAACTCCACTGCAAAAGAAAAATCGGCTTAGATGGGCTAAAGAACATAGTCAATGGACACCTCAACAATGGTGTGCAATACAATGGAGTGATGAGGCCTGATTTGAAGTTCGTGTTGGTGACAGTCTCAGTAGAGTTATTTGCAAAACAAAATGAGGCATTCCATGTTGACTGTCTGAAGAGAAAAGAACAAATTTCCAGCATCCCTTATGGTCTAGGGCAGTATGTCATCAAAAGGAGTAGGGAAACTTATTTTATTGATGGAAATGTGGATACAAACAAATATTTGTCAATTTTAGAAGAATCACTTTTACCAGTGATGGAAGAATGTTTGACATCCAGCCAAGATTTTGTGTTTTAGCAAGATGATGCAGGGTGCCAAACCTCAAAAAAGGCTATAAAATGGATGGAAGAAAATAATGTACCACTTTTGAAATGGGTTTCCAGCAGTCCAGATTTGTCACCTATTGAAACTTTGTGGCACGAGATGAAAAAGGTTCTACGACAACATCCTGCTTGTACAATCACCGAACTGAGACAAAAGCTTCAAGAAATTTGGGATTGTTTTACACCAAATTTTTGCCAAAACTTGGTTAACACTATGGCCCAAAGAATTTCAGCAGTAATAAAAATGAAGGTGATCTTACCCAATGAATGAATCTTAAAATTTAGAGGCATCCCGGCCACCATAAGGAGCCAGTGCATAGGCCGCTTAAGCGGGCCCTTATGCACCTCTACAATACTTAAATCACAAGTCTCGCCCTTTTAGCGAAGTTCGGAATCGCCTTGAGTCCAAGGTCCTTGACGTCCTGAGGGTCCAAAGTAATGGACCCCAGTATAGTCTGCCTATAGTAGCTCAGAGCTTCACAGTGACACAAAACGTGCGCCGAGGTCTCTTCCTCTAATCCGCAGCGTTTGCACAAGGGATCCTCAGCCACCCCCAGCACGTGCAGGTGACGCCTTAACGTGTTATGGCCAGACAACAGTCCCACCAGCAACCTTAGGTTGGCTCTACCCAGAGATAGGCAGAAGCGTCCATCCTTAGCACTGGGCCCTTCAATGAGCTCTCGTGCCTGGTGAAGATGTCTAGAGATACTTCTCCATTACCCAATGGTAATCTTTCAATTGTTGCTTTGTTAACTTCGCGCATTTATTCGCACATTGTTTATTTGTTCAGATGTACTATTAGTTATAAGTCTAAGTGAATTCAAATATGTATTTTTTATGACTAGAGTGTATCTAAAATGTTTTTGAGAAAATAAATTGTTTTAGAAGTATATAGTTTCGTTATGTTTAGTTTATAAAGGCATATTTTGGTACAAATCTTGAAGTGGAAAGGGGCTTGTAGATCTTATTGCCATTCAAGTTTGTAGTGGTGAAATTGGCGCAACTAATCATGTTCAAATATCAGTGTTTTTTTATATATTATCACTATCTGTAGAAAAAGGAATATCATGCAAACTTACACTAAATCATCGAGATTATATTTGGGGAGTTGATCACATGATGAGCACAATAAATTAGCCTTATTGAATCCTAGAGCCCAACAGTCTTCTGCTGAAAATTCTGACGATGTATTGTGCTGGAAAATATTTGAATCAGAATTCAAGTGATGAATGGTTGAATAATTGTAGAGGAAGGACACTCACGATCAGTACAATGAAAAATACAATTATTAGGTTACTCATTTTGTTCGTTTGGTCTTGCTCAAATACAAAACCTAAACATTAGTTTATTAGTAATCACTCAACGTGTTTGACACAAAAAAAATTTGCCACAAAACATTTTATAAAAAAGTTAAATAGAGGTTAGGTTTAACGATTATAGTGGACTGTCGGTGTCAAGCCTGTCACGACACTAGCCACCACAAAACATATACACGGAAGGAGGTTTAGTCACGTGCTATCCATAGGATAACACGGTCGTTTTATGTCAGTGTCAATCGCCAATTTTTCTGGATGCCACATGGTTGCCAGATTCTGCACAAACGCAACATGCAACGTTGCCGGCTCTTTGCATAAATCTGAGACTCTTGAATTATTATATAATGGACATTTATTTATGTATATGGCAGATTTTGTAAAGACATGTGTTATTAACATATTTTTGCTGTTTTGACAAATGAGTTGTCACTTACCTGTTAAAGCAGCAGTTTCAATAACATAGGTCATTATAAAATGATCCATATATCCTAGCTAATTGAAATTTGAGAACAGTAAAGTAATCTGTACTTGAGAATATATTTTTATCTAAATTTTATATTGTATGAACACATAAATAATATTTATGGTCCAAATATTGACATTTCTGGTGGTGGTCTTCTGCAGCACCTGCTTGGAAAAGTTGTTATAATTAGTGATGAAAACAATTTTTTTCAAAACGTAAAAATAGTTATCGTTAACAACTGTAATTTCACTACAGTTACCTGATTTTTCATAGAAATTATAACACATTTCCAGAACAGTGATAATAAGAATACAAAAGTTTTACGGAAAATATGATTATATATAATTTAGGAATTTTTACAGCATCATTAAAATATATCATACTTTTTAAGCTATACATATTTACTAAAGTAACAACACCCTTTATGTTGAAGTTCATATTCAAACTTGAAATTTATAATTGTGAAACACATTAGCCATTAGATATATGCTCTGAAGAGATAAGAGTAGCAGGTGGCCGCAGTAGTAGACTCTTCGGTCTCCTGATCAGTCGCCGTGCGCTGTTCGGGTTCGAGTCCCGTCCCAGGAGAAATATTTCTCTTGGCTATGGATGTTGTGATTATCCGTAGGTGGTAGACGGTCTCTGACTGTCGAACGCGGAGGTACCACCAGGCGGATCTGGTAGGCGGAGCCAGAATGTGTGCATGTTGCATGTACACGTGTTCCCTCGCCAGAGTTCGTGTGGCGTTCCCCCTTTCCCATGTATCCCCCTATAGCCCCACGGTACCCAATGGGTACTTAGGCCTTTGTGGTAGTTGGAGTATAAAAAAAAAGGTAAATCTTTATTCTATCTATCTCTGATCACCATGGGTTGGCAGTGGAATGAAGTGTCTTCAACTCTTACTTCTTCAATATTTCATAGCATTCCACATTTGTGACTGTTCAAGATGAAATCTTCATAGTCGTAATGTTCTAACTTCTAACAAATACATCTTTCCAATTTAGAATCTCTTTATCACTAAAGCTTTTTTTCAAGCGGCCAGGATGCTCCCTTTGTCGATTAGAATCACCTAGAAGAAAATGAGTTGTTCTCTTATACAATTTCACCAACATGTTAGGTGTTATACTCCAAATTCCAAAGTTCATCAACTCAACAAAAAATGTAGTTCAAATAAGAACGATTTTAACAAAATTTGTAGTTACGAAAAACCTACTTTCCAAACACGATACACATGACACTAATGATAGGATGTTGCGCATGTGGGCAGAGCTTAGTGACGTCACCTTCAGAGTTGTCGGCTCGTGGTTACCAGCGCCAGATTGTCGTAATGTTACTGCAGTGCGTGTGTATCGTGTTTAATACTATATAAGTACTGCGATTTGTTTGTGATTTTTGTGACTTGTTGTATTAGTTATACATATTTTATATACCCTGTGTGGTTGACAAATTGATAAAAATACGGTGTGCTGTTGTGGGATGTAATTCCGACTACCAGTCTAAACGGAATCCTTGCAAAGACATGAAGTTCGACTCAAACCTTAGCAAAAATGGCTACATCTGACATAAAGAAGAGACAAGGTCAATGTAAAAGTGCTAGGGTTTGCTCGAAGCACATTTGTGAAAGTGCCTATAAGGTCAATTTGAAACATACCCTTTTGGGTTACTCCCCTAAAAGATAAAGTTTTCTAAAAGATGATGCTATTCTTACCAAAAATTAACCCAAGAATCTATCATCCTACCTTCTAATTTCGCTCTAAAAATGCTCCTAGGGAATCTGAAATGACGCTTCAGCGTCCAGTACCTGTTAACAAGACGTCTTAATCAAGATGTGATAGAAAACTTTCTCGGAGTAATTAAGGCAAAAGGTGGTCTTCATGATCATCCATGTCCCCTAAAGTTTAAGTACAGAATAAGGTCATATATTTTGGGGCGAAACGAATGTGCATACTCAGAGTATTGCAGTGTAGAGTCAGAGGATACTCCAGACATTCCACTAACCGCATCATTAACGAATAAACTGAATGCACCTGAAGTATCAGCTGATTATAACGAGGAAGTTTCAGTAGAAGAAACGAATGTTTGATAAGTTCCTTAAATGGAACTTATTCCTAGATAAACCATCTTAGTCAGGGTGGATTATTAAAATCTTAAAATCTTCCAAAGCTTTCATGAATCAAATTGAGAAGCTGAACAAGGTGTTTGCTACATTCAATAGGGACGGAATAGTGACAGGAAAGCAAAATTTTATAGGCGAACTTCTGTTGAAGAGCAGCAACATTGAACTCTCCTGATAAAGCTAAAAAAACTATTTTTCAGCTCAAGGATGAGGATAAAAGTTTGAGAGACCAGAAAAATCGCAAAAGGAAATGGAGAAAAATTGTTGCTTAGACTAAGTCATTTTCAGTTATTGCTATACCGTTAGCTTACTGCAAAAAGAAGATAACTCCATTTTTCTACTTTTCGAGTTGCGTACATTTTCACAGTTATATCTACTTAGGATGTTCTGTGAAATAAGGATAAACGTAGTGCAGTATTAACATCATGAGCATGTTACTCCTGCTCCACATACTAAAATATAGGTAATGTAGAAAAATGGAGTTATCTTGTTTTTACAGTATAGTGACGATACTCTCTATTGTGGAGCTAGAAAGCCGTCTAGGGTATAGCTTGTGAAATAGGACTTAAAATGTTGAAATCTTTGCCATTTTGTTTTGTATAAAATTTTAATGTAGCCTATGAAATAGCAATTACAAGGTTGAAATCTTTTGGGTCCAAACGTCACCCGAACAGTTGTCGGCTCGTAGTTACCAGCGGCAGGATTGTCGTATCTTGTGGTCGTAACGTTACTGCAGTTCACGTGTTTCGTGGTTAATACTATATAGTGCGATTTGTTGGTGTTTTTCGGTGGTTTTGTGTCCTTTTCTATTAGTTATACATACTTTTACATTAACGGAACATCGAGAATGATATTCATTTAATGTGATTCCCTTATGAAACGTTGTTTTCATACCATTTAAATGTTCAGTGACGTGCTTAGAGCTCATATAACTGGCTTATAATATAATCGTTCCTCATTGTGTGTGTTTTCCGGTCGTCGCGTCGGTGGCGTGGTATGGAACCAGTAGCGTAGGTAGCTGGTAGCGGACAAATCAATTATGAAAGAAGTAAGACTGGGTTATTCAGTATGGGAAGGTGGTAATCACCACTTTTCAAACCTGATTTGAGGAGAAGTTCTGCATTCGGTACAAATCCCTTTCCCCCCTTCAATGCAACACAAAAAATCGTTTTCCCTTGATCAGTGGTGCTTGCAGACAGGTATTTTTGTGTCATTTTCCCCGCAAGGTTTACTCTTTGATTTCTTGCAGCTTCATAAACGGCTGTAGTGATAGGAGTGATACACCTCTGTGGCCTCTGCTACTCGATTCGTCAGCTGATTTAGAGGTAAAATGACTTCCCCTGCCTCCTTTTCACGGCTCATGAATTGAAAAACATATACAATCTAGCGGCCCTTGCTATGAACCACCTTGTGCCGGTACTTATCCCTTTTAAGAAAAAATATTATCATAGATCTGAGTAAAATTATCATATTGAAGTTCTTTGAAAAGGTTCGCAAATAAAATGTGAATAGAAGCGGGTGGTGATACGTTCCAATCGATCTAGGACCAACATTTGATTAACATAATTAAACGCATATACGTTACATCTCAGATTATCAAAGCTTTATGCATGAAAAAGACAACAGCAACATCAATGCTAACGCTGTTTCATACAATAAGTCACCTACAATCTCCGAAACTTTTACACTCACATATTGAATATAAAAAACAATCTTCACAACCCTGGTCTAACATAAAGGAAATCCAAGATACAAAATCGTAATCTATATGCGCACGCCAATGACTACCGATAGTACTTCCTTGGATGTTCAAAATCGATATTTGTGATTAGGGTAATATTCTTTCCGATGTTCTAATATCTGACTTCTGCGCATCCTCATAATGTAACAATTTCGGCCCACGACGTTTTAAAACACCTCTAGAAGGAGCCAGTCAAGGATATCTTTGCCTCCAAATTTTTATAGTCTGTGGTGACGATATGAGTGCACTTGATTTGAGTCAATTTTTTGACAGTTTGTGTTAATTAAATGCGTAATTTTAAAGCTATTTATAATGGTCTGTGTTATTGACGCTGCTGCTTCTACAGATAAGTGAGTACTTGCTTGTCAAAACAGCCAAAATATGTTAACACATGACGTTATAAAATGTTCAATATATCATTAGGAATACGCACTATAAAATTATACAACAACTTTAGATTTATGCAAAGAGCTGGTAACGTCGCAAGTGACGTTCTGCTCAATCTGGCAACCATGATGCATCAAGAAAAAATGGCGGTTGGACACAGACAAAAGTCAACCGTGTTGCCCTATGGATAGCACGGGACTGTACATTCTCCAGTGTTTTTGTGCGTGTACTAAAAAGTGAGGTTAAGTAAACTAGCCGAGCCGTTCAAAACAAAGTGTTTTTTGTACAATATAAATAAATGAGTTTTATTTAACAATTCATCTAAACTGAAATGGGGCATACATCAAATCTGAACGCTTTTTTAAACCTGCATAAAGACCAATTAAGCTCCTCCGGTGTACCGGTGCATTATTGGAGCTCTTTGTATCAAAAACTTGTAAACCAAATATTCGATGCTGGGACTGTTTTTCAAATTTTGAAGGTAGACAGTGAAAATAGAGAAGAATATGAGCCCTTATGGGTGCTTCGAGCTTTAAAGGATGTAGACAAATCAGATGGAAAGCATATTTATCTTATTGATCATGCTTGGACATTCAGACCAGAAGAAATTAAACTGCAGCTCTTAGAGGTACTATGCAACAAAGTTTACAGCCATTTGAATCCAGAAACATTAAGCAATTAGGACGGAGCAATTTGTATTGACCAAAAATATCAGCTATTTCATTCCTCTTCTATATTTGATACAAAGAATAAGAGGTAGTATTGTACCATACTATATTAATGTGAACTTTTTTTCCATGTTTTATAGTGTGGTGGAGCACTCAACCTTCTATGAATATTTTATGACAAGCCTCTCATTTATCCAAATGAACATATTTTTTATTTCTCAGAACAGCAGTTTAAAAAATAGGATGAGCATCTTGTTTGACCTTGATGATAATCTATCTGAAGATGAATTAATCGAAAACATTTTTAATAATATTTGGAAGTTAGCAAATCACTATTCAGTGGGAAATGCTGAAAATGTAGAAAAACAACTTCCAATATGGTAAGTTTACATGTTATTCAACCTAATATTAGAAGAAGATTTTCTCTTACAGAATGGTAGCAGAACCAATAGGACAAATTGTTAAATATTGTCTTATTCAAACATTTACTCGAAAATATCCACTGCAAAAGTTAAACTACTTTGCCAAGCACTAAGTCTGAGATTAATAAAGATAAATACTAGTATGTCTCCACACTCAAATAATTTGCACAAACTGGTCAGTTGAGCTAGTAGATCATAGTAAATGGTTGCTGTTTGTGCAATCCAAAAAGTTGGGGTTGAGGAAGATATGTCCCAGAGAGAAAATCAGCTTGAGGTTAGGTCACAACATGACCATCTGAGCACCATATTACATATCTTGAAAAGTGACATTGTCAGGTTTTTTGACATGTATGTTTTTTGTGGTATTATGTTTTCTACAAGATGTAGACTTAGCACTGGCTGTTGTGATGTAAAATCTGCTTCAGAGATGGTATTGTTGGAGGTCTCAGCTGTATGTTGTATACTATAGCTGGAAGGAAACAGCAGTGCGTAGGGCCATAGCAAGGATTTGTGTGCTAATAATTTGTGTTGATGATAATTCCCTTGGTTTCTTCACTTTAATTTTTATTTCCAGTCATTTAATTTTTATAGAAATTTATTTTACAATGTTAAGCAGAAAATACAAATCAGTGCTTAGATGCGAGGCAGTGCGAAAATGTTTTTGTATGTGATGCGTCATTCCTAATTTTTCTGTGATGTGGCCTAATTACACACAACGGGGACGCTTTGCTGATATCTTGTAATGCTTCTCAAAGTTTTTGAAAACGAAAAGAAAAACATAGCATAATCTCTCTTCAGAAAGGACAACATGAAAACCTGTTTGGTACAGCTAATAGATATATTTAATGGGCATATTCAGTAATTATTTTCTCACATAGCAAGTATCACTGATTTTGTATGCTTGCAGACCAATACACACAAGCATTCGGATCTCATCTTGTTGCTCTGCTACTCAAAAACACATTTCCTCAGAGTATTCTCTATAGACTATGTCGGCATTATGCAACCAACAAAGCATGATGGGGAACTGACTTGCAACTTGCAGCATAGTTATTGAGCGTGTCGTGTCCTTGAGTCATTCCTTCACAGATGGACGCTTTTGATGTCGCCCACAGCCCTCATAGCGAATAAACGCGGAATATTCTATTTGCACACTAGAAACGATCTAGGCAACATGTTGACATTTTGACGGTTTTTTGACGATGTACAGGTTTTGCTGCTCTCTCTAATAGCATAGATACCCTTCATTATAATCAATTAAATATCTACCTCTGTACATTCTCAAATGTTATGACTAGCATTTGCAGCACTATTGGTCTATCGGCACTGTGCTTTTCTCTGTTAATGGTAGAGTAATCAAGTATAAAACTTTATTACACCCACCCTACATGTTTTGTCAGAGTGACATTAATTTAGCTATTTGGAATCCTATATTGATACAAATATTAAGGCATCATAGATATACATTTCACATGTTTTGTATGTTACTTTTTCCACATATACAGGGTGTGAAGTTAGTAGTGGATCAACGGAAGTGAGGTGATAGAGGGCCTCAAAACCTATCGAATGAACCCCTATATGTGTGGTCCGAAATTTTATAGTTCAGGATATAGTTGCAATTTTGTGAGATTTCCAAAAAAAAAAACGGGATAATGAACTTTCAGTCGCAATTACTACTAAACCGTTAGGTTTAGTGCTATGATTTTTGTTTGAGATGAGCTAATTAGAAATCAACGCAAATCTTAAATTCATTTTTTTTTGTGAAAAATCTCTTCCATCCCTCAGCTTTGTAGGGCTAATAAAAAAATTTAGGTAGTATTTCATTATTCATTTTATTGTAAAACTATTTCAATCTATGTACACCTGAGGGTAATCAAGTTTCTGGGAGTGCACATACTTGACTGCCAAGTCTTGGTGATAAAGTGGCTATCTTAATGCTGGCAACATTACATTTGCTACTTGTATTGTGGTTTTGTAGCTACTAACCAAGTTATCATCAGTAGCATTTTAAGCTTAGATTTCTGAAGATCCATATAAAGTGGTGAAAATATTTCAGGTATATAATAGATGAAGTTGGTTCTTCAGTAATGCATAGTAACAATCCAAATTGTAGAATTGTTCCATTTTTCTACATGAACGATCAAATCACATATTCATTGCTATTTCCCATAGAGGATATAGAAGAAGATGAATTCCTAACCAGAGACTTTGCTGAAGGTATTACTGACTCTTCAAGAAGGCATGTAAAATACTAGTATTTTTTGTTCAGTATGTATGTATAAGTTGAGCTTATCATTATTTTAATACAGACTCATGCTTTGGAAGAAATTTTTAAATCTAACTTTAGAAATTGGCAGATATTTATAAAACTCAATCCATGAATAAGCACTTAAAAATGACGGCATATACATCAACCTTCAAAGTACAATAAAAGATATTATTAAAAACATCACCATATTCTGTTACTAACCTTATTTTGCAGATCTGCAATTTTGTTGCCTTGGGTAGCCACATCATTTGAACACATAAGTTATATTCCAGATATGCCATATCCAGATTACTTTCTCGAAGGTCATATCAAGGAAAGTCTGCCCAAAATATCTGGTAAAGAAATTTCCAAGAGAGATGTCTACAAAGTTTATACACAGTATGACTTGGTGAGGCAGTATTTGACTGACCAGAGGTTTATTTTAGGTGAGAGTTCAGATTTTTACAAAATTATGTAAGCAAGATTGCCATAAGGATTTTCAGTTACTGCCTTTAGCTTGGACTGGAATACAATTTTGTATTTTTTTTTTGTTTTTCTAGTTGATACTGAACTGGAAGCTGACATATTGTGGTATACAAAACACTTCAAAGATTTTGAAGAGCTGAGCATTGATTTTCCTGGAAAATATGTAAATCAGTTTCCATTTGAATATGTAATCACAGTTAAGGATCTGTTGTGCATAACTTGCAGAAGGAACCAGAGTTCATTGAGGTGGTTACCAACATCATATAATTTAGTAACAGAAATACGAAATTTTGTTAGTTATTACCAATATAGAAATAAAAATGGCATGGGGAATTACTGGATTGTTAAGCCCTATAATTTAGCAAGAGGATTGGATATCCACATAACAAATAACTTGAGCTATATACTGAAGTTATCACTTACAGGTAAAGTAATAAACAGGATAGTATTCTGTAACTGTGTTTGCTCTGTTGCACGGAACAGCTGAGAAACTAATGTCAGTTAATACAGGGTGTCCCAACCATGCGAGGATGGGTTATTTCTCCTCAAGAAAATCTGTTAAGAGAAAACCATTTATGGATCAAGATACATGACATATGAGGGCACATTTCTAAAATATTCACAATTATACAGGGTGTTCCAATTTTGACCCGCGTATAAAAGTTTTTTTTAATGAAATGCCCCATACATACGCTGATAACACCTTTTAAAAGAAAAATATTGATATAACATACTTACAGCTAAGAAGTCAAACTTTGTTGTTATATTTTAAAACAAAGTCAAGAGTTTATTTGAAGGATTCAAATATTGTAAAATCAGGCAAAACTCGTTTTTCAAATTCTATTTATCAAGTTACTTTTCTATAACTCCAAACACAGCACGTGCAAGACGAGATGGGCAATTGTAAAATATGTGGAGTGGAATCTTATTTGATCAGGCTAACTAGCCATATGAACCCTGTCATATAAGAAATTGAACAGAATGATTTATATATTCTTTAGAGTAAATGCTGAGGCCCTTCATCTCCAAATAAAGAAGTATGGGTAACTTTTGTCTATCGAACAACTGGGAAAGGGATGAAAACACCTTCAAAATGAGAACTACTTGGTATCGCCAGTTCGTTGAATTTATTTGAGGCACGATTTCAAAATAAACTACACATTAACATTGCCACCTTTTGATCTCTGTAAGGTGGCATAAATAGAACATTAATATGATTTTTCGCCCCTTATCCCCCGTCTCAGCTTTGATCTTTCTCATGTATACCATATATTATAGCATGTCATACATTATTATAAAAAAGTTTTTTTGAGTAAGCCTTGAAATTATCATATAGTCATTTATTTCATAGAATATCAATGTTAATGATAATATGTTACGCATTGATATTAAATTTCAAGAGCCTCATATAGTTGGTTTAAATTCATCGAATGAGGAACAACATAACGTAGCTCATTTAAAGATACCGAAAATGGTATAATTTTAAAAACTGAAAGCTTAAACGTCAGATCGAAATTCTAATTATGCCACCGCGTAGAAGAGGAAAAAGAGTTAATGTTATTGTGTAATTGTCTGAAATTTGTAGACAATGTCGATGTTTGAAACGTTTTGTTTCGGGCTAAAGCCTTGAAAAAATACAATCGACTTGGCGTAAATTCGGAAATACTTAAAATTTCCAAACCGTCCAAGTTCCATTTTTTATTTACCTGCGCAACTCTGCCCCCATAAAGTACTCCTTATCGTTTAGGCGAATATCACAAGATCGGTATTTACTGTGATCCGTCAATATATTTGTTATGAGATATGTGATGCATATAATGTTACGTAGGAATCCACTGATGGTACGGACCACAGTAAATGCTGATCGTGTGGCATTCTCTTTACCATTTCCGAAATCTCAAAAGCGAGGTTTGAATTTGAAACACACGTTACATATATAGTGCTTTTAGCAAAATTATATCTAACATAGATTTCAACCAATCCTAGTAATTTCTGATCTAACAGATATTGATTCAGCTTGTGGAGAAACCTATACATGAATGTTCAATTTTTGTTTGTTTGTTCTCTCCATTTAATTTTTGCCGAGTTAGGGAAAGGGGGGCAGCTACCCCCTTGCTCCTCCCGTGGTACACCCTTGTGGTTATTGCATATTAATCATATTCTGTCAAATTAATATGAGCAAAGCATTCATCTACGTCGAATGTTTTGATAAAAGAGTGATAATTCATTTTTCGTACTGTAATCCTTTTTTAATTTGCCAGTATTCATTCATTGCATGGGAGTACGGTCATTCAGAATCACAATATCCTTGAAAGTTTGATTTTCCTTGACGAGTTTGAGGCCTTTCCACGTTCGATCCACTGTTCATTATTTTGTTTGACTTGATGACGTCTGTTGGTGGATGAGGTTTTGTCAGACTTAAAGTGCTTTATGCCAGATATAGAGTCAATCTTGAGACTTGATCTTTTTCCCCATTTCAGTCATCTTGATCAGGCAAGCCAAAAATTATGTTATTTTTCTTACATTACCTCCTTGAACTTCCTGGACGACCAGTCGAGTAAGATTTGGACGCACGAGTAGTCTCTGAATTCGTTGCAATATCATTGATTTTCGCAAGCAACTCTTCAACTTTTTGCTTCAATTCCTAAAAATCTTTTCTTAGCACGGGAGCTTGTGAGAAACCGTCATTCGGGGCAAGAGCATTTCAAAATGTAATTCCTCAGAGTGATGCATCTTAATTCTGTCGCTAAGACTTTAAACAAAGGACAGAAGTGCAGGTGTCTCAATTGAACTTGGGGTCTTTCCTCGAACAGTTCATACAGGTACCCATTGCAAAATAAACGAATCCCGACCTGTTCTTTCCTGGGTATAAGGATTGGGTCAGAGCAAAAAATAACTATTTTTGCGCGTCTGTAAGAATTATGTAGTCGCACAAACTACGGTCAAACACTCCTGTCGATGTAATTTTTGCGAATTTTACTGAACAATTTTGATTGATTAGCAAAAATAGTGTTGTGAAGAAAGGAAATTTGAAATCGATATGATTCTATAAAAAATAACGGAATCAACGAAGAGCAAAGCACGTCCCTGCTCTACTGCTAATGATTATGAGTATTCTAATTTGACCCACTATACTACAGATAAAATCGTATTTTTTGGTGATGAGATTTATAGAAAGGTCTATTTAAGATATACATAGCAGAAAACAGAAACGTGGAAGTCTGGGTACAGTGAAATCGCCTTTCTCAGGTCTATGTGACTTTTTTCTTTCGATTGTTACACTCTTTCGACATCAATCTTCAGAAAATCTCATGTTCACTATATGTAATTTTTACAGGCCCGAAGATTGCACAGAAATACATTTCAAACCCTGTGCTGTTCTATAGACCTGAATGTAATGGAAAAGTGAAATTCGATATCAGATATATACTTTTGTTGAAGAGTATAAAACCGATAGACGCCTACGTCTACAAAAAATTCTTTTTGAGATTCGCAAACAAACCTTTTGAAATGAGGGATTTTGAAGAATATGAGAAGCATTACACTGTAATGAATTACACTGAAAATGCTACTTTGAAACATCTAAAATGCGAAGATTTTTTGTTAGAATGGTCTAAACAGTATCCAGATCATGAATGGAAAGATATTGAATCGAAGATCACCGAAATGCTGAAAGACATATTGGTATCAGCTAGCAGCGCGGAACCTCCATGTGGCTTTGGCGAAAATCCTCAGTCTAGAGCTTTATACGCTGCAGATATAATGCTAGAAATCGATGAAAAAGGAGATTTTAATCCACGGATATTAGAAATTAATTTTACTCCGGATTGCCAACGAGCTTGTGAATATTACGAAGATTTTTACAACGATATTTTTAATTTGTTCTTCTTGGATAACAATTGTAATGCGTTTTTATCACTAAATAAATAATCGTTAGGTTTACATATATGTTGTTTTATTTTCAAATGATCTCAGCAAGGCTGGTTCAAAGATAGAATAGGCTTGATTATGACTCGCTATAATACAGGGTGGCCCATAAGTCCTTTGAGCTGGAAAAAAAGGAATAAAACCAAACTAGTTACATTATGAAGAATTATTATATTTTGTTATCATCTTTATTGAATGGGAATTATGTTTTAAAAATCACATCGTCTAAATGCAATCCATTACTATCACGGCACTCATATAAACGACGTCTAAAATTGTCGATGACTGCGCGGCAAGTGAACACTGTAATGCTTGCCATTTCTCTTCGGATATTTTCTTTCAGGACATCAACTGATCGAGGAGTGGTGTCGTACACTTTACTCTTGAGGTAGCCCCATAAAAAGAAGTCCATTGGGGTCAAATCTGGACTACGTGGTGGCCAGGAAATGTCTCCTCTTCGAGAAATTACTTTGCTGGGAAAAAGTTGACAGACGACGGGCATAGAAGTGCTGGAGGTGTGGGCAGTTGCTCCGTCCTGTTGAAACCAGGTCTGCGTATTATAGCCTGGAAAATTCTGCAACGCTGCTGTCGAAAACTCTTCTATCATTGCTACATACCGCTCCGAAGTAACAGTTAATGCGCGACCTCTGTCGTCCTCAAAAAAATAAGGGCCTACGATGCCATGCGCTGACATAGCAGCCCAAAATGTAACTTTAGGACTGTGTAAGGGCTTCTGATGCTTACGCCTTGGATTTTCGGGGCTCCAATAACGGCAATTTTGTTTATTTACATGCCCGTTTAAATGGAAGTCAGCCTCGTCCGAGAACAACACATTATTGAGCGAAGAAAATCGATTCAACATTTCATTCGCAAAGTTTAGTCTCTGAATAGCGTCATTATCTTTTAATTCCTGCACTAACTGAATTTTGTAAGCGTGCAGACGTAAATCTTTCCTTAAAATCCGCTGTAAAGGTGTTCTGGGTATGTTTAGTGCACTGGAACGCTTACGAGTAGACTGGGTAGGATTTTGACGAACAGACTGTGCCACAATGTTGATGTTTTCTTCAATACGAGTTGTCCTTGGTCGACCCCACCGCTGTTTATCTAACGTCGAACCAGTCTCTTCGAACTTAGCAACCCAGTTCTTAATCGATTGAGCTGTTGGACACTTTGTAAAATTGTGTAAATTGTGGTATTCTCGATATTTACGCCGCGCAATGGTTGCCGAATCATTATTTTGATAAAACGCGCGCACACAAAAAGCACGATCCGCCCCAGTGAAACACTCCATGGCGACTGAATTCCCAGACACTGGAGATACTGCCCCCACCTCGCTTGCGCCGCTCACGCTCACCCGTTAAATTTTATTCAAATTTGAAATTTCAAAGGACTTATGGACCACCCTGTATAAACCAGAGTATGATGTAATGTTACGCTTTCACCATTTTTTTCGACTATACACTATCCGGAATTAAGACTTTTGCTAAGAAGCATTCACATTGTAGATCGATGTAAATAAACGAATGCAAAAAATAGTTCGTAAAACGATATTCGTGTCGATAATTGCGTTTCGTCAAAATATTGTCTCATTGCATAGATGGCTTACCTGAGTAAGATATCAATGCTATAATGGGTATCGGTAGGGTTGTTATGGATGTCAAAAAAATCGGGAAATGTCAACTTGTGTACTAGGTAGCCGGTAGTGACCGGCTAATTCATTCCACGAATACAAAAGTCAGCAGGAAGTGAATGTAGGCCTGTTCAAAGGAATCAAAGGTAACATTATACCAATAGCAATAAGTACCACGACAAACTTAAGGAGAAGGTAGGCTTTGGACTGACTTCCCAAAAAACAAAAACTTGCCTATATAAAAGGGTCACCGTTTTTGAGATATTGAATTTTTTCTTAAATTAAAAAAACGAACCTTTTCATCTGTGGTTTTCAGCTGCATGTACAAATAAGGTTATACTTTGTTCATTTTTTCTATAAAATACTTCTAGATAGTTGCTTTATCATATACAAACGCAATGTAGTTAAAAGATATTAAGGAACCATGATTAAATAAGGACTAATTTTGGATTTATATCCTTCTGATATGTTTTCCTACGTCTCCACTCGTCAATACAGTATATGTCTAGCCAGGTGGAAAGCAAACAAGTCTTTTGAAATACTCATTATTCTGTGCGTAAGTAGGTGACAAATCTGACAGGCAACACCTACATATTTATTCTCGGCCATTATGTTGAAATTGACAGAAACATCCCTACGCCTTTTAGCTTATAACTGCTAGACGCCTGTACTATGTATCGGGTGGGCCAATAATAAATGGCGCCGGCTGAATATCAGCAGCCGCTCAATATAGGGCTTTCGGTTAAGAAATTTTATAATTGGAGTGGCCAAAAAATAGCTGGAATTATTGTCAACTTCCCTGGGTTCCAAAAACGATCGCTAGGTGGCGTCTTTCCAATTACAATAATTCCAATTCCTATTTTTTAAAAATTCATAACTAACGTATTCATTAAATAGTATTATAGCGATGACCGCTTAATTTTCGAACCTATTTCGTGTCATTTTCTCAAATTATGGGTAGCTGAGGGTGGATGAACATCATTTCAGAAAAAGTCACATAACTTCTGTTTGGCTGCACCGATTTTGATGATCATGGTTTCGTTTGAAAATTTATTCGCCTGCGCTCCCAATGAATCTTGTCACATTAGTTCAGTTTGTGGCCGCTGGTTGGCACTTCGTGGATGTGTCAGCGCTTTTATTGGACTTATTCGAAAATTTAAACACAATTTTCAAGTACTACTGGAGTACCTACGGGACAAGAAGAAGAATTTATGCTAGTTGAGTAGTTGTGTAAAATGTACCAAATTTATATTTACGCTTTTTTACAAACGCTAGGGGGCCTAGCTATTGCCTGATATATGAAAAATATTATTCCTTCAATTATATCTCATATTTTAAAATACCGTATTTTCTACCTATTTGTTATATCTAGATTCAGTTATGGTGTGAATTATGAGATATGTTACATCTATTGTAACCTTGAATCGGCCATTTCGTCGTTTAAACGAGAGTATTAATAACATAATCTGATTTTTTTCAATGAATCTTTTTCTTGCGGTCCTAAAAGGAACTTTTTGATCTCCCAGCGATTTGGAGTACCTACTTCCAAGTTATTGAAGTCTGGCCACTTGTACGAACTGCTTTCCACCATTGGCAATGCACAGTTGCACCCTTCTTCGCGTTGAGTCAACAGCAGTTTTGTAACAGGAATTTGTTGGATGGCATTCCTTATCAGCCAAATCATATCTTGCAGTGTTATTAGTTGGCTATGTTCTATGAACAATATCTTTAATTCAGCCCTATTACTAATAATCTAGGCAAGTCACGTTACGATATCTAAGAATGATTTTTTTGTCACCAGTTAAGAATTTGGTTACCATAAGACTGTCCCGATTAATAGTGGATACCGAATAAGTTATTGTTATTATTACTTTGGGGTAATATTAGGTAGTATAGATAGTCCATTTTCAGATTTTTTTTTTAATTTGGCTCCCTAAAACTATCTTCGTCCGATCCATAACTTTTATTTTGGAAAAATAGTTTTCATTCGATGGTCATGTTTGCATGCATTACTATACTTTTCCACACAATGTTCTGTGCGTAGTTATCATTTTCAAAATCTCGTACAAAAATGTAAGAAACTTACAATCTCGAACATGTACGAGATTTCCGATACGCCTGGCAACCCTGACTGTGCATGGTACGTAAGATATGTACATCACGGAAAAACCATGTCATTTATATCTGCCTGTCTACCTGTCTGTCCGCTTATAGTATAACCGCTTATAATCTGAGAAGTACCGCTCGGATTTTGATGAAATTCTCACACAATGTTACTACTATGCCAATGACGAAAAAGCTTTGTAGTTTTTGAAAATCAGTTCCGTGGTAGCGGAGGAAAAGGTCAAAAAGTGAGAAAAAAATTGCTCAAACCTCGTTTTTTGACGTTTCAAAGGATCTTGATCATTTTCGAAAAAAAAAATTAGCAAGTCAATTTAGCAGTCAGATTTGAGGGTCAGGGGTTGTAGGGGGTGGAGGACGGTATATCTCAAGTAATTCTACACACCTATTAGTCATATTTTACTCACCATGTCCCCGAACATTTGCGCTTAAATCTTAAACATCGCCAACAGTTCTTCTGAAGCTACTTAAGAAAAATAAATTCCTAGAAGAGTACGTCGAAGATTTGTATCTCCGTAGGCAGTCCCTTAAGATTTGTTTATATGGACTTGTCAAATTACTTTTAGTATTCTATACAAATCTGGGAGATTAACACGATATTCTGTTCCACACTGTGAGCAAAAGTCAATTATGGTCAGCTAAACGACGAACGGAGAACATATTCTTTAAGGCCAGACGTGCTTTGGAATTTCGATGTTACATGTTTTGACTTGGTGTTGAGCGATACATGTAGATAATTTCATCTAAAATTCAGTAGATACAATTGATAAAGATCAGGGATGCATTCAAGCAGAAGATTGAAAAGGAGCCATACCTTTGAGCAGATTTGCTTAGCGAGATCATTAAAAAATCGGATAAATGAAAGACGGTAGCAGGTAGACTTGGCCGAACTTTCCCACGAAGTACCTGTCATGTGGCCTTCTTCCAAAAAATAAATAATAGAAATACCTTTGATAAATGACCTTATGATGTGGCGGAGAGAAATGATGCCAAAAGTTGCGCAATTAATTATTGTAGTTTAGGTGGGTAATTTGAAAATAGAGGAACAGAACAGATGTTCCCACAAGGTAGTATATATTCGGTCATTTCTGTTCTTGTGTGAGCTCAGATTTAAATTACGCCGTGGTGAGGTGAGATTACTTCTTTGATGTACTACGTACATGTTTTAGTAACTTCAGTATATCTCCGTTGAACGGGTTTAAGTTTTTGATACAGATTATATGATATCTTTACTAGTCAAACCAATTTTTCTCGAAAAGAACTAGT